TTGAGGGAAAGATCTAGCACGTCGAAGCATTTCTGTCTCATATACGGCAACACTGGGCGTTAATTAGCTTTTAATAGTGTTCCTGAAATAAAACTTTAACGTTGTTTATTACGTGAGTTTAAATATTATTTCAGGGTGTCGTTTACCGAACTCTTCTAAAATGGTTGATCTAACGTTAAAAAATAGTCTTTATTAATTTTTTTAACATTAGTACACTTACAGTACACGTACAGTTATTACAATTTTAATCCTGCACTTTGTTACTAAGCCATTTTGTTCAGCAGTTGTTAATACTAGCTTATACTTTTTGTTTTATAATGAAGAAAATTTAAACTCAGTGAGAAGTAAATTATATAATATTTGATTAGTAAAGTTTTGTTAAAATAAAATGTTTTGTTTTTTCTGGTACAGAAATCTTCTTGAAAGGAATATACATTTTAAAGTATGGCGCTTGGGAAACTAATGTAGACCGATGACGAATCAAAATTTTTAGTTTTTCCCGATATTTCTGGATCACAAACAAAGTTAAAATGTAAAACCGAGAAACGACCTCCCAACTGACGCAACTCTTAATTTAAAGGTTCAGTTACAGCTGATCAAATCTACATTGTACCGTTATACTATTCTAGCTAGCAAATCTTAAAACTCGTTAGAGTGTTTTTCGCTGGCAGAAAAAATGGTGCAGAAATAAAGAGATTAAGTAGGACCACTCATATCCTTGATTAAATGGTAGCAATGAAGGAAATATTCGCGTCCGAGCCCCACAGGGTGCAACGTGAATAGTTAAAGTGGTAAATATGTGTTTCGGTTCCGTGGATTTGCAAATACCTAAATCTACTATAGGCCAACAGCGCATCTTGTTTTGATGTTATGGGCCTGGAGTATTTCACTTTTCATCAAGTAAACCCATGTCCAGCGTTTAACAAACGGTTTTCACTTTTCTCGTGATATGTAAAAATATATTAATCTTTCAGACATACAAACTCGAGGGTGTCGTAAAATGGAGTCCACGACCATTCAGCGCAGAGTGACGCTGACACCTCATTTCCATGATCCTACATTATTAAATATCGTGTGGAAATGGTAATATTCCTCATATCTTTATTTTTATTATTTATCTTTTAATATTAACGTTATACTCATACAGTTTAGTAAGATTTTCAAATCTATACTGACGTGCAAAGCTGAAGAGTTTGTTTGTTTCTTTGAACGCGCTAATCTCAGAAAATACTAGTGGGAATTGAAAATTATTGTTGGTTAGAACGTTGGTTATCGAGGAAGGTAATAGGCAATAAAACATTGTGCTGCGACTAATAGGAGCAAAGAAACAGCAAGAAATGTGGATAAAACGTAGTAAATTATTCACCTTTGTGGGGTTCCGTTACATACGTCGCGAAAACGGTACACGATACCCAAAGAATGACTCCTCTATAAATGATCTAAAAAAATGTCTCCAACACTATATCCTTTGAGATTAACTTTCAAGAATGACGGGACGCGACCGTCGTTGTGGGCAAGAGCTTAAATCTATAAAAATTAAGCTTTGCAAAAACAAATTTTGATGCCCACAATAACTATTAAATAAGTCGCTGACACAGCTCGTATTATATATTATGCTTGTTCTTTAGTCAGTAAGTTTTTCAAAATAGGGTTTTTAGTATTGAATAATTATAAATCATTCCTCGATGAAAAATAATATATCTGTCTACATTATTTTTACATTTTGATCTAGTTATGTTTGTGTATAAATGTTTGAAAACTTTATTATTTTTTACATGTTATTATTGCACACAAAGGTCATATATAATTTAAAAATCGAAAAAACAAATCGATTTCGACTTAGGGCTTCAGGACTTGAACCGGCACGGTCAGCTTTCCTTATCGGTATTTTAAAATGTCGAAATTAAAAAAAAAATTGGATGTACCTTATCTTCAAGGACTTGTTATCAATCTAATAATTAAATTTTATAAATGTGCTTATCTTGGTACTAGATACACACTAAAACGCAAGTGCTAAGGTTGAAATTACACTGCGCGAGAGGTGCATGTACAAATAGTATTATATTGTTACGTCAAGTAGTTATTGACGATAAAAGGTTTTCGTTTATCTCAATTGAAATAATCTATATTTGATAACAATTAATCGGACCGAATAAGTTTGTAATTTTATCTAAATACTCTCCCATTAACATACTGTAGTAACATAATGTTTTGTATGATTGTTTATATGAGAAGGTTGTTTTTAAAATTCTTACAAAGATGATACTATGTTTGTATGGTAAAGAAAACAGTCATAATAACATTCCTTAATATTTAGTTAATCCTAATTAGTTCCACGTATAAAACGACACTTAAAAATGTAAAGGTACGCTGTTAACCGTTGTTGGACACAAGTTTGAGACCTGCCCGTAATATCGATTTTTTTATCTATCCACAAAATTTTGGCGTAGTTAAGAACTCTATTGTAAATATTTTGTTAAGTAATGCTAAAATATGGTCTTTAAATTATTGTATGTGAAATCTCTTTGCGCAGTTTTAGGTAAAACATTTTGTAGTATGTTTTCATTAAACGATTTACTAAAAAATAGATGACGTCAACGCCATCGACGCAAAGTAAAACATTTACTTTTGTTTATTTCTAAGGTACGGTCGAGAAATATTATTTTATTAAAATTTTAAGTAAACCAACCACATAGAGCTATATTCGAAAATGATAAATACGATTAAATATAAAATAGATAATAAATCAAACATAATTATAGTAATCATTGATAGTTAGAGTGTTATTTGGTGAATACGTGTGGGTAAGTACTGGTGTGAAGCGGTCAGCATTCTTGCGAGTTAATCTTAAAAGATAGACAAATTGTGTCACGTTGGTTGGATTTTTTGGGTATCTTGAACCATTTTTGCAATGCACGCCATAAAAACCCTCAAAGATTAATAATTTTTGCCGTTTTTTCAGATATTTTTCCTTTTTTCTTCACTCTTATTGGTCGCAGCGTGATATCTTATAATGTAAAGCCTTTTTTGCCAAATAGTTCATCCAGTTTTCAATTCGAATTAGCAGTTCTAAAGATTAGAGCGTTAAAGAAACAAACTTATATTATTAATATGGAAGAATAACATACTGAAAATTGACATGCGGTACGCAACGTCGTACTAACCGCAATCATAGTTGTGCGATGATAAGCTGCTTGTTGCAAATAAAATTTTAAATATGCAAAACGTGGGTTGAATCTGTTCTTCATGTATTATAAAATACTATTAGCCTCTTGTACTCTACCCAAAGTTTTTAATCGCTACAATATACAGCGACACGTGTCAACTAAGCGATAGTTTAGCTCACGTAATTGTTAAAAATATTTGTACAATACTATAACACTTAGTAAACATTAAAAACGTACGTCTTGAACGAAAATCGAGATAAGAGATAATTTTTATTTAGATATCACTTCGACAGTTGATATCTTTAGATAAATCGATAAAATAACATTCCAAAGAATCGCTTTCATTGAAATATAAATATTCAGCTTAATATTATAATATAATACTAACAATATGTTTTAAAAACGTTTTATAGTCTATGGAATAAAAATTATATTAATAAGATTATTAATGGAATATTGTACAAATTTGTTTTATAGTATAATATCTATAAGGACGCGATTTTTTTACGCGTCATTAATAAATAATGCTGATTACAATGTGATAATTTATATTTCAAGCATGAATTCACGTGTCACACATCACTTGTAATTAATACCTTTATCACGTGTAATTTATGATACACATCGTTACAAACAAATTCATAATTCCCGTGTGTTTATGCGATAATTTTTAATTTGGTGTAATAAAAAGTAGTTGAACAACAAATGAAAAAAGAAAACACGGGTGGGACTTGAATCGATGTCCTCAGCGTTACTTACTCTAACCAATTAAGGCGTGTCCTACATGTCCCTTTAAAATTTATATTTCAAATAGTTTTACATTAAATAAAACTTTTTAACACTTAGAAACGCTTAACATCAGGTCTCAATAAAAATATAATGTAACGAAATTAATAAGATCGTAGATTTACATAAAACACTTTAACGGTTTAAAACGCGATATATTAGTTAAACTAAGCTAGTCTTAGTCTCCCCGTGACCACGGCTGCTGCAAAACATTTGAAAAATTATAAATTAAAAATCATTTTCAAATAAGTTTAACTATATATCGTTATATATATATATATATATCGCGTTGTAAACCGTAAAAGTGTTTTATTTAAATGTGAACTCGCGTAAACTATAGACAGCATTTAAGTGAAATCCAGTGTATTTGGAACACAACACGATTATGGGCATCTAAATAGCGAGGTTCATGCACATTCTTCACATTCGTCTCGTCCTTTATCTAAAAAGTATTAATTAATTTAATAAATGCAAAATTTAGAGCCTTGTTTTTTAATAGTAACTCAAGTTTTTACTGTGTGGTTTTCATGTCGTCTTTGCCCTAAAACTGTAATGAATAACATATACTACCAAACGACTTAAGTCAAATTATTCCTAATAATCATTCATTAAATTAGATTTAACAAATGGAACAATGGTCTGATATTTATTATTATTAGTTAATGTAAATAATTAACTTAATAATACTATATTCGTATTTTATTTGTTTGCGCAGTAAATTGTTTTAATATTATTGTTATATTGATGTTCATAGCTGTACCAAGTTAAATTAAAAATCGATTATAAATTGAAAAAAAAATATGATACGGGCAGGACTTGAATCGGCATCCACAGCGTTCAGTGCTGTAGCTCTAACCAATTAAGCCACCATGTCCTAAACGTCATCGCCGAATTTTTTACGTATTGATACATGCACCTGTCGCGGAATGCAATTTCAATCTTAACACTTGCGCATTACCAAGTTACCTATACGAACAAATCATTTTAGATTTAGTTTGAATTCTGATATTACTATTCTTGTTCATATACTTTTTTTCTTTTTCAGTCATGTATTCGCTATTTCTTCTAACACTGCTGGGTACAGCGTTAGCTGTACCGCTTAACACAAATACTTCAGCGCAATATGGCCACTATCGCTTACCTGGCGAATCTCATCCTACCCTCTACGATGTTCGTTTAATAATTGACCCGGGAAAGACAGACACGTTCAACGGAACGGTCACTATAAGAATTATCCCGGATATAAATACCCAGGAAATAGTGCTACAGGCTATGGAAATGACGATTGAGAGCGTAGAAGTGTTCACAGAAGTCAACCCGACTGTTGACATATTTGACAGTTTTACGTTAGCCACAGATGATACTCACTTTTTGAGGTTGCGCATGACACAGCAGCTGGTCGCGTTACAGCCTATTACAGTTAATATAGTCTATGTCTCTAAGTACGCTGAAAACATGTTTGGACTGTACGTCTCAACTTTTCAGCAGCCGGGAGTCGGTCAAGTGTAAGTGTATATCTTTTACATTGTATTAAAATAAACGAGTACAAGAGAGCTTCTCTTTTTTTAATGATAGAAGATGTCTTTTTGGGGTTCACTTGATGATATGTGGAATATCCCAGCCTATAGCATTTAAACAAGATGCGCTGTTTTTTGACTTTGGATATTCGGATATCCACAGACTGAAACGGAAACTTTACGGTTCTTTATCTGTATGTATTTCCGCCCATTTAATATCCAGATTTCCAGACGAAGTCCAACATGTTTCAGAAAAATTGTAAATTGATTTGAAAAAGGTTGGATCCGGTGAGGATCGAATCCACAACATTTTGATTATTAGTCGTTGCTACCATTACACCAGCGAGCCCGTCAAACGTCTCTAAGTAGAGCAAAGAATCAGTGAGTGGGTTGTATCTTGATTCCTAATTTCGACAATGGTTTTACAATTTACATACAATACTTTCTTAAGTGTGAGTTCGAGATAAGCTTCTACTTTTTATTAAATATTTATAAGAGCTAAAAATATGCGTTACAGTCGCAATGAAACAATACTTACATAGTTACTAACAATTTACACAATTAACCGACTAACCTATTCAATTTAAGATTAGCAAAACGCTTTCATTTCTTCATATCGGGACCCTTATTTTAATTACAAGATAATATTTAATAATACTGATGCTATCTCGTTTTCCTAAAATTTTATACGCTTAATGATAACGCTGATTTATTAATTACATACTGATAGTTGATAAGCGATCCGGCGTGTGTTTTTAAAAGTCCCGGGCTCTAATCAAGTTAGATGTATAACATATTTAGTATATATGTATGTAAGCTTGTATGTCACAAAAGTTGTCGTTTGACTTTTGGTATCTGACTCTGATATCAAGCATCACATACATAAAAACTAGAACCTTTTCATAAATTAACAATATACATAAAAAATATGATTATTGTTAATTTTGTAAAAGGTTGGTTATCAATGTTTAAATTAAATTGAGGTTCTTTAATGTTATATTGTTATTCTAATACTATATTAGCTTTTAATAAAATTTGTATATTGTTTTTATTTTACTGATTTACATCCTACAAGGATAGATTACTCATTTAAACTTCACCCATTAAAAAAATAACTTGTGGCTTATATAAATAAATAAAAATTTGATAAAAGAACAGTGTAGCTATAACATCTTATACCTCACTTCACTTAACTAAAACTCCCGCTCTTAAACTTTTAAGTTGTAATGTTCTAACAGTCGAAGTAATTTTATATACTCGTATATATTTCAGTAACTTGGTCACATCTCAGCTGCAGCCTACGTTCGGACGCCGTGCGTTCCCTTGCTATGACGAGCCAAAATACAAAGCAGTTTTTAGGACAACAATCTATGCTCCGCCCGCGTACCCTGTTGTCAGGACCAACATGCCTGTCCGGACGGATTTGTCCAAGTAAGTTATTTTATTTAGTGTTTAAAATTAATACTTTTAAGTTTATCGCTTGTATGAATCAGATCAAGTATCAGTTCCAATAGCTAGATTGATGACTGACGAAAGTTCAGGCAATCTATAAAATATTAGAATTCTTATTGTTCAACATATAAAATCGTTGTGCAATCGATGTGAATTGAAATTAATTTAAACTATATTTTCACAACGACACGTTTACTCGTATTGATCTCTCTTGTTATAAAATTTGTGCAATAATAATGGTTGAGTAAATTCCTTTGATTATGAACCATTTTGTTAAAACCATAGATTATAATTTCTATTAAAAAGAAACTAAAAAGTGACAGAAATGTTAGCTATTTAAAATTGTCCAACGTGATGAATTTGACAATTTGAAATCCGAACGGAATAAGTCCCGTTAAAAATTTAATTAGTTACGTAATGAGTCATAATATACAATAATGTATCTTAGTCTATGGGTAAATTGTAAAACATTAGGTCCATCCAACTATAAAAAATATCATAACTAGTTTTTTTAATATTCCATATTTTAATATATCAGTATAATAATTTTTATGTACATCTCTAAAGTTTTAAATATAATTTAATTTATGTCTGTACGCTAGTACTACACATAATTATAAAAAAGTAACGGTTTAAAACACGTATGTGGTGCCATGGCTGCTGCAAAGCATACGAAACATCTGGTCGTATAAGTTTTTTTTAACTAAAATATTTCGCAATTTAAACCGTTAAAAGTATTTTTATATTATAGTTTTTAAAGTTTTTATGAAGTAAAATTTTAGTAAGTTATAGACACATATATGGCATTTGACGATCAACTTTTATTTGTTACATCACTTATAAAACGAACCTTTTCAGGCCGGCAATTCCTGGATTTGTAAAGTTTGAATTCCAAGACACCGTTGTGCAGTCGTCCTATCTCCTTGCATTCCTCGTGTCTAACTTTGGCCACGTCTCCAACGAGGCAAATGAGATCTACAACGTTCCATTCAGGGTATACTCTAGACCTGGTACTCAGAACACAGCAGCCTTTGCTCTTGATTTTGGCCAGAGGAACATGCTAGCTCTAGAACAGTACACGCAGTTCAGATATGCCTTACCTAAGCTCGATAAGGTTGCTGTACCAGATTTTGCTGCTGGTGCCATGGAGAATTGGGGGCTGGTTATTTACAGGTAAGTTTTAAATCTTGGAAAAATATAGAAAGATTTCGATTGGGTAGAGCGCAGACTAACAAACTATTATTATTATGTATGATTTTATTAATATGACGTAACATCGTATAAGTAACGATGGCATGATGCCTAGTGCCCGGTTATAGAGTATATTATGTAATATTAATGTTTGTCAATAAAACCAAAGCGATTTCGTGAAATACGTTCGGGAACACATTTAAAAAGGCATATAACAGATTATAATAAATTTATTAATTCTTTGAATATTTTTTTTATTGCGACCTTATTTATGATTTTTACTGCGACCCTACTGTCGTCGTTAAATATAAAATAACTTAAATATTTCGCGATTAAAACCGTTAAAAGTGATGTATTTAGATAATCTTAGCTAGTACTATAATAAATACATAAAATAAAGGTCGGGAACCTTTATTTAATGGACCTATAGCAGGCATTTGTAATTCCCATTGTTGAGTTCAGTAGCGTTGTTTAGAAGCCCTTTAGCTTAGCGCCTGCGACGAATGAGCCATTATTCAAATGGAGTGTGCTGATATCAACAGATCTCGCAGGGCTATTCATCTCGCTAAATTAACCTACAGCGGTACCCTAATGAAACTCGTCGCCTTTGTAACAGCGTTAAATGAGCGTGTTAGATTTTATTAAAAGAAACCTAAAATATAGTTATAGGCATTGGTTTTTATGAGATATTAGAGATATTCTGTAAAATAACAAGAAGTTATAGTGTCAAAAGCTCTAATCAAATTCTATTTCGTAAAACAAGATATATTTCAGCAACGTATTCCCCATAATAACAGCAACATATTTATTGTATATGTTTATGTATAAACAAACGTCTAGGAATTTAACAAATAATGGTACCCCAATTATATATACATTTTATAGATATTTATCTATATATTACACAAGGCTACGATACTTAGTTGACATATATTTTATAATTATATGCCAATTCAATATAATAAAAAAGTATATATATCATAACTTATTTATTACAATATAATAATGTACATCAAATAATTGTTCAATTCAAACCAGTAAGTAGTTCCTGAGTTTAGCGCGTTCAAATAAACAAACTCTTCCGATTTGTAATAAATCTAATAGAAAACAATTTTTATTCTAATGGATTATTATAAAGTAGTTCTAATTTTGCTGAATTTACTAATCAATCAAATCTAATATAATATCATAAGAAACGTGTGTGTTAAATACCTATGTGTAACATAGCATAGGGATATTGTCGCGACATTTTCAGAAATAACATAAAAAAATCTCAAAAATTCATATTAATTTTCCCCCAGAGAAATCGCGTTACTAGTGACAGAGGGTGTGACCACCACATCAGCTCGTCAAAGCATCGCTATCATAATCTGCCACGAGAACATGCATATGTGGTTCGGAAACGAAGTCAGTCCCCAGAGCTGGACATACACTTGGCTCAACGAGGGCTTTGCAAACTTCTTCGAGAACTTTGGAACAGAAATGGTAAATGTTGCAATGTATTTATAAAAAAGGCTTACTAACGATGTGCACACACATGTTTTAAACTACTAACGCTAATTTTATTTAAATTATAGTGGAGGACAACAAGCATATACCCTAGCCAGCATATCATCCAAATAAGTGGTACTGTCGCTCTACTTTGGCTTTGGATATTCGGAAATCCACAGACTGATACCAAAACGCGATTAAGCTTCACGGCTTTTTCATCTGTGAACGGTGGTTCTTGACTCAGACGGAATTTCTATGTTCCTTCCATCCTTTTAATATCCAAATTTTCAGAAAAAGTTCAATGTGTTTTTGAAAAATTAGAAACATTGGACCCGTTGGGAATCGAACCCGTTGATTATTAGCCATACTTTTTTACCATTACACCAACAAGCCCGTCAGATTATAGTAAGAATAATTTTTAGGTACTTAACTTATAAGTATGTACAACGTTTACTATATATATAGAAAGATAAAGACATACTACACGCATTGAAAATAAAACGCAAGTAACAAAAAAAGTAAACCGACTTATTCTTAGTTAATTCTACATAAAAATTTAATCTATCAGACAATTTTACCCATTAAAATATTAAAATACTTGTCCTTTGAAATTATTAATTTAAAGCAAATATTCTTCTTCTGTTTCTTCCTAATAATCATCCTTTTATTTTTCCGACTCTGATTAAAGCAAATCTGAGATGTCTCAACCAAAATAATGGCTAGCTTTTAATAGGAAACCTTATCTCTTCTAAATACAGTGCAAAATCGAATGACAATAGAAACGTTCTTTATCCAATATCTTTACAGGTGCTGCCAGAGTGGCGTATCATGGATCAATACGTTTTGCTGGTACAGGGTGTCTTCCAAAACGATGCTGTACTGAGTGTAAATCCAATGACACATCCTGTATACACTCCGTCGCAAATTATCGGCACATTTAACGCTGTTGCTTACCAGAAATGTAAGCATCTAACTTTTTATTTTTTGTCACTGTTATCATTGATCTGCGGTAGAATAATATGCCTACCAACAAAGTAGTGTTAGTATAATAATACTGAATGAGCTCTATGGGGATTTTTATTGAGTTTTAATGCATTAGACCACACTCTACAAAACATACTTTACTACTACTTTAGACATATTTAAGCTTTAGACCTTCAAAAATCTAGACTGAAACGGAAACATTACGAAAACTATTTTCGGCAGCTGGAAGGAATTCCGATATTCTGCACGAAAAGTTTAGAAACACGTTTAGTGTTTGACGCGGTGGGGATCGAACTCACAGCCCGTACATTATTAGCCTAACATCGCTTTTTGAACCAACGGGTTCGTTAAAGTTTGAACACAAAACGATGATGATGTCAATGACAATTATAGCTATTAAATACATCTCTATTTATTGTATGTATTATATCCTTCACAGCTGGTTCGGTCATTCGTATGATGCAACACTTCCTAACACCAGAAGTCTTCCGTCGTGGTCTAGTACTCTATTTGGTGGCCAAGTAAGTATCAAATGTAAGTTTTTTCAACAAAATAAATACAGCAGATCAGTGGAAGCAACAGCACGAGCAACGAGGTTGTGGATTCGAGTTCATTTATTTGGATTACAAATAAATTTCAGCTATATATTCAAAGGAACACTTTCGAAACTAGGAAGTACAAAAGCTTCGGAGATGATCCATTGAACTAGCATTGCGTTAAACTACAAAGTCCTGAGTTTAAATCTCGGGAATAAAATAAATTATTTCGGACAAGTAGGGTAGAAGATTTGATTAACTATTTGTCTGTAAATGAAATCACCTTTCCACATCATTCACGGGAAAACAAATTTTCACTTGTTTACGTTTTACACTACCATGATGATTACATGAATTACGCCTTGCATACTTAACTTAAATTGAGTCTCTTGTTTTGTATATTGTACACAAAATGGTTGTTAATGCTTTGAAATTAAGTATTTTTATTTATCTTTTGTTGAAATAAAAATATGTAAAATTTTTGTATAAGTTAATGTAATGTCCTCCAATTTTTTTGGTTTCTGAATCACATACAATTTTCATTTCCAGTTCTCGTACTGCTGTTACACCACCAAACCTATATGTGTCTCTGCAGCAAGCTCTTGATGAGTCGTCTCACAGGTTGCCCTTCCCAGTAGCTACTATTATGGAGCGATGGACTACCCAGGGAGGTTTCCCAGTACTCAGCGTAGAGAGACAAGCCGCTACAGCACAATCTATTTCTATCGCCCAAGTAAGTTCTACTTAAGTAGGCTCTTATGAAAGAAATAATATGAAGTCGGAAACTCTTACAATATAGTTTACGCGAATGGTAAAAGTACATGGATAAAAATAAAACGATTTACTTTGACATAATATAAGTTAAAAATCGGTTTTAGATGGAAAAATTATGCTCCGTAGAGCAACAGCACGTCGGTTCAGGTTCTGCCCGTGTCGTTCAAAAATCTATTTTTAATTTACAAAAACTATATGTTGTGTTTTAGCCCGTCGAAAGTATTTTATTTACTTACTATTTTGTTTAGAAAATGTTCTTCAAAGTAGCAAATATTTAAAAAAAACTTTGTAATAAGGTTTATTAGTTATTCCACTTTATCAGTAACAGATCTCTGTTACTAAATAAAAATAACGGAATTTCGATATTCCTTCCACCCATTTAACCAAATATCCAAAATTCGAAATGACGATTAAAAGAAATATCAATTGATGTGAAAAATGTATATTATATTTACTCTTAATTTTCAGCGCCGGTATCTCACTGATCCTGCGTTATCGTCTTCAGAGCAATGGCATGTCCCAGTCAACTGGGTTTTATCAACAAACCCTAACTTCAATGACACAAGCGCTCAGGCTTGGCTTCAACCCAATAGCCCAGCCTTGGCTGTTGACATTCCTGGTTTGTCTGATGCTGAATGGTACATCATCAATAAGCAGCAAACCGGTGAGTGAAATCCAATTATTTTTGACGAGATGATTCTTTTGAAAACTTTATTATTTTTTACATGTTATTGCACATGACGGTGAAAATAAATGAATCGATAAATTGAAAAAAACTTTCGACTCGGGCAGGACTTGAACCGGCATCGGCAGCGATGATTCTGCTTCTTCTTACGATTAAATTGACGATTAGATAAAGATTTATCAATGATTACTTGAAACTAGGACATAACGTTTATTTTATTCGGGCTCGATATAATTGTAGCAATGCATGGCTTATAATAACCGGTCGTGGGTTTGATCCCCAACGGTCTAACATTATTGTAATCAATTTATAATTGTTCTGAATCATGTTAGATCAATATCGAAATTCCGTTCGGGTCACGAACCACCGCCCACAGAAGAAAAAGCCGTTAAGTCTGTATCAACGTTATTGTTAAATACTGTCTATAGTTAACGCGAGTAGTACACATTTAAATAAAACAGTTTTTTGGTTTAAAACGCGATATATTAGTTGCGCGTGGTCACGGGGAGTCATGACTACGGCTGCTGCAAAGCAGCGGAAACGTCGGGCCGAAGTTAAAAATCATTTTCAAATGAGTTTAACTAATATATCGCGTTTTAAACCGTTAAAGTGTTTTATTTAAACGTTATTGTTATCACTGCATAAACATTTAGGCAAATAAACAAAGTGCAACTAAAAATGTTACTGTCAGCATGCGTGAGGTCAAAATAAATAATATAATAATGTTATTTTTTACTTATCATATATTTTTCACGAACCCAATAGCCATTTTGGTTTGCTGTACCAACGTGGTTCAATCACAAGCGAATTCAATATTAAACTTATTTATAATACAGTCTATAATCCCATGTTCCAGGTTACTACCGAGTCAACTACGACCTTCGGAACTGGCGTGCTTTAGCGAATGCCTTACAAACATCCCACGAAGTTATCCATCTTCTTAATCGTGCGCAGATTGTTGACGACTCTTTCAACTTGGCTAGAACTGGACGACTTGTAAGATTAATTTCTACGGCAATTCATTATTGTTATTATTGAAAATAATAACAATATACTAAACTAAAACTATTGCACCCGTCAGGCATAGGGCGAACACATTTCTGTGGCCGTTTTGCCTAATTTTATTTACACTCAAGTAGATGATTAGACTTCTATGCCCCGCCCGACCGAAACAATTTATCGTTCAGAATTCGAACCTCTCACTTATTTCAATACGAAGCAACACGCTGAGCCATTGAGGTGTAGATCAGGTTGCACGCTTAAATAAATCATTTGGTAATTGTAAAGCATTGCCAAATAAAAATCCACCCCACCCAGCTTACTATGTAATTTATTTATTTATTTCACACTTAGGTACACCAAACAGAACTTACAGATACTATGCAATTTAAAACTAAAGAGTGTATCTGGCGGTCTTATCGCTATAAGCGATATCTTCCAGGCAATCCAAGTAGAAAGAAACTAACGATTAATTAAAAACCATAGACCAAGAAGTGCGAAACTTACTAATTTACTTTCTAGTCCTGAATTGTAAACTTATGTAATTGAAGCTAAGTTCAAGTCAGTTAAGTCTAAATTTTAAGAATTAAATTAAGAATCGATTTTAGATTTACTTTTTTCAGGCAGGATTTAAACCTGCATCCATGCTGTTCCTATAATAGATTGAGCTACCGTGTCCTACACGTCCAATCCAATGATATATGCAACTCTCTCGATATGTAGTGTTAACCCTAACAGTTGCTTCTACTATCTTTATAATTACTTAATTTCTTGTAAATTTCTTCTTCAGGATTACGAGTTTGCTCTAGACGTTTCTCGTTATTTGGTAAACGAATCTGATTACATACCATGGGGATCAGCCAACAACGCATTTGCTTACTTGGATGTAGTTCTATCTGGAACAGATGCGTATCCACATTTCCAGGTAATGCATGATGTTTTTGGTTAATAATAAATAATAGAAAAGGGAGATCTCATAATTATAATTAGGAATACAATTTCATTTCTCATAAAAACGCGTTACATTAAGTAGTCGACAAGTTTTTTTGTAATTTTTTGTTTATTACATGCTATTAAAAAACATATTCACGACTTATATCATATATTTTCACATGCTCTCTAGAGCTTGTATATACTTGAAAAAATTGAAAAATTAAACCAACAATATAATAATGGTAAATACTGTCTATAGTTTACGCGAGTAGTACACATTTAAATAAAACACTTTAACGGTTTAAAACGCGATATATTAGTTAAACTTATTTGAAAATGATTTTTAACTTCGGCCCGACGTTTCGGATGCTTTGCACAGCCGTGGTCACGGGAGAAAAATGGAGGATGTCTCACGTCAAAGTAAAAATTCTACCTACGCCTCTGTTCCGTCGAAGTTGGTATTTGGCGAAACTGGCCGGGTCCTTACAAATTGACTAACGGTGTCTTCGCGTTTGCTGGTATGCTGTTTATTGGGATCCAGAGTTTTTAATATGGGATCCCAGGTGTTTGATAGTTTGAGGCCGTCCTCCCTATTGAAATTTCGGTGTTTTTTGATTTCAATTGCTTCGCGTACAAATCTTGGAAAAAATCGACTCTCCTTTGCGAGGATTTTTGGTTGGTCAAAGCGAATGTAGTGATTGGGCCCTTCTGATGAGTGTTGGCATACCGCAGATTTGGAGAGACGTTTATGTTTTATATCCGCGACGTGTTCTTAATTCTGTTTGAGATGCTACGCTTTGTTTGGCCGAGTAGGATAGGCCACAACCATCAGTCTGTAAACCCTATCTTGTAAAGGGATAGTACACTTCTTGGTTTCAGGAATTGCTGAATCTTCTGTGCGGCTTGAAAATTGTGTCAATAGAAGCTCGATTTAGGACTCTGCTAATTCTATCTGTAACTCCTTCACATAGGTAGGTAGGCGGGCTGACTTTGACTGTGGGTGGCTTGTTCCTGTTCCTGGGATGCTGCGGAGGGACTCTCAGCTTGTTCTTGCATAGGACCTGCTTGACATGCTGTAACTCCTCATTAAAGTGGGCAGCATCACAGAGACGGCGGGCTCTCTGAAACAAATACTCCGACAGAATAAGTTGGCTGGGGTGGTGATGTGAGTCACCGTTCAAATACCTATCTGTATGGGTTGTTTTTCTAAAGACGGTATGCCCAATATTACCGTGTTCATCACGAATTACTAAAATGTCTAAGAAAGGTAGTGTGTTATTGTCCTCCTGTTCCATTGTAAACTTAATGTTATTGTGAATTGAGTTAAGGTGTGTAAGAAATGCAGATACTTGTGCTTTGGGTAAGATGGTGAAGGTATCATCTACGTATCGCTTGTAAAGCTTAGGTTTAACCGGGGAAGAAGCAAGGGCTCTCTCCTCAAAGTCTTCCATAAAAATTCCAACTAAGGGTGAAACTGGAGCCCATGGCTACCCCATCTACCTGAACATAGAAATCCCCATTCCAAAGTAGGTACCCGGTTGTCAAGCAATGTTCTAAGATATCCGCATATTCTATAGGCATGTTGTGTTTAATAAGTTTGCTCTTATTTTTGATACAATCACTATAGGTAAGTTTGTAAAGAGTGATGTGATGTCAAAGCTTACCATAACCTCATTGTCCGCTACCTTTAGACCTTTAATAGTTTCTACAAACTGATACGAATCCCTGACGTGAGCATTTGTATTTCCCCTGAGGGGAAATACAAATGCTCACGTCAGGGATTCACAACGTCAGGGAAACACAACATGCCTATAGAATATGCGGATATCTTAGAACATTGCTTGACAACCGGGTACCTACTTTGGAATGGGGATTTCTATGTTCATAGATGGGGTACCATGGTTCTCCAGTTTCACCCTTAGTTCTACATTTTTATGGAAGACTTTGAGGAGAGAGCCCTTGCTTCTTCCCCGGTTAAACCCAAGCTTTACAAGCGATACGTAGATGATACCTTCACCATCTTACCCAAAGCACAAGTATCTGCATTTCTTACACACCTTAACTCAATTCACAATAACATTAAGTTTACAATGGAACAGGAGGACAATAACACACTACCTTTCTTAGACAATAATTCGTGATGAACACGGTAATATTGGGCATACCGTCTTTAGAAAAACAACCCAACAGTAGGTATTTGAACGGTGACTCACATCACCACCCCAGCCAACTAGTTCTGTCGGAGTCTTTGTTTCAGAGAGCCCGCCGTCTCTGTGATCTGCCCTAAATGAGGAGTTACAGCATGTCAACAGGTCCTATGCAAGACAAGCTAGAGTCCCTCCCAGACCAGGAACAGGAACGCCACCCACAGTCAAACGTCAGCCCGCCTACCTACCATGTGAAGGGAGTTACAGATAGAATTACAGAGTCCTAAATCGAGCTTCTATTGACACAATTTTCACCGCACAAGAAGATTCAGCAATTCCTGAAACCAAGCAAGTTACTATCCCACAAGATGCAGGCGTTACAGACTGGATTGTGATTGTGGCCTATCCTACATCGGCCAAACAAACGTACATCTCAAACAGAATTAAAGAACACGTCGCGGATATAAAACATAAACGTCTCTCCAAATCTGCGGTATGCCAACACTCATCAAAAGGGCCCAATCACTACATTCGCTTTGACCAACCAAAAATCCTCGCAAAGGAGAGTCGATTTTTTCCAAGTTGGTACGCGAAGCATTGAAATCAAAAAACACCGAAATTTCAATAGGGAGGACGGCCTCAAACTATTAAACACCTGGGATCCCATATTAAAAACTCTGGATCCCAATAAACAGCATACCAGCAAACGCGAAGACACCGTTAGTCAATTCTGTAAGGACCCGGCCAGTTTCGCCAAATACCAACTTCGACGGAACGATGGCGCTAGCTCAATTCTTTACTTTGACGTCTGAGACATCCTCCATCTTTAGTCTCCCCGTGACCACGGCTGCTGCAAAGCATCCGAAACGTCGGGCCGAAGTTAAAAATCATTTTCAAATAAGTTTAACAATATATCGCGTTTTAAACCGTTAAAGTGTTTTATTTAAATAATAATGGTAGTTATTTCAACCTCCTTCTTCTTACCCTCTCAAACGAAGAATATTTTTAAAATTTTTAGGCCTTGTTAATTACGTTAAAAGACCACTGCTACAACATTTATTTTAATTCAATCGAAACCGAATTAAAGGAAAACTTAAATAAAGGAAAAACGACCAAATTGAGGTTGCGTAATTTCCTTCTGGCTTTTAAATTTAGCGGATAGCCATAATTGGGATTGGGGGCATGTGGTTGAGAGAAATTATCTTAATTAAAATTCTGTTAAAATTGCTTAATTTATATCCAATTTTAAAAAAGTTCTGTTTTAAATAAAACATTTCTAACGGTTTAAATATAATAGTTAAACTTTACATTTTTTTTTAATTTCGTCGATGTTTCGGATGTTTTGTATGAGCGGTTTTAAACCGTTAATGTGTTTTATTTAAAAAATGTACTACTTGCATAAAGTACAGACAGTATTTAGATCGGCTTTATTTGATGGAATCATTTTCTTTACTTAAAATATCAGTAAAATACATCAATGAAAACTACGATGATCCACTGTAGAATAAAAGATAAACAAACACTCATACACAATACGGAGTAAGTTATTTAATAATTAATCTTTTATCAAGGAATACGTGCGCGAGCTCTCAGCCCCGCTGTACCAGAGACTTGGCTTCGTCGCACAAGCTGATGAGGAGCACGTAACAGCTTTCCATCGCAACATCGTCTTAAATCTGAACTGTCGCCATGGCAACGCACATTGTGTCAACCAATCGCAGGAATTATTGCAACAGTTTAGGAATAATCCCAGTAAGTATTATGTTTTAAAAAATACTTTAACGGTTAAAAACGCGATGAATATTAGTTTAACTTTTACGAAAATTATTTTAACTACAGCCCGACATTTCGGATACTTAACAGTACAGAACGCTGTGTGGTTGTGTCTTTAAAACACACCTTTATTTAAATCTTAAATAGATTTTGAATTCAGGCAGAATTAGTTCAAGTCAGTTAGGTCAAAATGAACGTAAAACTGCCTAAAACATAAAAGACGTTTTATGTGTGTATGTTAATTTCCATGTCCTGTACCTGATACTGTTTTTATATAATTGTATCTATCTTGTTCTATTTCAGACCAGCGACTTAACCCTGACATACAGACTGTAGTATTCTGCTCCGGACTCCGTGGGGGCGACGTTGATAACTTCAACTTCCTGTGGGAAAGATACAGGGCCAGCCAAGACTCAAGCGAACAATCCATTCTCCTTAATTCCTTGGCTTGTACATCAAATCCCAATTTAAGGAACTTGTGAGTTTTATACATTCTATTTTGAGGTAGAGTGGAGGATTGACAAGCCTAGAGAGAGGATCGTTGGTGTAAGGTCGTTGGTCTAATTATTATCAACGCACCGTGGGTTCGATATGTATTCGTTAGTGTGAATACAGACTTATTTTGTACTATTTTTACATTTAAATCGTCTAACAATATATTTCTGTCCAGCTTCCTCAATCAAGTGGTAAATAGCACAACGCCTGTGCGGGAACAGGACAGACATACGATTGTCGTTGCGACCATTAACTCGAGCCCTGAAGGCATGGAGGCAGCCCTGGACTTTGTCCTTGAACACTTCGCTTCCATTCAAAATAGGTTCGTTAAAAATTTCACATTTTGTTGCGTTCTTGAATTCTTGGAAAGAGAATCGAATTTGTTCACTTTCGAGAACAAGAAAAGTTTTGTTTTTTCTCTATAATTTGTTTTAATCTAAAAATTTATTTTAGGGTACAAGGTCTCACTGGCACTGCTAACATCTTAAACGCTTTTGCCAGAAGATTAACAACAAGTGCTCATTCTCAAAAGGTAACTCATTTTAATGAAGAAATATATCTTCTTTTTTTTTAATTTTACTGCTTTTAAATAAAACAATTTAACCGTTTAGCAGCGGTGGTCACGGGACGTCAGTCTCCCCGTGATCACGGCTGCTACAAAGCATTCGAAACATTGGGCCGTAGTTAAAATAATTTCCGAATAAGTTTAACTGATAGATCACGTTATAAACTGTTAAAGTGTTTTATTTGAATGTGTACTACAGTATTTAATTTTGCTATGCATTAAGTTAGAGTAAAGTTTAAGCTTGAATTTATCATTCTTTGATCATTAAAAAGTACAATCTTAAGTATTTTTTTTTAATTTTACTTTGTACTTATTACATAATATATACGCATTGTCTAGCATTGCGTTAAGCGCGAGAGGTCTTGGGTTTGAATCCCAGCGAAGCAAAAAAATGTTTCGGTCAGGTAGGGCACAGAAGTCTGATCAACTACTTGCCTGTCAAAGAATGGATCAGTGAAACGGACACAGATATGTGTTCGCCCTATGCCCCACCAGGGGGAAACGGGATTTCACATACATAAACACGATCAAAATATACGTTTCAGATCAACACGTTTGTCAGTCGTTACCAAAACATCTTCTCTGCGTCTGAACTAGCGGCTGTGGGCAGTATTCGTGAAAATCTCGCGTCTTCTATTGCTTGGAGCCAAAACAATTACCAAACAGTTCGGAATTGGTTTGATGCATACTATCGTAGTAGTGCTATTGCTGTTACCTCTAGTTTCATCATCTTCATCTCTTTTCTTGTTACAATCATTAATCAGTAGAATATTACAGTAAGGTCACCTTAATCAACGACAATGTAGAGACGAATCTGTTGTTTACGTTGATTTCATCAATAATAATTTTTAAAAATGGATTAAAATGTCTATCAATTTTATCTATACGATGGACTAGAATAACAATTTATAATGAAAAAATAAGTTCTTCAATGATGTATTTGATATCACTATAAAACACAAAACTATTTCATTGTTTAACAATAAATAGATTTTAAACATATTTATTTATGTTATTATTAATCGTATCATTAAATTATGTGAATATTGTTACAACAGTTTTTATTGTTTAATAAAACATTAAAATAAATATATACCTTTCATTGTTCATAAGTCACCGGATGTGATTAATAGAGACAAGTTTAACAATGACCGAATAAAGGAATGCTCAAAGATATAGTTTATCTTGAAAGAACACTTTGTATGAGATAAATAATAAAGTTGACACAAATAAGGGAGGAAATTGCAATGTTTTTATAGATACAAGTTGATTTATATAACTTACCATAAAAAGCCTTCGTTTACAAGTTTTTTTTAAGGCGATTAAAAGTTTTAGTAGTATTAAAGCATTTCAAAAGACTAACAGAAAGTAACATGTTTAAATCCACTTGAAATTTATCACTTGTACTCCTCGACTTATCTATCCGATGGATTTATCTTACGTTTCCTTTTCAAGATACCGTTAAAAGAAAACCATCAGTTTATGAGTTGCTCTAGATGTAGCCTGATCATTGGCATGGTTTCACCTGGTGACACAAAGTTAGGCGCAGAAAATGGGTGTCTTTAAAATTATTACCGTGTTTGCCGTAATTTTTGTGGTAACAACACCCTTGCCGCTAAGGACAAAACGAACAGTGACTACACTAACCGACCCATTGGAGGATAGTATCGAGAATTTGGACCAGGGAAGATTAGCAAACATTGAAGCATACAGCGCTAGCGATAATGATAATAAGAGAGACTTAAGAAATTCTGAAACGAGCTCTCGAAATAATCTGAGAGAAGGTTTGCTCGCATCGAGATATGAAGTGAAGTTGACACCGAATTTTGCTGACGGCACATTTGCTGGTGTAGCAAGAATTTCCGTTATATTAAACTCAGGAGTAGCAGATCCCATCAAATTCCACTTCGTCGATCTGAAGGTGGGAACTGTAAGAACAATAACGGGAACTACCTCTACCGAAGTTACAAATGTTAAAGTTAATGACGGGGTTTTAGAAATTAACACTGGAGCGGAATTATCGCTTTACACCTTCGAGATTGAGTACAGCGGTACACTGGAGGGAGCTGGTATAGGATTCTATAGGGGAACTTATGAATCTGAGTAAGTTTATAAATTATTATAAAATAGCAAGCCGTTAAACCCCCATATCCCATAAATTAATTAGATTTCTTTGTTTGTTCATCTTTTACAGGATTCTTAATTATGACTCATAAATAAAATGATCGAATTTTTGCTTAAGAAACTATAGCAGCAACATTTTAAGCTTAACTTTTCATCTAGCTCTTTTAATAGTACCGGGAAAAAGGGAAACGAAACATCTGCAAAGGAACATTGTAATTTAATATGAGAAAAAAATGTAACGTTGCATTGTTCGTGAGAAAAAGGCATTCGGTGTTACGACTCCCTCGGGCAACAGTGAAACATTCACACAAAGGGTTTGTCGTAAAACAAAAGCATTATAACTATGCACATAATAGGCCATAGCATTTTTTTAACCTTTATTATTATATTGGTACATATGCAGTCGCATAGATAAAATTTTTAAAAATAAAATGGCAATACTGATCAAGTCTACCCATCGAGTAATGCTGATTATTTTAAAATTCCCTGAAACTCAAAATGATTGACGTAATCTAAAGCAGCTTATCTACAGATATATTATCTCCATCAAACGTCGCAAAGTATTTCTTGAAAGCATAAGAGTGGATGTCGTAACAATTTCTTTGGACGATTTTACTAATAACACTTCCCCTTGATCTTGGCCTAAATCCACTTAAGAATTCGTTCGTCGCATAATAAATAAAAAAAAACGTCATAATCAGGTATAATTTGGTATACGAGTATTGTACTATAAAAATCATTTTATGCAAAATTTAAGTATACTATAGTACAATTTTAGTGGGAAATGGAGCTTGGGAACTTTTTAGTTAAAATGATATATTCATATTCTATAAAATTTAAATCAATACGTTAATACAATATAATCACTATGTGCACCCCTAATTAACTTATTTCAGAAAGAGAATGTTATTTGTCTATGAATAAAAAAAAACCGCAGGAATTATCAATACGTTGCCGAAAGTTAAATCACGAATAATCGTTGACAAAGTCATTGAACTGAGTATAAAATAAATATACTACAAAAATGTAATTTAATATTTCCAAGCAATAATCGTGATCACTTCAGATAATAAATAATAAAAAATGCTAGTTGGTTAAATTATAACGGGAGAGTTGAGTTCAACCAACTTCAACACTATTTATTAATAATTCAATTTATATATAATTTTTCTGAAACATGTTGTCTGAGCAATCTGAATATCAAATAGAAATCAAATAGGTATCGAAATTCCGTCCGGGTTACGAACCACGTGAGTCTTAGATTAAATAGATTTTACATTTAAAAAGCCAAAAAGACTGAAAGCGCTTCTATTGCTGTGTAAACTCATGCTCGTTTATGCTTATGTTACAAAAAACACAACCTAAACTGTTGTTTAAAGAAAAAATCGATAGATCTCAATCCATAATCTTTATCTCGTCATGTTCTGACGTTATCAAAGCGTTCTCAAATATCACACATTATCGTAGTCGACCTATTTGTTAGTGTAACTCTTTCTTCGGCAACCGTATTGTGAGCTCAAAAGTTATATAAAATGGCCCGGGTCAAATACAAGCTGCGGGTAGTTCTACTTTTAATTATGTTCTACGACTTAATTGAGAGTTTTCCAATCGAAAGAACATCCACAAGAAATAACGTAAATGAAGAATCTGTTGAAGATAATATTAGTTCCGATCTTTTCGATGGTACAGAAAATAATATCTTGAATGAGAAAGAACTTTACAAGAGTAGTGGAACAAATGAGATATTACGAACTCTAAGACCAGGACAAGACGCTAGAGGTTACACTGTCAAAATAACAATAGTAGATGCCTCAACATTTGCTGGTCGTGCTGTAATAGAAGTTGTACTATCAGAGGCGACGCGAAACGATCCTATGGATTTTTATTTGGAGGATTTGACTGTTACGAAAGTTACAGTTGGAAGTTTTTCGGAGGCCAACGTCATAGCATCTACTTGGACATTAGAAGATGGAAGATTGCGAGTTACTCCCGAAGTGACATCGTCTCTACTTATTGTTAGTGTAGAGTACACGGGGCAGTTGAAGAATACTGGTCTTGGAATGTATACAGGACGCTACGATTCCGAGTAAATTTTGTTTGATCAGGTTTATTTATAGCATTTAGACAATTCAGTAATGAATACTTTCTGTATTTTACCCGAGTATTTTTCATTTAAATAAAACAATAATATATATTAGTTAAACTCCCTCCCTAGTATGCCTCCTGTGACTACGGCTGCCGCGAAGCATCCGATACATCAGCCTGTTGTTAAAATAATTGTCCAACAAGTTCAACTAATATTTATCGCGTTTTAAACCTTTAAACTTTAAAATTATTTAAATTCAGAATTTGCTAAATACATAGTATTTCGTAAAAGTAAACATTTAACTCTCATATAAAAAAGTTAAGAATTCGAGTAATATTTTTCGATAGTCATTATACGATATATCTTAGAGGAATGTTTAAATATATCACGCAATATGTAACGTCTTTTGTACTTGACTTAAGCATTAGCGGTTTCCACAGTTTTTTTTGTAAATGCGTCGCAGTGCTGCTGTTAGTCCAGAATAAGTTATACAACAAAATTTGTTTTTTTCACAGAACTTACGTAGCAATGAATCTCCATCCGACAAATGCTCGCCGCGTCTTCCCCTGTATAGACGAGCCGAACGTCCAAACAACCATCTCGTTCACCTTTGCCGGAGTTAATACCTATACAAATGTTATCGCTAATTCTAAACGGTTAGCGACTCAACCAACGGAAGGAGAGTAAGTATTCTTAATATAAAATTATATATTGATGAGCTTGAAGAACAATCCAAAACTGTTCTTTTTTTAAACTATCCCGATTTACAGTTATAGGTTTTGCAGAAACAAACTTACTAAAAAAGTTGTAAATAAATTGGTTTCTATTGTAAAAACGATGTAGATTAATCCTCATTCCAATGATACCAATTTATATATTTTTCGAAACACGTGGAAAATGTTAATATCAAATGGGTGGTAAGACTATTGAATTTCTGTCTGAATAAACATATATATATATAGATAAAGCCGTAACATTTAATCGCGTTTCAGTTTCAGTTTTTGTATTTCCAAATATCCAAAGCCAAAATAGATTAACAGCGAATAGCTCGTATATTTCACTTGCCATCAAGCGAACTCCAAACTTGTCTGTCCATCTCTATTATAAAACAGGTAACTGATCTTCTGTTTCAGGTTACAATTCGAACCGTTATCCGGTGCGCCCTATCTCTGGGGAATGATGGCGCATAACTTAAGTCCTGCTAATTTACCAGCCTCAAATGTCGTTTTATACACCCGCCCTACAAGGAACAGCGGTGATCTACAAACTAGCGTGGCTATTAACAACTACTTCAACTTCTTCAATAATTTCACTGCTAAACCGTATGACTCGATCATTGCCAATCAGCAAGGCGGAATGCACATTATGGCTTTACCAGATGTGGACAGGGATTGGTATGCGTTATCAACGATAGCGGTATGGTGAGTAAAAATTTAACACTAGTTATTTATTTTTTTACTTCTGTTCAACTATATGTATAAACATAAGGTCCTATATATTGCGCTTAATTAGTTACTATTGTTTAACTTTGATCTACTACGTAGAGTTTTATATATATCGCGTTTTAAACCATCAAAAAAGTTTTGTTTAAAATCTACATACGTACAACACTAGTAACTTGTACAAGTTTTTTTTCGGGATATGTGTCTGTTTTATAGACTTTTCTAAACAACAAGTAGATTCAAACGAAACTGAAATTCGAATTAAAGACTCCCATTTTACGAAAAGCCGTAACTGTTAAGTCACAGAGGCGTTCATTAATATAAGAAAATGACAGTATGCAAGAAACAGATATTTGAAAACTTTACAATTTTTTTACATGTATTACACGTGAAGGAATATAATATATATATATTTTGAAGCAACAGCACGGAACGCTGACGATGCCGGTTCAAGTCCTGCCCGAGTCGAAAATTTTTCAATTTATTTTCGATTTTTATATAGTGCCTTCATGTGCGATAACATGTAAAAAATAAAAAAGTTTTCAAACGTTATTCAGATTCGTAAATTTTAGTTTGTTTGTCTGTTCGTCGTGATTCTACAGAGTGTTCAAAAGAGCAACATAACTGAGAAGAAAACCCAACCCAAACTCAGTCCCTGTTTTTTTTATATGTCTTATAAACTAATACATTGTGAATTTATTAACCTAAGACGTAATTCATATTACTGTTAGGTGGTCTTGTCCTTCAAGAAATCGTTTAGACAATAATACGCCTTTTGAGACAATCTAATTTTTATAACTTTCTTAAATTTATTTACCAATAAATTTGAAATCTCGTCTGGCAATGTATTATACATCCGAATACAATTCCCCGCAAATGAATTACATAGATATTTTATGGAGACTAAATTTGGAGATAGCCAGGTTATCCTTATTTCATAAGTTCAAATTATGCCTATCACTATTCTTGCTCAACTTGCTTTTATTTTTATGCGCATACAATACATTTTATACAGTAACTATGTCGATATTTTTAAAATGACTCCCGAGATCCCATACCATAGATGACCCGAACCGCCCTTTTTTGCAACACAAAGATACATTCAATGTCGTATGCCATATGTCATAACACTGTGGAAGTAGCTGAAGAAGAGTATTGGCTATTTTAGATGCTTGTTTATTAATTTTAGGGAGCCTTACATCGTAATCGAAGTATCTGCCGCAGCGCGACAAAAGCAGATTGGGTTCGTGAAAATCGCTGAAGCTATGTCAAAACAGTGGTTTGGATATGTATTGGGACCAAGCAATTGGAGATATCAGTGGGTAATCACTGGTCTTGGTCGTTACGCTGCTTTTGAAGCTGCTAGAAGGGTATGTTGTCTTGAACTTCAATAAGTTTTCATAAAATGATATAAAGATATTTTTAGAATCAAGTAATATACTATTAATATGAGAGTCTGTGTTACACCGAATCGTTTGGCCCCCAGTTGTGGTCACAAAATACGAATTTAAAGATTACAGTACATATTTAAATAAACTTATTTGCTGTTTACAAACATGTGTCCGAAAACAGTTTCTTTATTGCTATGCTTGAATTCTAGTTGGAGTCAAATCCAGCAGATGCCGCTAGAATCGATATGGACGCTGCCTTCGTAACTGATGTAATACAAGAAAGTTTATTGGACGATTCATATACAAACGCGCTACCATTGGAACCTGACGCTGATCTCTTTAATGAAAACGCGATAAGAAATAACATTAACGGCTTGCAAAAAACAAAAGCGGCCGCGATAATGAGGATGTTAAGTTTGGTCCTTTCTCAAAATTCTGAGATTGATTATGTTAGAAATGCGGCTCAGACACTGTTTAATACAGCGTGAGTATAATTTGTGAATAGTATATAAAACAATATTAACACAATGAGGATATTGACGGATAAAAAAGATCCACATGAACATAAACAATAATATATGATTTACATAAACCTTAGGTAGTGCCTAATATACATGATTTTTAGTTTTATGTGGGAGGCCGGAATTTCATTGTTTCTTTTTATATGATACTAACCAATAAACAATAATACGCCGTACTAGTGTTTATTGGTTCATAATACTGTGCAACCGTAGCTAGCTAGCTGGATGGTAAAAGTCTTAGTGCCAATGGGCATAATCTATTGATTTATTTTTAATTTACAGAACACTAACGGACATAAATTCGAGGAATTTCTACGACACACTTTCCACCACTTGGAACCAAGCCACAAATCTTATAGGGAATTTACGTGATTTTGTACAGCCCTGGGTCTTAAACAATAACTATCCAGTTATCCGAATAGATCTACGACAAGGCAGCGGGGTAATTGTAACACAGGTAAGATTACGTCTTTGAAGTACGTGTGATAGCACCTAACATATTACCAAGAGTAATAAATACTGTCTATAGTTTACGCGAGTAGTACACATTTAAATAAAACACTTTAACGGTTTAAAACGCGATATATTAGTTAAACTTATTTGAAAATGATTTTTAACTCCGGCCCGAGGTTTCGGAATCTTTGCAGCAGCCGGGGTCACGGGGGGAGAAGTCTCCCCGTGACCACGGCTGCTGCAAAGCATCCGAAACGTCGGGCCGAAGTTAAAAATCATTTTCAAATAAGTTTAACTAATATATCGCGTTTTAAACCGTTAAAGTGTTTTATTTAAAAGAGTAATAAAGATAAAAGACCGTCTGTAGTTTACGAGAGTAGTACACATTTAAATAAAACACTTGAAAACGAAAACACCGCAAGTCAGTTCAGGAAGGAGCCGGCCAGATTCGCCAAATACCAACTTCGACGCAACTGACAGCGACTAGTGTAGCAGTTTTTTACTTTGACGTCAGAGACACCCTCGATATTTAGTCTCGTGACCACGGCTGCTGCAAAACATCCAAAACATTGGGCCGTAGCTAATATATTTTTCAAATAAGTCTAACTAATATATATCGCGTTTTAAACCAGTAAAGTATTTTATTTGAAAGATACAAGTATACACTTATGTCCATTTTTATTTAACATTCTTCTTTACATTTGCAGTCAAAACGTTTCATCTGCATTTAATCCTTGTTTAAAATAAATTCTGATATTTATTTATTTTACAGGAACGTTTCGGTTTTGCCAACCGACCTCAAATGAATTTCATGATTCCTCTTAGTTTTACAACAAGTGTCAATCCAGATTTCAACAATATCTACCCGTCACAAGTAATGCAGACGACAGCAACGCTTACTATGGATCTAACTGACGATGACTGGGTTATTTTCAATATTCAGGGCCAAGGTAAGGAAGATCAGATTATATTATATCTACTTACGTATATAAGATGAGTCTAATATACGACATAGACAGGACTTGAACCGGCATCCACAGAGTTCCTTAACAAAATACAACCTTTATATAATGCTCTCTTATACAATAATAAGAAAAATATTGAAGTATTTAAGATGAGCTACAGCTATCTTAAACGTAATAAATACTCTTTTATTTCAGGTTACTATAGAGTGAATTATGAAACTGCATTGTGGAACCGAATCATATCGGCTTTAGAAGACGAGACAAGACGAAACCAGATTCATCCGATTAATCGAGCTGTAGTAAGTATTAGAAGTTATTTAAAAACCTTACTTTATTATTAAACCAATTAAATAAATTTTTGGTAATAAAGAGTAGAAAGACAATCAAATGCTTATTTACCACGCGACGGCGTTAAAGAACGAGCGCGTTGATGTCTTTTCTATGCGCAATTTTCGTACTCATGCGCTTATTTATTAATAATAACCTCGATCTTATTGAAATGTTTTGGAAGAAGTAACCGTATTTTTTTTAAAAAATATTAATTCTCATTGAAAATATAAATAGAACAGTTTAACAGGCAGTTAACGTAAACTACAGGCAGTATTTAATGTCACATTATTTACTTCATATAACTATGAATTAATAAAGTCTTTTCGTAAGATAAATAATTAACAATATACAGTACTGCCGTTTGACAAGTCACTATTTATTCTTTCCAAACACTTGTATGGTCACAATGTATGCTTTCGTGTTTCAAACGTTCCTATCCACAAGTGATTTATATCAATTGGTTATGTTCATCATACACTTTTTTTAGCTCCTCGACGATGCTTTGAACTTAGCAAGGTCTGGTAGAATAGAATACAGTATTGCACTAAGAATCGTGCTAACCATGAACCTTGAGACCGAGTACGTGGTCTGGAAGGCCTTCATGAGGAATATGAACATATTGAGGAACCATCTTCAATCACTCGTCGATGACAATGACAATTTGGATTCTAACATATATGTGGTACAGAAAATTTACTTTATTATTTTATTTTCTTTGTGAATAAAATCTTGAACGAAATCAACATTTTATTCACAGCGAATAAAAGAAATATTCTATCGTTTTTACGATAAATAATATCTAAAATTAAAGAATGACGTTATGCAGCATGTAGTTAAAATAGTTTTTTGCTGAATCAATGAATCGCAATGCTTGGCCAATTTCATCAATTTAAATAATCAATTTAATACACATAGTGAGATAGGGAAAAGCTCTAAAAACGTTCAAACACACAAACGAAAAAAAAAAAAAACTTTTATAATAATTATACCTTTTTTCTCTATGTTATGTCCCTTAGCGTCAAATTGATCTGTAAATTGCTTGTTGTAGTTAAGGTAATTCACCATGAGGATAAAATATTTTTACTAACTTAACCGTTTAAACAGAACTTTAGGTAGTTTAAAACTCGAGTTTGTTTTGTTTGTTTGTTTGAAGTATTAGTTAAGTTATTTGTAAATATGACCCGATATTATTAATGCAAATTCGATAAAACAATAAATATTTCGTTTTAATTATTAAAAGTTTTTTCAATGTTTACTACTAGCTTAAGGTGCAGACTATACTTAACACGATCATTTTTGATACAGAGACTTATAGGACGTGTGACGAACGCAGCAGAAACAAATTTGACGTTCTCTCCTGACCCGAACCTAACCGAGCCCGCCATGAGATCCTTAGCCCGTGGTCTAATCATGGAAACAGTTTGTAAAGCCAATTATCAGCCCTGCGTGGCAGCTGCGGTGGACCTGTTCCGCGATCCTAACGACGCCAATGCAATGTTAGTATCTATATTTGGTGATCTATATTTTTAAAATACGTTTTAAGAATATGATAGTGTGAATATATAAAATATTAATGTGTACCGTTTAGAAGTAATAATAGTACTATTAATATGGGTATCACCACCTCTTTTACCTTTTTTATGGAAGCTCAAAAATAATGCCCTGTCATTTTAAACTTATTTTTACTGAAGAACCTCCAGATTTTTTTGTGAATTTATATTTTTTATGATAGAGGAGTGCAAAATAGCATGGCGTTAATTTAATGGTGAAATACCCCAGCAACGTAACATCTAAAAGAGATGTTCTGTCGATCTATTTTCGCTTTGGATATTCAGAAATCCACTGACTGAAACCTTAAATGCGATTAAATTTAACGGATTTTTGATCTATTTATTATTATTTGGTATTTGGTGACCCAGACGGAATTTCAAAATTTTCACATGTTTTAGAAGAATCAAAGTTTGATTAGAAAAATGTCGGACCTGGTGGAGATCGAATTCATAACACGATGATTATTAGTCATACATTGCATACCATTGAACCAACGAGCCCATCAAATTTATTGCGCATAATAAGTAAAATTTCAATTACTGATTTGTTGTATTGAAAATTATTCGATTTACAGTAATGGTAATATTCCTGCCGATATTCGACCAGCTGTATATTGCGCGAATATAATGTCTGGAGGTGAAGAAGAAAGAAACCTATTGATAGCTCATCTAGCGAAGATAAACAATCAATACGAGAGGGTTGTTATTCTGGAGTCATTGGCTTGTTCTACGGATCAGGATTATATACGAAGGTAGGAAACTACTTAAAAGGTACCTTCTTTCTTTTCATCTTTATAACATTTTTGAGATTAAAAGAAATGATAAAGCTTTCAAAGGCAACTTATCAATAAATATCTATACGCTCTCGAGTCTTATAAAAATAATTTTATTGGAAAAAAACATATACCTTTTGAATAAAACACTCTTAACAGTTTAAATCCGATATGTATTAGTTATCTTATTCACAATTTATTGTAACTACGGCTCGTCGTATCAGCAAAATATTTCGTGTTTTAAGCTGTTAAAGGCGTTTATTCAACTCGCGTAAATTACAGGTTGTACTTAACATTATACCTGCGAAGTGGACCAATATGTACAATTTCAAGTTAATTTTAATGGGAATTTTACGACTTTTTAAATAATGTGACATTTTTTATGATATCAAATTAATATTTTCTTTCTTTCTACAAGGTCTGAAGCTATTACTTGTTATTAGTAGTAGTTTCAAAAAATGATGTAGTTTACTACAAGCCTCCTTTTGCTGACTCTTATGCAAAAGTTCTAGATCGGCTATGCTTTGTAGCGATTATTAGCTCGTTGATATAATTTAAATTCCTATCGAGCCCCCAGTGCATGCTGAATTCCTCATTTACCCCTTTGCCTCAAAGAAGCGTTGTGCTGACCTGCATTGGCTGTATTAATGTTAACTTACAAAGGCTGCAACTTTTTAGTTACGAAAATAGAGCGTAGATTTATATTCTTTGAATTTCGAACAAAGAAACCTGAATTAAAATATGTATGCAACGGAAGTAGGATGAGTCGGGTTTTTAATTAATGAGCTTTATTCACGTGGCGCAATTAACTAGAGGTGCACTCACTTTCAAACTTCTTCAGTCTCTTTTTGGTCTCATAATTTCCATTGTTCTAAACTTTCTGTGATTTTAATGTTTCGCTGCGAATACTTGACAACGCGTGACTATTTATAACTTAGAGTACACACATTTTTATTTATTTGGTAGTTAAACTTCGAATTTGAAGTACCGTTATTTATTTGAGTAAATATTGTACGTATAGTATTATAAACTCCCCCAGCTATGGGAAAAAAATGAAAATGTGTCGTCGTCGCTATTAAAAATGTTTCTTGGGGTAAACATATTCTTACAGCTAAATAGGTTAAGTTGCACTACAAAATGGCAAAGTATATCCTAAAAACTTTATGCTAGTATTCAGATAAAGTATGAAACCGTTAAAAGTGTTTTGTTTTTTTTTGCACTAGCATAAACTACAGACAATACTTATAATAATTGTTCATTTACTTGGCTATCTGACTATTTAAACATTTGAAAAATTTTAATATTTTTTACATGTTCTAAAATTTTACGACGCGATTAGGACTTTAAAACCGCATGTTAAAGTTTTCTAATGTTACACTCTGTAATTCCATTTTTATTCTGTTCCCTAAGCATAAGATACTGAACCTTAATACGCAAGTCTTAACGCTAAAATTACATTCATACGATACGATCATACGACCTCTTGCGCAATGTAATTTTAGGTAGGTTTAATTTTTTTTAATATTTTCAGTTATTTAGACCAAGCTACTATCGCTACCAGCCCCTACAACAGCGAAGAGAAGACCAGAATCTTCAAAGCAGTTATCGAATCTAATTACAAAAACGCTCGTGTTGCACTTAACTTCCTCATACAAAATACAGCACGGACTATCGAAGCGTAAGTTTCTACATATGTGCAAAATAATTATAAAAACCTATTGTTGAGGTGCATCTTTACCCATTTTAACAAGATCTTCGGCGTTGGTTCTATGGTTCCAATCTATGGCTAATAATAATCAATAGGTAGATTCCATTCTGCTGGGTCCAACAAATTTCTAATTAATTGAGACTGTTTTTAAAACTTGTTAAAGCCCATCTAGAATAATGGATATTAAGTGGGTAGTCAAAATCGAAATAAGATTCGGGTCAAAAACGGCAGTCTACAGATGGATAAGTCTAAATCCATATTTCGGTATAAGTATGTGGATGACTGAACGTCCAAAGGCAAAATAAGTCGATAGCGCATCTTAGTTATACGATAAGCCTTGGTATTTTATCTTTCATCAAGTGCTTGTCTATTCTCCTCTGTCAGTCATCCCACATAGACTGACTTCAACTAAAAAATTCAAGGAAATTAATCATATATGTATCTTTTGAGAAAGTAGTGAATCCATCTCCCCCGTGGGGCATGAGGCAAACATATTGCTGTTTACATTTCACTTTTTTATTAACAGGCAAGTAGATGATCAAACTTCTGTTCTCCGCCCGACCGCTTTCGTGCTTAAACACAACGCTTGACAACATGTTTACCCATTTGGCTACATAGGCGGTCCTATATATCATATTCTTACTTATTCTTTGATGAAAAAATATTATTAGCTATCATAATATGGAACCAAGCAGGCATAATACTATTTTTTATCAGACTTTAATCAAAACATACTAACAAAAATTTCGTAGATTTACGCGCCTTAATTAGAAACGATCATTATCTTAATCTCTGCTTCAATCTGTGAAAGAAACCAGATACAATTACTTTCTGACTTGGAAACGTTAAATAATCTTTATTTCATTAATTGTAAGATGCTTTATTATTTATATTTGTAAGTTTATATTTTAAAAGAATCATTGTTCTGTGTGTCTGAAATATAATTGAGTTTTGTTTTTCATTTGCATCAGACTTGGAGGTCCAGAAAAGTTGGAAGAGGTTCTCTACACTTTATCAAGAAATTTTGCAAACGGAGGAATGGTAACTGAGGTAATATATTTACATGAAAATAGCAAAGCCTTACACAATTTAAATAGCATATTGTTTAAATTATTTTATTATTAATACAAAAACACTGTTACGGTTTAAAACGTGATATACCTACCTATATATTAGTCTCTCGTTCTTAACTCAATGCGGTCCTTACTTTTATCTTACCTTTCCCTTTTTTTCTTTCAGTATAAAAATTGGGTAAGCTCCCTCTATAGTAACTTGGAAAGCTCTCGTCTCATCGCCGAGAGATATAGGGACTTCATTGATCAAGATATGCAATGGAACGATGCTCACCTGAACAACATTTACACCTGGATAGACCAGAACGACGCACCATCGTTTATGCTGTCCATGATGTTGTTATGCATATCGCTGATGGTTGCATTATTTAATCATTAATCGTTCGTGAAATACTAAACAGCTGTTTCAGGTAACCTTTAGTTAATGTAGATAGTGTATTGAGAAATAAGGTTATTTTTAAATAAGGTGTTATATAAGCATACACTTAAGTTAAACATATTTTTCCATACGTTTTATTATATTCTTATAACTACTTTAATCGTAAAATGTTTATTGGGATTCTTATTATGAAGTTATGTGATTGAAACTTATAATTATCTAGAATGATAGTAATAAAGTTTCAAGTCTAAGTTTACCAAATTCATAAGGGAAAAATAGTATTAGTACTTTTTATTCCTAGAATTTGTTCGGATGGTCACTTCTAGTTCAAAAGAACAAGACAGTTTGATTCGAATTATGTTAGTATTAGTTAGAATATTATTTTTCTTAATATAACGCGTCAAATGTTGCACAAAGTGAACTAGGTTATAATAAAGTAAATAATATTGTAGTGTTAAAACATTTTTTTTTTATTATTCTTGGCATTATTATTTTATATTGGTGTTTGGGTAGATTAAAAATATTTTTATTAATTACGCATTAACAATGAAGGAACGATTTGCATTTTATTCGTAGTTAATTTTTTTTTGTATTTTCTATTATATAAGATTTTTTTTGCAATGTTTATTAATAATAAAGCAAACGCGTCCTCTTGCTTTATTTTTATTAAACCAATAATATAATTAGAAATTTAAATTTATAAATAATAAGGATATATTTGTAAGAAATATTTATTTAAATTGTAATATGTACATATTGCATTAAACATACATTAAAGTTTAATAAATTAATCTTAATATTAAGTAAAACTGGGTTTTCTTTATAATATATAGAGTATGTGACTAGAAAAACTATGGTGAGTTTTGAACCATGTATACAATTTTCGGAATGTTTTGAAGAATAGAAAAAAAGATCGAAACGTATTTTATACTATTACCTAAAATATGCATTTTTATGATATTATTGCTCTGAATATTTGCATATGGACAGTTCTTGAAGTTGTTTTCGTGCATAGATAGTAATTTTAGATTGATTTCTCACTTATACAAACAAATGGCAGTTTAGTATTCAAGCTAGATACTACAATTTATAGTTATTTTCGTAGAAATCAATGTTGTTAACACGTCAAATTATCGTAAAATTAAATTAACTAAACCAATAATAGTTACAAATATCGGAACTATTCTAGTAGCTTTATTACAATCTGGTGTTATGTGTATCGTAGTTGAGGCCTGGAAGAAACAAGAACCGATCATTACGATATAAAAACAAATATTTTGTGTAAATCTAATTCCCATTTCTCTAGTTCACAGTTATGTGTCCGTTCTGATCGATTTTATAGTCATGTTGATTAGCCTTGTGTGCGCTGTTCGACCGAAACAATTTATCGTTTTGACAGTATTTGAACTAAAGACTGTCTATAGTTTACGCGAGTAGTACACATTTAAATAAAACACTTTAACGGTTTAAAACGCGATGTATTAGGTAAAGTCTTCCCTTGACCACGACTGCTGCAAAGTATCCGAAACATCGGGCCTAAGTTAAAAATAATTTTCAAATAAGTTTAACTAATATATCGCGTTTTAAACCGTTAAAATGTTTTATTTAAAAAAGTATTTGAACTCCGGATCTTTCTGTTCAGTTCAGTTCTATGTGTGTCAGGCAATACGTTTAACAATTTATTTAAGAAGGCGCTCGGCGTCTTTGTGCTACTTTCTATATCTACATTTTTTTAAATGTTTCTTTAAATCAGCATTTTGTAAAAATCCTTCACTTACCTCTGTAGTAGAAGTTGTGGACATAATGATGGGAAGCGGTCGCGGTTGGCCCATTGGTATCCGAAATAAAAATCTATTTTGTTCTCGCCTGCAAGAAGGTAGAAAAATAGACTTTATAATAAACCGTCTATTATAATGATGTAAAGATTATTATTATGTCTCCGTTTGAATTCAGTAGAAACAATATCCAATCGAATAAAAGCCAAAAACACTCGACAGCGCATCTGCTTCTAGTGAACTTTATATTAGTCGGTTTACCTCTATTACATAAAAAAACAAAATAGATCTCGAATTTACACAACCGTTTGTCTGTAAAAAAACCGATATAACATTTTTACACTGCTTATTATTTATTTATTTTCATTATTAAAATATTCTAACATTACAGAAAAATGTCGATTGCTATAGAATTATTTAGTACATATTTCATGGAGTGATGTTTTTGTCAATTCACCCAAGCTACACGTAAAAATGTCGATCCCCTCCTGCAGCTTGTTGATAACACGCAAAGCACGAACAAGAGGGGAATTCATCAGTAAGTTGGTGCGTGAGTACGGTAGCGCAAGTAACGGTGGTCGTAGTCGCCTCCACACGTATCGGTCCGGAACATTATTACATTATTATTATAATTATTATACTATATCGCATTTAAAACCATTAAACGTGTTTTATTTAAATGTGTCATGCTCGTGTAAGCTACGTCCAATACTTGATAAGAGAAACGTTAATGAACAATTATTTTGTCTAGTTCTTTTTTTAGAAAAAACTTACAGTTTATGTTCAGCTCTGGCTTTGTCATCAGCTTCGAAGTTATTGAAATTTTCAGCGGCCAGATTCCCATTCACGTCATTGAGGACTACGTAGTAACACGTTTCCCGATAGTCTGGGTTCAATCTAGGATAAAACGAAACAAAAGCGGTTAATACAAAAGTATAAAAGATAAAATCTAAAACTACCAGGATTTTAAACCGTACGAAATCAATGCTATCTGTAGTTTACGCGAGTAGGACTCATCTAAATGAAACACTTTTATAGTTTAAAGCGCGATATATATTATACTTATTTGATTTGATTTTCTGGACCCAAAAAACAGCATACCGGCAAACGCGAAGACACCGTTAGTCAATTTCTAAATTTCTGTCTATTTTAATTAATTTTTAAAATGATTTATTTAAAAGTGATTTATATGGTGCTTATCCTGGTGTACATAGTTGGCTTATCCTAAGTTGATAAGAAATAAGTTTATACAGACTACGGTTACAAACCTCAGCTTTCCTTTCCTATGATCTCCATATATTCTCCACATGTCTTTCAAGCAGGGCTGGTGCTTGATAGAACACGCAAATTCTATTATGTTGCTCCTAAAAACTCTAATTTCTGGTCTCCTCTCGATATCGTCCATCAGTCTCTTGTATATTGTAGATACTTTTCGTTGCATATATCGCTTTAAAGAATATTTTTTGACGTTTAGAACCACGTCGATTAAAATATTAAAAACTAAGATTTAAGAAGTATTTTTTTTTCATAAATTTTATTTTATTGACAATTATTAACATCGTAATAAAATTTCTTTCCATTTCACTGATGTATATTTTTTTAAATCTCAATTGGCGCCCTGCCCGACCAAAATCATTCCTTATTTCCCCGGGATTCAAACCGAGGGCCTCTCCTACCAAACGCTCTATAAGGCTAACTCTAACACGTTTAACTATAGAGCCACAAAGGTTCTTAAGTCTGTTTGTGGCCTACATAGAAGATTTACTTTCTCTTTTATTCAAATATTACAGCATTATGTGATTTTCAACTATCATTACTACTTAATTTAAAAATCGTAAATAAATTGAAAAACATTTCGACTCGGGCAGGACTTGAACCGGCACCGTCAGCGTTCCGTGCTGTTAGAGAGCAAATTATATAGTGCCTTCATGTGCAATAAAATGTGAAAAATAATAAAGTTTTCAAATATCATTACTATTTAATTTAAAAATCGAAAATAATTTTTTTCGACTCGGGCAGGACTTGAACCGGCATCGTCAGCTTTCCGTGCTGTTGGACTCGGTAGCTCAATTGGAGAGCAACAGCACGGAAAGCTGACGATGCCGGTTCAAGTCCTGCCCGAGTCGAAAAATTTTTTCAATTTATTTTCGATTTTTAAATTATATAGTGCCTTCATGTGCAATAACATGTGAAAAATATTAATGTTTTCATCATTACTATTTCTTTTATTTACCTGCCATTCTTCATACATTATTTTAGTGATATGAGCGCCCTCTGTTTTCAGAAGGTCGAACCCGTTTATCGCTGCGTCCCATACAGTGGGGCTCAATTCAACGTTGAGGAAATCTAAAACTTCCATCGCTATTTCCTCACGGATGTCGCCAGCTGCGTATAGTGCAAGTACGTCGTTCACAATCTAAAATAATGTATTTTCCAAGTGCATTACTGCTTATAACAAATCTTGGTTTCAAATCAGATGGTTTAAAATTGTCGAAAGGTACTTACTTGGGCCCTATTCAATTCATCGATTGCAAATCTATTTTCTTTCAGAGTTTTAGCTATCAAATGCCAAGTCGTGTCGTCATAGTTTACCCTATAATATCCTGAAAATTACATCCTATTCATTAGTTGTATAATTAAAGAAGTATAAGATTTAAATAAAACACTCTTAACTGTTTAAAACGCGAAATAAATTAATTAACTTATTTATTTCAATTACGGCATAACCCGTCGGTGATCAGGGGGAAATGAAAATGGAGGGTATTTCTAATATGAAACTAAAAACTGCTACGCTAGCGCCATCTGTCATCGCAATTGTTGTTTGGTAATATTTTAGTTTATTTTGCGTTTTATTGAGATAACTATTGAATGCTTTATTTAACTGTGCACTACTCGCGTAAATTTCAGAGATGTTAGATTTCAGTTCTTTTTTCATGAAGAGGACACGTATAGGTTTCCTAGATGTTGAAAAAGACCTTAGCGGAAACCAAAACAAACCTTGCATTTATCAATAAAAACGTATAAGGAGATTAAACATAGGAGTAGCCATTCATTAATCGTAAACGATTACATAAAACAATTGGTGCGTGGGAGTTTATAGCTAAGGAGATCAAGAAGAACGTCTGGCTCTTACAATTATTTATTTATTCATTATAATATTATGGACTAATAAAGGAAATATATAATTTCAGCAAAGTATACTTCTTTTGTAATGAACACATACAAAACTAAATATATACAGTTTTGGATTTGAACAAGAAAACCTACTCTACTATATGATATTAGAATTGTATTACGATAAAGTGATATTAATGATATCCATTAGGACGAGTAAAATAATTAAATGATTTCTCTAAACTTTCCCGTTATTTAACAAATATATTAACAACTTTCTTTTATTTTTCATCACTTACAATATTATAATACAATTTTAATTCGTTTAGTTGCAATTTAGCCTCCACCAGCTCTTAGACTACATGGCCTATTAATCTACGTTGTGTAGGATTGAACAGAAATAGAGCTAGATGCTAATCGTGGAGTCGGCCAAGGTTTGCAAGATCAATGTCAGTGGGACGATTTCCGTTTCTACGTAATAATTATGGTACCCTCGCTTTGCGTTACGAAAAACGTAAGAAAAATTTATTCGAGTAATACATGAATTTTAGTATGAACATATAAATATTTATGATATTATGTTTTAAGCCAGCTTAAATTATAAGCACATTGAGTTAAGTGCAAGGAGTCCTAAAAAGAGTACAGAATTCACTTTTTATTTTTATTTTAAAAGCTATCTAAGTAAAAAGTCTGTAGTTTACGCGAGTTGTATATATTTAAATAAAACACTTTAACGATTTAAAACACGGTATATATTAGTTAAATTTATTTGTAAATGATTTTAACTACGGTCCGACGTTTCGGATGCCTTACAGCAGTCGTGGTTACGGGTCGCCCCGTTATAGTGTTTTATCTAAATAAAAAATAAGTCTCTACAATATAAATCTTTAGGGCCCCAAAACTCGTACCTGAAGCATTCCTATTCAGAATAATCCATCCACCATTCAAGTTCTCTCCAAAAGTGTAAGTTTGGCCAATTGTAAATCTTGGCTGGTGACAGTTAAAACAGTTTTCATTGTTTTGAACGACGTAGGAGATCGGAATGAGGTAGTTAGAATCCATACGATTGAGATTATTGAAGCTGAATCGTCTCTGAAATCATGGCGAATAAAAATACATAAAAGCTTAAAGCGCGAAATAAAATAGTTGACACTTTACGAAAGTCGTGGTCATTGGGGACGTAGTACAGATTTAATAACTTATGAGTATATTATTATATATAAACTCGATGTATCAAAAAAAAAATTTTTTCAATCTCAATCAAAAATCGATACAACGTAAAAGAATGGTTATTGCATAGTTAATAAGTTTTGCAAATGGTCTAGTTTAATTATTAATTTCTTCATACTCGGTTTGCCTGGAACAGATGGATAATAACGATAAGGCCGCCCCGTATACTATATAGGTCTATAGTTTTAAAATTCCATGAAATATGTTCTAAACTGTATCATGTGTGTACCAAAGTGTAAAATTATTATCAATAAATGTTCTCACTTGTTTTAACTGAATCGCATTCGGCGTTCTGTCTCGAAGGACGTTAACACTAACAACAGGGTATCCAGGATGGTTGAACCACGAATTGAGAACCCTCGAAGCTGTTGATCCGTTGAAGAACTGGTGCAGACATTCGACCGTGTCGTGGTCTAAGCTGTCCATAAAATCAGCGAGAGTGATGAAGTGTCCTCGCCTGAAATAAATAATAACAATAATTAAAAATATTGCCTATTTTGCGATAGTTATAAATAAATACTTCTGTTCAAATGGGAAATACGAAATTAGTATATGTATAAATTGCACTTTTGATAACAAAAGGAATAAATTATTTTTTATATCATGTTTAAGTTTTTATTCTTAATAATTCTTAGAAGCTAAGAATATTACTACACTGAGAATTGTTTAGCATTTCAACATTTTGTTTACGATTCAATATAAGATTTTTAAAGTCAAAGTCAAAAAAAAAATATTCATGTAGGTAGTTACCTACCTAGTTACATAGTTATGTACACTTATGAACGCCACGAAACTAAAGAATCTAACTGTACATTTACTACCAGTTCTTAAATCAACGAACGAGAAGAACTGGCAATAAACTCGCCGTCACTCCTTTTATTGCCAAGTTTCATTTAACATTCTTCATGTACACTACATATTTTTTATAGTCTATAGCTAAAACATAATGGATAATAAGCTAAGCTGTCATGTCTTTTAAGCAAAATGTTGTTTGCCGAAACTAACCTCAAATTTATGTATTTAATCAGTGCCTGATGAAATTTCTCAGAGCCCAACCAGTTTTCAACCATCCACAGGATCGAAGCTGTCTTCATTGTCACTAACTCCTTATACCTAGATGGGATGTCTATAGCTAACGTTCTGTTGAACGATATTAGCGCTGGAGTTGTGTGGTGCCAATCTACAGCCATTGCTCTGTGCTTCATTTGGAGCCCGTATATCGAAAGTGGGAGTCTCTCCATTGACTTGAACTCACCATGATTGTGCTGAAAGATGATGAAATAAGTGTCATTTATTTAAAGGTGATCGCATATTTGTCATTGCCAGCAAACAGTATAATATGTAGTTTTGTAAGTTATTGTCAAATGTGCGATCATCTCACCAAACTTTTTATCTTTCATTTTTGCTTCCTACTCATGTTACCTTTCCTTTATTTGTTTACCACGACACTGTATTTCGGTATCTAAATTAGCTAAATTAAATTCAACTAATAATTTAATAATGTACTTTCACAAGTCACGTCTTTCAGAGTTAAAAATGTAACTTAGCTTTGCTTTTGCTTTTAATAACTTTGTAACAAATACACAATGAATATCATTTTTTATTAGAATGTTTGTTCTTACTGTTATGTTACGTAATATATTCATCAATATTGGGATTACCTGAGTCAAATAGTAATATGCAAAGTACGTAGCCATTCCTTCCTTGAACCACTCCTCTAGCCACCTCGTCCGCATAAATTCTCCAGGGTTTCCGAGCCAAATTCTGCTCAACTGCTGAGCGAGGTCAAACATCGTTCTCTCCATTTGTTTAACACTTGTGTACTCATTTATATAGGCTAGCCTCGTTTCACTAAAAAATAAAATCACGTTACAAGGTATATCGTTATGCGATATAAGAAGTATTTGAAAAATATTTTGTATAAAATACTCTCTATAGTTTACGCGAGTAGTACACATTTAAATAAAACACTTTAACGGTTTAAAACGCGATATATTAGTTAGACTTATTTGAAAATAATTTTTAACCACGGCTGCTGCAAAGTATCCGAAACGTCGGGCCGAAGTTAAATATCATTTCCAAATAAGTTTAACTAATATATCACGTTTTAAACCGTTAGTGTTTTATTTAAAAGATTTTGTATTACAAAATACTTCTATGAAGAAACGAGTGGTTTTTCTCTAACGCGTATAAACAAAATTTCTTATCCTTGAACTAAAAGAAATTCTGCCGTATTTATAACAGGTGGTTTCAAACGAAAACACTCTGAAGAATTATTCACGCATAAAACATTATGCATACTAATAATTGGAATTGCTTTGATATTTTTAGTGTTTTGGCAAGGCATACATTATTTTAAATCATAAGAAACCATCTTCATATTGAAAAGTCATATATCTTAATACAATTTTGAAAAATAATAGACAGTTAACATTCTATTAAAAAAATTGTTGCACCATTTTTGGTTATGCTATAATAAAACAAAATTGTAATTAAATTCAGCAGTAATAAATAAAATAAGTAAAGATACTTAAAATAACAAAATGACGCAGCTTTTTCCAATTCAAAAATAGTTTTAGAATGCATAAAGTATAAGAGGTTAATATGCTATCTATATTTTGTTAATCATTTTTGTTCACTGAATACTACATTCCACATACCAACAAGTACTCTAATGTTTTAGAGAGAAACATTTGTATATTTGTGATCGTGTTTGTTTGTAATGAAATAGCTTAAAAACTACTGTGTAGATTAAATTAAACATTCTTTCACCATGAGAAAGCTACATTTACCCTGAGTAACGTATATTTATTGCTACTTAATATTAGAGATTCTTAGTTAAATACCACTTACCTATTAGTTAACAGATTCCAGCTCGCGATTTCATACCCATTAAGGTTCTTAGGCACCGCCACTATATTTATCTGTCCATTCACAAGAGGTCGGTTGATCATGGAATAACGATGAATCATGTTTATTAGTACTTTACCGAATTGCAATATAAAATTATAGTTAGGTAACTTTGAGTTTTGTGCCCAGATAACTAGGGCGTCATCACCGATTTTGATTTGGCGGTTTCCGAATTGGGAGTGATGAAAACCCACTTGGTGGACCCCGATTTGTGGTGAGGGCATGTACTCGATGATACCATAGCTATCATCTTTGAAACTGGAAAGGGGCAAATTTATTAATATAAGGCTATATTAAATACTGTCTATAGTTTACGCGAGTAGTACACATTTAAATAAAACACTTTAACGGTTTAAAACGCGATATATCAGTTAAACTTATTTGAAAATGAGTCTCCCCGTGACCACGGTTGTTGCAAAGCATCCGAAACGTTGGGCTGAAGTTAAAAATCATTTTCAAATAAGTTTAACTAATATATCGCGTTTTAAACCGTTAAAGTGTTTTATTTAAATAAGGCTATATTAGAAAAAACATACAGAAGCCACATATACTTACTAAAAGTAAATATGCCTTAGTTATAATATAAGAATCTATAGCTAAACTTGAAATTAAAAATAAACATCAGAAATATTTGATAGCTTTTTCAGCAATGAACCATGATAAATCTCAGCTTGAAAGACAACCATTAAATCCAAAATTTTTTCCAATATATGATAGTCTTTTTTAACCATCATTAGTTTTTAAAATCCCCCTTTTAAAGATCCAATTTAAATTAGCTTATATGTGCTATCTTAAAAAATAGGAAATAAAAGGTTTTTATTCTAAGAAATAATGTTATTCCTAGATCTTCACGTGTTGAACAAAACGAGATATAAAGAATGTGACTATGTCCAAGCTTGGGTGGAATTGAATCACTTTAACCTACAGAGCTTTTTGCTTAAATTTCCCGTCTAATTATAAATGGACTTTCTTCGTCGCGGAAGCACAGTATTTTACTGTATTAGGAAGAGAATGGCTGGCTTTGGTTATATGGTTGTATGTTTATTAATATAGAAATTTAAAAATTCTTTAACCGTGGGAATATTTTATTTCAGTTTCCCGTTTTTAAACTTCGAACGTTGATATTTACTAAATTAATGTTGTAGGTACTTAGCTAGAACTTTGATGATAGTTTTATTAGGAAAAGATATTATTTATTTGTTTCTTGTGCTAGTTCATGCTGTTCAACCGTGACTATGGTTTAAACACCAAACGTAGTTAACAATAAGTTATATAATAATTAATACTTCGCCTTTTAATAGTTAAGTGTTTTATTTAGTAAATTTCATTACAAAGAATCTTTTATATCACTGAAACTTATCAGTCATTATTTAATATCTAAAATATGTATATAATCATCGTACAAACTAGAGACTTGATACTGTCTGTAGTTTACGCGAGCAGTACACATTTAAATAAAACACTTTAACGGTTTTAAAAGCGATTAGTTCAAATAATTTTCAATTAAGTTCACGTAATGCATAATATCGCGTTTTAAGTATTTTAATTTAACTAGAGACTTTTAAAACCCTAAGTCGATAAACTATGGTTACCATATAACGAATAATAACATCGGCATCACTTCACATAACTCTATACGGAGAAGAAAAAGACGTGCCATAAATAGCCGTAATGAATAGAAACTGTGCCAATTATTGTGTCTCGACCGGTTTGGTAAGAGCCACTTCCCTTTGTGGCTGCGCTAATAACATAATGTGAGATAACTAACTATACATCTGTGTTCTATCTACGTATTTTTAGGCAGACTAAGTACTTTATAGATATATCATTATTATGATAGAAGATAGGCAGTTGCTACTTTGATATACTATAATCTTTTCCTCTGGGTCCACCCAGGTGCATCAGATCTGGCTGTCTTGATATTTCTACCATCTATAACACAACAGACGTGGTTGATGTGTAATGTACAAATAAATACTATACTATAAGAGTTTCCTATCTATCAATTGTAAGACTTTTTTGCAAAGACTTTATTATGGACTAAGTACATACTTCTGTCTGTTTAGCTCGTCCGCAACCACAAGCGTCGTGTTACAAAAATGAATGCCAGGCCTTGGAGGCGTCACGTAGACCCTGATCTTGAAGACTGCCTCAAATTGAGGGTTGTCGAAGCAGGGGAAGAAGTACTTCGCTTTGTTTGGAGAGAGACGCGTAGTGTACAAGTACCTGTAACAAATGTAGTTTTAAAATTAATTAAATTGGATGTCTCATAACTTGTACAAATGAGAAGTACTAAATTTAAAAAAAAATATAATGTTTTTTTATCTCGTTATTAATTAATAGTTTAACGATTTTTTTCTCGCTATAAAAATAGCTAGAAGGGAAAATCTCGTTCCAACCTCTGGGACATGTGGCGAACACACTTCTGTGACAGACGCAACCATTCGCTATTAAGGTTTTTTTTTATGATAGAGGACGAAGAAGCAAGGAGTTCACTTGATAGTAGGTGAAATACTTTAGTCATATAACATCTAAAGAAGATGTGTTGTCAACTTATTTTGACTTGATATTCGGAAATCCATGTACTGAAACCGAAAGCGATAAAACTTCATGGCTTCTTCATGTGGGCGGCGGTTCGTGACCCGGGTGGATTACAATATTACCACCTGTTTAATATCCAGATTTCCAAACAAGCCCAAGATGTTTTAGAAAAGTTATAAATTGATTAAAAAATATTGCACCTGTTGGTGTTTGAATGCACGAACTGTTTATAATTAGCCCTACATTGCTACAATTGTACCATGGAGCCATATAAATTAGGAAAATAAATATTTACTGTTGATCATGAATTTACGATATTCTAACAGGTCTAAGGTAACGGGTCTAAAGGATGGATTGTCTTTTGATCTATAGTAATTAGTTTTGTTGATTTCCATTTGAACTTCGCTCATTGGATATGATATCGAAAAACATTGTCTATGGCTCATCTTTAGAAAAAATATCTTTTGTATAATTTTACAGGTTTAGTGGGTGAATAAATATTTTATTTTTAATATAAAATTAAGTAAACATTTGACACGTATTTCAACTGACTCTTGAAATATTAGACACTAGGTTAATAATTATGCACTAACCATTACGTCACAGAGCTCATGTTAATATAGCAAATTATAATTAGGACATGTTACTACCGCTACAATTTACACTGACTAATTAACGTGTTCTTCCTCTTCCTACGTATTACTTAAATACTAATCCAATGTAAGATTTAAATAAAACACTTAACGACTGAAAACGCGAAGCATTTAAGTATACCTATTTTTTTTTTATTTTAACTACGGCCCAAGATTAAGATAATATCAAAATATTTCCCGTTTTAAAACATTAAATGTGTTTTATTTGAATGCGTAAACTACAGCTGTAGACGTTAAGTATTACTTATTTTGTGCAATTTTATATCTGTGTCCGTTTTACCAATTTATTTTATGTATTTTGGAATTTGGAGGCTCGCTATTACCATAGAATATTTCTTTAAGGATGTTTTTTAATAAATATTTATTTCTAGGACATGTAAATCATAAATTAGGACAAATAGAGATGAGCTATAACAATTGTTCTACGCTCAATTAAGCACGACCCTGCTACAAATGAATGTTTAATGATGCTTATTTAACTGTCGCTAGTAAAATAATGCTATTATAGGTTTTCTTTAAGATTAAAACAAGTATTATCTGCGTCTTTATTTTTCGTTCAAAAAATTATTTTGGGAAATTTGTAATAAATGCGATAGTAAGTTCCATTATCTTCTCTTAACGCCCACTTATAAGTTGGTTAAAAGACCCTACCCTACTTTAAATTAAAAAAATATATATATATTATAAAAAAATATATTCCCAAGAAAAATCTGTAAGCATTGTCTCACGATTTCGACAAAAGTATCTTTTACATATAATTAATCACAAAAATCACAATGTCTCTTCTGAAATGTCTGTACCAATTACAAAAAAAATATATATCTGATGATAGAAAATGAGTCGTTAAAGTTTAAAATATTGCTTAGATACGTAGAAAAAGAAAAATAGAAAGAAACAGCCTATTAGGATTTTTAAAAATCTAAAATAAATTGAAAAAAAATTCGACTAGGGCAGGATTTGAACCGGCATCGTCAGCGTTCCGTGCTGTTGCTACCAATTGAGCTCCAAGTTGGTAGTTCAATTGGTAGATATTTAAATAAAACACTTTAACGGTTTAAAACGCGATATATTAGTTAAACTTATTTGAAAATGGTTTTTAACTTCGGCCCGACGTTTCGGATGCTTTGCAGCAGCCGTGGTCACGAGGAGACTAAAGATGGAGGATGTCTCTGACGTCAAAGTAAAAAATTGCTACGCTAGCGCCGTCTGTTCTATCGAAGTGGGTATTTGGCGAAACTGGCCGGTAGATATTTATCAATTTAGTTTCGATTTTTTTGAATTATATGGTACCAACGTGTGTAAGAACATGTGGAACATATTGAAGTTTTCAAATTATTAGGTTAAACTATCGCTTAGTCATTCTCGACTCTACAGTATACGCTAATACGTACTTACATAAAAAAAATAAAAGCCACTTCAAAGGATTAAAACCGTATTTTATCTAACAGGATATTAAATACGTTTCATGATTTTAGGCAGTAGTGGTGTAACTACAGAAAAATTCTTAACGATAGCTGACATTGTAATGTGTTGAAGTTTCTTAAAATCATATTATGATAATTTAAATAACTTACGCTTGTTTTCCATCGTCTTCTTGGTATGGAACGACAAATACTCCATCACTTTCAAAATTGACGTACTTTACAAAGGACACTCGTATTATGTACTGAGTCCGTCCAGAAGCATAGGGTCTCAGAGGCTCCTTCAAGTAAATGTACAATTTTCCTCTCCTATTGTCGAATTCATAAGGCCTATGCTGATTCACTATATCTCTAAGACCGTCGAGCACTTTTATAGAACCACTCTTTATTTCCATATCTTTCGCATCCAACTCAATTATATTTATATTCGGCGCATTTGCAATAACGGTTATTAATAAGTCACAGTCAAAGTATGATGTGCCGTCCTTGAAAATATGGGGAATTATCGTAAGTTCGTATTGCGCGGGGTATATTGTATAATTCAAACATTCTTCCTCTAAGAAATAAGCGTTGCTCGTCGAAAGGAAGAGAAGATATACCGCGAAAAATAACATTGTCGTTCAACAGATTATAGAAAATTTTGAATTTAATACATTTCTCGAAAAGAACGGACTATAATAATTATATACGCGGCAAAAATAGGCAGAACGCGACCGCTCCCAGCGCGCGTTCGAAATTCGAATGTTTATGTGTATAGCATGCCAGCAACACATTCGTTTTAGCGCCGATCGTAACCAGTTTACTGAGATCTGTGACGTTTTCTTTCGTGTATACGAATGGCTACGAAATAGTCTATGGTAATATTCTAATGAAGGCCATATAAAATGGACATAACCTATTGTTGTTTGAACACTCACTTCTGACATTTTCCCGTTTATGTTGCGCTAATTTTACTAATTCGCTGAAGGATTCGCGAACCTTTTAGTGGAATTAAAAAAAAAACATTTTTATGCTAAGTAATTTATTTTTGAACGAATATTTCTACAATAAACAATAAAAGTAGTAACGATTTAACGATATTACTTAAATTTACAAATTCATTGAAGCACAATGTCTTTTTACGAAATAATATAGTGGAGTAAAATCTCTTTCGAAAATATTTACAGTTCTTTTCTTATATCTACTAATTTGTATAATTTACTTTTAAATACGGTGTCATTTAAAGTCTAATAATATATAACGAAAAGTTTTATTGGTTCTATAGAGCAAAGACTGCCCAGGTAATTCCTGCCAGGATTACAAAAGCAGATGACGTAACAGCACGGGCACTACCCTTAAAACTGGCCATGATATCTGCCCTGTGATTATCTGCCCATGTAGTAACCGCCTTTGCTTTAGCCAAGGAGTTCTTAGCTTTTGTGACTGCCTCCTCCCCACATTCGGTACACGATGTCAGCCAAGAATCGAACTGAAAAACGATTAAATGTTTAAAAATATTAAATTAGTTTAAATATATTTTATATTGTATACTTCCATGACACAGGAAGTTTTCAAACCAAATACTACTGAACTATTCATGCCAAATCAAAAAATTAAATTGGTCTTAAATACCGATGTTAAAAAAATAGTAGATGGATGTTTTGTTTCTCTGTATAACAAATCGTTCATATTTTGTTTAAGCTTTGAAATAAGTAGTAAGTACAAATACAAAAATAATTAGCTCTTATATTAATATATATAGATTAATATCATTATATATAATTTAAATCCCACTGCCATTTGAAAAACCGAAGTTATAAACCAGCCACATTTAATTACAACGAAAACCGGAAAGCAATACACAAAAAAAAATTCGCTAATTTTTCATTGACCTTCGTTATTTTCACGTACTAATCGTAATTTCCAAACCACTAATGATTCATTTTCATTTCATTTTATTATTTTGTCATTGAACGCTTTACCTCAGAGATGTGTTCTTTATGTTTATTGGCGTAATTCCTAAAATAAGTACATTTCTGAAAATAGACTTTAAAAGTTGATAACACGGGATTACGAATAAGCCTGAGGTTCAGTTGATTGTAAGGTAAAATAGCCCAGATATATCATTAATATAATATCTAAATACTCACTGTAGACCAAATTATGGCTTTGGATATTCGGAAATCCATTACCGAGCGAACTCACTTGCCTTTTATTATTGGCCGTACATTTCTACCATTGGATCTACGATTTCGTTTTTTTTATTAGGCAAATGATTACTAGCTATACGTGCATTATGGAATACATTTTCATAATATATCATAGAAAAGCAACCGCCTTGTTGTCTTGTTGATTTTTTTTTCCAAATATATAACTTTTCTCACATAAATTTATTATAGTTGCGTTATATAATTTATAAATGATCCTATTTTCTGAATGTAAAATTAAATATCGAATATGAGCCAGTTGCCAAATGATTCACAATTTCCTCAACATAATATTGTACGTGCATCTGTTTGTAGGTCACGATCACATTGTATTAAACTCGTAGAGTGGGATGTATTATTTTTAGAAACGTAAAAATACAGAAACTGAGCTGTTGAATTTTCAAAGCTACTTTTTCATCCTTATACTATATAACGACGAGTGTGGTAAATCATAGATTATCAAGCCGAAATTAATTTGTAATTAGACTAATTCAGTTAGAATTCCAAAAAAAAAACCTTTAAAATCCAAATATCTCAAAAATAGAAGAATATCATGTATCCGATCTTACGAAATAAATTATTTTATCTGTTATCTACCTATTTAGAACTCTAAGGAAATTTGATGAATTGTGACTTGTCTCGATATTTATTTTAACAAAGGAGTATAATCCCAAAACTGACACCAAAATCAGTTAAGTCCACTTATTTAAAATTTAAATAAAACACTCTAACGGTTTAAAACGCAATATATTAGTTAAATTATTTGAAAAATGGGTCTTTCCGTGACCACGGCTGCTGCAAAGCATCCGAAACGTCAGGCAGAAGTTAAAAATCATTTTTAAGTTTAACTAATATGTCGCGTTTTAAACCATTAAAGTGTATTCTTTAAATGTGTACCACTCGCGTAAACTATAGACAGTATTCACTTATTCAATAGTTTATTTGATTTTAATAATGTCTAAACCTTTACTTGACGTTCTCATAAAATATAGGCATAATTTCCCCTTATTGACCTTTCAGCTAATTGCTCGTTTTGACCTAAATGAGGGGCAAACAGCGAAAGTATACAAACATTACGAAGGACTTGGACAAATTGATTCTGGACTCACTCTCAATAATGAAAGTGTCTATGTACCTGTAATGTTGTGGTCTCCAATAACGCAATATGCCGCCTATATCATCAGTGACGTAATTGTGGTGAGAAAGAGAGCACAATACTTAGTTTACTTTCCAAGAAGGTCAAATGATATATTACGCGCTACGCTATCTGCTTTATAGGAGACCACAACCTAAACCCAGTTTATGTTTGAGAACTACATAATGATATTTCTAAAGGTATGCTTACTGTATCAAATTCCTTTTGGGTATGCAACGCTGAAGCAATTGAGGTTAGAGCTGTGTCTATTGATGGATAACTGTAAAATGAAAAGGTTTGTTTTATTTAAGGGTTTAAAGAGAAAATGTTAAAGTTATAAACGACTGTTGGAGCCACTATGAACCAAGAGCAGGTAAGAGTAATTATACTCTTTTTAGCATAATTAAAATAAAAAATGTCAATCACACTAACATTTAAAAAAATCAGCAAGATATACTTTATATTCATGTCGAATTTACTTAAGTTATAAATATAATAATAACGTTAAATCTTGGGCCAAAACTAAATGTAATAGAATAAACACTTACATAGTTTTCCACTGAGCTAAATTTTTGTCCAACTCCTCAATAACTAGAGCCACATTGCTGTAGTTGGAAAGTACTCCTGCTAGAGGAACTGTTAAGTCCTGAGTTCTTATGGGGCTGTTCTCAAGCTGTGTTGATACTAGGAAGCTAAAAACATAATGGAAAGAATTTAAAAATCGAAAATAAATTAAAAAAAATTCTTCGACTCGAACAGAATTTTTTCAATTTATTTTCGATTTTTAAATTATATAGTGCCTTCATGTGCAATAACATGTGAAAAATATTAATGTTTTCAAACATAATGGAAAGAGTTTTTGTTTTCTAAAAAGTTGCTTTAGTGTTACTAGAAATAATAAAATTCGATTTCTAGATATTTTTATTTCTTATATTTTTTTTTATTAAAGATTACATTGCACGAGAGGTCAATAGCTTAATTGGAAGAGCAACAGATCGCTGACGATGGCGGTTCAAGTCCTGCCCGAGTAGAAATTTTTAAATTAAGATAATATACCTTCTTAACTTGTCTTGGTCCGAAGTACAACCCAGCACTTCTCCAATAGTGCGGGCTTCATTAGCAACATTCGTGGCAGCCATACGGTTCCACATAAAATCATAATCTTCACCACTTCCAAATCTCAGCCCAGTACAATACGAAACTGGTCGAAGGCTTGGCGAAATTCTACACAAAGAAAAGCTCAATTAGCTATAGCAGCACTGATGCTGTGGGTGGCGGTTTTAGTCCCGCCTATTTTTAATCTAAATAGATATTAAAATTTTAGTTTATATTTAAATGTATATGTTTGTCTTTTATATAAGATGAGGACGAACTTTATCAGCTGACGGTCAATTTTAATTAAATAAACTTACTCTTTTCCGTTATCTTTTAGTTCCTTATAATGTGCTAAAGTATTATCTAAACAACCTTGGTGGCCCAGGTTGCACGCAAAATCTAAAACTTGCATTCTGTTCCTAAGGGTATCATAATCGTCAGTCGAGTTTGCTTCGTAGCCAAGCTTGGCTATTGCACTATCTAATAACTTACGGGAGAATGCCTGTAAACACAACGGATAATGTATAGACTCTTATTTCGAGTTGAGCCCAAAATGTTTGTAATCAATTTATACATTTTCTGAAACATTTCGTAGGGCAATTATTGAATGAGTAATCGAAATTCCGTCCGCGTCACGATCCACCGTCAACAGATCAAAAAGCCTGGTCGATGGCTTATCTTGTTGAGATGCTGGGATAGTAGATATAATACATCTTCTTAGAAGTAAACCCCTTTAGTAGTCTGTCGTAATCTCTCATAAAAAAGGTAAGTTATTTACTTCTACGATATTTATTTTCTTTTAAAAAATAAATATTCTCAGTCAATTTGACAGTTCAACAAAATTAAAAGTAAATAAATACGCCTGCCAAAACATACAGAGCAAAATATCACGTCTATTTACAACAGAATCATTTGGAGATAAGCTATGCAAAACAGAAAAACTACTTTTATTTCATATCACATGCCTATTTTACCTAGATAACTTTTACCAATTAATGTTTTTACCTTATCTTTTATAATACAGATTGTTTTTGTCGGTTCACAGTTCTCCCTTACTTATCCCCTTATCTTAGAGTTACTTAAATGAGTTATCGATACCTCTATACTTACATCAATTTGACTAACAACTTCACTTCCCAAGTACATATTTCTCAATTTCTTGAGTCCACGAATAGCAGCATACCAGACTGGATAGCTGTTTTCTTCGTGAAGGAATTCCAAGGTGTCATAGAGCATTTCAAATTTGACAACATCCGCGAACAGGAACGCAAATAAGTCGTTTACAATCTGCAAATAATTATTTCATGTTATTCTCACCGGTCCATTTTTAATTACCTTTAACTGTGTTGTGACATAATTTGAAATTTACAATTTAAAGGCATATTTTCTTATCGCTAGTACCTTTGCTCTGTTCAAGTAGTGGATTTGTTCTCTTTGGTTTCCTTTGAGAGCGTCTGATATTAATTGCCAAGTACGATCGTCGTAGTTAACTCTGTAATAACCTAAACAATATTTTTGGGATTAATGCTACTTGTCGATCAGGGTCCTTAACTGATTTATTTATAAGTATATCAAAATTTAAAACATTACTTACACAGCAATTTATACAAATAAATTAATAAGTTAAATGTACAATTATAGTTGAGTAAACAATAACAATAACCATAACCCGCTTAATGTTTTAATGAATATAGCTTAGTAAGCTTAAGACAAACTTTAGAATCGGTGATTCCTAGTCGTCGCGGAGGCACAAAAGGGGATGATCGGCACGCGGGGGTATTTACGTGGAACTCTTGTTCCTTGTTCATGTTTTTGAGATCAATTGATAATTTATTCTTTGATTAAATAATTTAGACGCAAATAATACATCTAATAAATTATTACAATTTAAATAAAACAAAGAATACTTTTTGTATCCGTTCCAAATATAAATGCTACGTTGCATAATGTGGTTTTAAAGAGAATTATACAACGTTATCTTTGTACCAGGATTACTAAACTCCTACGTCTAATAATAATATGTTTGTAGCTTTGTTTACAATATTTTTATGTGAGACTTAAAAGGCATTTTATTGTCAAATACCACGACTAAGTAACGCATTATTTGCTGTTCTTGAATGATAACACCATTAATGAGATAGTTAAAATTATTATAATTTTTATTTCTAAGGAAGCTCTTGTAACAATGTTAATATTCAACCCGTTTTCCATTAAAACATTACTTATTTGTATACATATGTTTTGTGCTAAAATGTGAACTTTATTTAAAGAAAAAAGAACCTACGATATATCAGTTTATTTTCATTTTCAAATTAACTACGAATTACTTTACTAATTAACTTAGTTATGAGATTAAATTTAAATTTTTATTCATTTATAAGCGAAATATACATATATAAAATATAATATATTTCCGTTATAAGATATATTAAACCGTTAAAAGAGTTTTAATATCTATTTATGTGAGATAAAAATAAATTAAATGTATTTTTTACGACTGGGGCAGAATTTGAACCGCCATCGTCAGCGTTCCGTGCTGTTGCTCTAATCAATTGAGCTACCGAGTCCTACACCTCATTGTCGATTTCTTTTTTCAATTTATTTTCGTTTTTTTTTTAAATATATAGTTGTATCATGTAAAAATATGTTTGAAAGTTTTCAAACGTTTTCTAATGCGTGCTTTCTAATGTTTTGCTTTTGTTTTATAGTGTTAAACCAGCTTTTGCTTATCGACCAATCATCGGTCAGACTTTACATTTGCGTTTGACACTTTACAATACGTTAGCATATTGTAAAGTGTTGTATCATAAAAAAATGAAGATCGGGATAGACGCACCGACCTTTATTCCACCTTTGAAACTACACTTACAGATGTTATCGACTGTTTTTCCAAGTAAACAATTAAATTACATAATTGTATGCTCTACTAATGTTTTATTTAACTAACGCTCTACTTTGTGTATTTTACGCATCGTTAGAGATTATAATATCTATTCTCAGTTTCTTACCAGTTTCTTGTACATTGAAAATAATCCAGCTTCCCTCTGTGATATTGACTGATAGCTCGTGTGTCTCCTCGTCCATAACAAAGCTAGGCTTGGTATTTTCAAAGTTGATGACGTCACTAGTCGTGTATGTTATTGGTATTTTGTATAGTTCTGATGACGATTTTGTCGAGTCAATATAGAAGCGTTCCTGAGGAAGATGCGCATCTTAATAATAATTCAATACAAAACAAATTTCAATACGATTTTGAGAAAAAAAAAATATATTTGTTTCATCCTACATGGTATCTATCTACGTGACGAAAGAGTGTGAGATACAATTGGAAAGAGATCTTGAACATGATCATAATTTTAATTCTTCGAAATATTAACGGAAATAATTAAAGTAGAAGGTTAAATGGCTGGGGTATTTCGCCTGCCTTCAAGTGAATCCCGTGCTTTTCTGCCCTCCTCTTGGATTAAAAACTTACCTGCTTGAGGGTCACTTTTGAATTAGCATAATCGACATCAACATGTAAGATTGGGTATCCAGGTCGCGAAATCCAAGAGCCCATAACATCTGTTATGTTATATCCAGGGTAATTAGAAAGGGCGCCAAAAGTAGCCACACCTTCTTCAAGTCCAGCATACAGCATCTCTGGAGTGCTTGGTTTAAAACGGCTGCAAAATTAAGGTACGAGTAATAGAGCATGGAAAACCATCGCTATAAGTTTTATAATTAATTTATAAAGAAAACCATATTACTTGTTATTTAAATATGAGTTAAGACCATATTTGAAGGCATCGTTGCCCAAGAAGTGATGCATCATACGAATAACAGAGCCAGCTTTTTGATAAGTGATCGTTCCAAAATGATCGCTGATTTCAGCTGGTGAATTAACATCGATGTTGGTAGCTGGGACCGATTCAGGTTTATCATCAGCATCGTATGCTGCATAAACAGATCCTATGATAAGCTGGTCTGATGCTCCAACAGTGGTGTCAACCTTGAGACACAAATTTTTAAGCATTTTAATAATCCAGATATTAGCATGTAAGAACTAAGTCTAGTCGTAGATCTAGTCGATTCGATGTTAATTGCTAATGCATCGAAAGGGAGTAGTCGACCACGACATATGGAATTCTAGTGTGCGACCTAGTACACGCGAAGATAAACAAAATTTTCTGGATAAAGAATTTGAATTTGTAAATAAAAATTTTTAGGAATGTTACCCATCAAATTTTTTTATAATTTGCTACCGTATCACGTTTTTATTTATAAATACTATTGCCCGTTGATTCTTTTACGCTTAGAAAAGTAATTTTTCTAAGCGTAGAAAACAAGAAGAAAACAGTAATATTATCAACAATGTATAAATACACGTCTTGAATTTCTTTACTTTTTTATTATTATAACTTATCGTGTGTTGCTTGTATACATACCATAGCAGTGATATAATCTTGGAAATAATTAGCGAAACCCTCATTGAGCCAAGCGTTACTCCACCAATGGCAGGTAACCAAGTCACCAAACCACATATGAGTGGTTTCATGGGCTACGATTTGTGCTACCCTGTATTTGTAGTATGGCGTAGAATCTTCTGGTACATACAATAAAAGGGACTCTCTGCAAGAATGTAGTCAATATCACTATAATAACATATATTAGCCCCGTTGGTCTAGTTCTTAGTAAAGACATCTGCATACTACAAGGTAGGACCTCGACCTCGCGATCTGAAAACTTCTATCGGGCCGGACAAAACGGAAGTGTTTTTTTTTCTAAGAAATACCTATTTTAACGCTGTCCGGAAGTGTTAAGTATCATCCTAGTTATCTTCATTAGTCTGAAGTCTTATTAGACGACTTAAATATGTCTTAATAGTAAAATAGAATGAAAAGAAACAAACAGTTAAGTAAATTAACTAGTTAACTAATTCAGTAAATAAATAAGCTTGTACTAATCAGCTCGTATAATGTATTTTCAATATTTCAAACTTTTTTATGACATTACGAACCTATATTTAATTAATCCCCAGTTTTCCATAGCTCCTGCTCTGAAATCAGTTAAAGCTACATGGTCCAGCTTTAAATTGGCATCCACTGAGTAATAATCAATTCCAAAGTAGTTTCCTAGAGCATCTACTACTTTTTGACCAATATCTACAGCATATTCAGTTTGGTTAACTGCATCTGGTCTACTAAATACACCTAATTCTTTGTTTCCATCTCTCATTGTTGTGGCACCTTCAAATTCCGATACGAGGAATGCTACTAAATAAGTCGACATTATTGGCGTTGGATAGAATACTTCTCGTACATAATTGTTAGACCTGAAATCATAGATTTTTTAATGGGGGGTTAATTGGGATAAGTCCGAGTCCCATCAGTATCATCAACTATTTCAATTGAAAATAAGTTATAATGGTATTATTATTATTTTTTCATATTTAGACCTATTTAAGGAAAACATGTTTATTTCATTATTTTGTTTGGTCTCGTTTTCGGGTCGTTAAATTATTGAGGAATGATTTAACTACGAATTATTTTATTATTATACGCATTCGCATAACGCCTTAATGTATATATAATAACAATAATCTATATTATGTTTGTTTGTTTTCTTACAGTGTTTTGGATTCTTGCATTTTTGTATTCGCTAATGAAGGTTTGTAATTCTGCGGCCTGTCAATAGTGAGAGTGAATACTGCCTTATATTCTGGTTCATCGAAACACGGGAACACCTTTCGAGCGTGTGTTGGCTGCATTTGGGTTGCTCCGAGCCATCTGGAATATATAACATGCATAAATCAAAGTCCAAGGTAATTTTCTTCAAAGTGGTCGCTGAGATTACATTCTACATTTGCTAGAGCTAAAACAGCATGTAGCGTATCAGAACCTTATAGTTTTTTTTTGTTCTACTCATTGTTACAAAAGGGCATATTTCTTTGAAGAATAAAGAAGCCGGTATATTGTAGATTGTCTACGTCTTATATAATCGTCTCGAATATGTCTTAAGTTATCGCCACTCAACAGTATCTTAACACAGAAATAGTTGTTATCAAAACGTCAAGCGAATTCTGTAATCATATCAATAAAATGTCATAAATACAATAGTCTGGAACAATTTATAATTGGGCAGGAAAAGGCTTCTGAAAAATTTGGGGAGGTCATACATGCTATCCTAAGTATACTTAAAGACATCCATAACATTATACTTTTCAATAAGCAATACTGTAACGGTTTAAAACGCGATACCTATTAGTTAAACTTTTTATTTTTTTTTTAACTACGGCCTGATGTTTCGGATGCTTTGCAACAGCCGTGGTCACGGAGAGAGTAAAGATGGAGGGTATCTCTGATATCAAAGGAAAAACTGCTACGCTAACGCCATCTGTTTCGTCGTAGTTATTACTATGTATATTTGGCATACTCTACTTATATACTTACTTTTTAACCCCGTTCTCGATATAATAGTTCTTATAAAATCCATTTAGATCATCTCTTATGGGCCCTCTGTAGTTGATCTTCAATTCGTAATCATATCCAACCATAAGCTCTGATGCCAAGTTGATGTAAGCGAAGGTATATTTGGTATCAAACTCTAAAGGGTTAGCTTCGTTTAGCTGTATAGTGACTGATCCACTAGTAATGCTTATGTCGGAAGAATTGAAGTTTAGATCTTCAGAGTGGATTTTAATCTGGTTTGTACTGGTTTCCGTTCTCATTCGGATCCTAACTTCACCGTCAAATGTGAACGCATTATCGTCTCCGGTGTCAAAGTAAGGTGTGATGATAATTGAGTAGGAGGATGGTGTTAAGGTCGAGTTTAGACGGTAGTTTGTATCACTAACCGCTATTACTACTAACAGGGCGAAGACAGTCCATTTTAGAGTGTGACGGTACATTTCTGAAAGTTATTACTGTATTAGCTTTTAAAAGTACCTATATATTTTAATGAAGCAACTTTGATATATTCGATGATCAATGTATATCAAACTACTTGACATAGTGATCTACAAAGGAAATTTTATCTATACTAATAATTTAAAGTCGAAAAGTTTGTTTGAACACGCTAATCTAAGGAACTACTGGTTCGAATTGAAAAATGTTTTTGTATGGGTAAAAACATTTTTTAAGGAAGGCTTAAGACTATAAAACATTATGCTGCATCTATTACGATCGAAGAAACAGTATGAAATGAAGAATGGGGGAAAATTATTCATTTTTAAGGTTTCCATTGCCTGAGCTGAATCAAGGTACCCAAAAAATATGTATATAAAAATATTGCTCTTTAAAATAATCTTTCTTTATGACAGAGGAAGAGAGACAAGCAAGGACTTCAATGAAAAATACGCCAAATAAAATCTAAACTAAAACAAGTTTCCCAACCATTTAATATCAAGAATGCCAGAGGAAGTTTCAGAAAATTATAAATTGAGTAGAAAATATTGAATCCGATGAAGATTGAATCCACGTCTTGTTGTTAAATTATAAGCTATACATTGATACCATTAGACCACCGAGCACGTTGAATTTCTTTTTATCACGAATTTATGAAGTTATATCCCATTGAAGAGTTAAAGAGAAATTCAAGAAAGACTATAGAAGAGCTCACGTCACCATTATTTATTTATAGAAGTTGGTTAAAAGAAACTCACAATAAGGAAAGAAATAATTTACTTACCAATGTCTTCGCATGGACAGGTAAATATTGAAACTGTGCTCTTGATTTTAGTTGGTACTCGCGATAAGGTTCATCTTGAGACTGTTATCATGCTGCTGATAGTGTTATGATGATTATTATCTAGGATGGTGAAATCTCTTTAAAGGGTCTTGGTTTTTTTAATTACCTTAAAAATACATTAAATTAAAATTAAATTAAAGCCAGCCAAAAGTTTTTGAAATTACCTATCAAAACCGAATAGTTTTCGGTTTTGATATTTGAAACCTTTTCATATTTGAAAATAGAATGAGTAGGTTTAAGAAAAATGCTTCTATGAACAGTATATTTATAGTAAAATTCACGAGTTATATAAATAAAGACAACAGAAAATAAAATATAAAAATTATTTAAACCTAAAATAAAGCTGAAAAAAACAATACTGAAACATGTAGAGAATAAAACACTACATACACATCTAACCTTTTATAATTAACATTAACTATTATTTGTATAATATTATGTTAACATCACTCCCTTCCAATATTTAAAATACATATGTAATCCATACAGAAATATTGACATGTTTGTAGAATAACTTAAAATACAATCCAAGACTACATGTCTTAATATTTTAAGCGTCCTCATTAAATTTAAATATTACTATTTATATTGCAAGTAGATAACTTGAATAAATGCTTATTTTTATAGCCGTATAATGGTGTCAACTTATGCCTATAAATTCGTCATAGACGTAGATTTGATCATCACTAGGTCCAACGTGTTTTTAATGAATTTATATTTTTTCTGAAATATGTTAGGCTTTTAGAAATCTGTTTATTAAAAGGGTGGTAGGAATAATAAAATTCAGTCCTGGTTACGAATAACTGTCCATACATGTGAGCAAATTTCAATCGCGTCACCAAAATAGATCGATAGCGCATGTTTTTAGATGTTCTATGATCTACTACGATATATGATATATGATGTACTACGGTAGCGTATTTCACTTTCTATAGAGTGAACCCCGTGCTTGTCTATCGTACTCTATCATAATAAAAAATAATTCTGTATTTTTCATAATATCGGCACAGATATCAAATTTCCGACGTTGTATTATAACTTATATTTTTTTTTAGATAGTAACTTACCTTCTGCTACACAGACGTTTCTACATAATTCGATATCTTCAGAAGTTTTTTTTCAAGAAATTTAAGTGGAAGGGTTTACTTAATAAGTAATATTTTATCTATAATAGTGATTCACTAACATTGAAAGGAACAGCTACTGATTGTGTTAAATTGAAAAACACGGTTTTTACAGACAATTCAAGGTAAATCTTGACAATAACGATATTGATATTAATTGCTTTATTTTCACCTTGACAGTATCATAAATACGTGCGTTAATGGTATGAATTATTGTATATAGTAGGTTTGCATTTTGGTATAAAATAAATAAATGCATTGCTTAAATAAAACACTTTAACGGTTTAAAACGCGATATATTAGTTAAACTTATTTGAAAATGATTCTTAACTTCGCCCCGACGTTTCGGATGCTTTGCAGCAGCCGTGGTCACGGGGAGACGGTCTCCTGTCTGTTTTATTTAAATGTGTACTACTCGCTTAAACTATAGACAGTATTTATATTCATTGTTACCAACTTTAGATTTGGGAAAATATGTTTGTAGTAATATTAATTCTCGAAGAAATAAACCAATTTCGCTAATGTTAATAATTGTACCTCCTGAAATTAATTTTATTTAATACTAGCTTAATCAGCGACTTCGTACGTGTAGAATAGTTCTTTTGAGTATCAATCTTTGTTTTTGCAAACCTCCTGTTCAACTCTATAAATTTGAGGAGTTACCCGCGACTTCGTCCGCGTCCCGTCCTTACTAGACGAATCTTACAAGATAGAATATACTGTCTTGGACTTTAGATAACTTAAAGATCATTCTTTCATACATATTTATTGCGTATTTCGTACCGTTTTCGCAGCGTACGCAATGGAAAACCATGAGGATGAATAATGTTTCCTGTTTTTCGACATTTCCCGCTGTATCTTCGCTCCTATTAGTCACAGCGATGTATTTTATAGCTTCTTCAATAAATGTTCTAACAAAACCTAAAGAATTTTTCATTTCAAACAAACTAACTATTCAGCTTTATATATTAGTATAGATTATTATATTCATGTAATTTAATTACAATATTATAAACTTTTATTTTCCTGAAATTAAAGTTTATAAGACCGCCTCTGTAGCCAAATGGTTAAACATATTGCCTAGCATAGCGTTGAGCGCGAGAGGTCCTGGTTTCGAATCCCAGGGAAACAAAAAATGTTTCGGTCGGGCAGGGCATAGAAGAAGTTTTAACATAATGATCATAACTGAATCGAAATTAAAAATTGGTTTATATTATTATAAGTAATTTCTTATATTTACTCATCGGAACAAAAAATAAAATGTGTACAAAATTGTTTATTAAATAGAAACATTCTAATAGCTAAATTAGACCTTATTTTAATAGCAATAAAGCAGTCAATAAGAAAAGCAGAGATGTAGGTATGGTAACGAAAGCCGATCCTCTCGCTGCCCTGATAATTGAAGAAGCCTTCCGAGTACCCCAATCCATGTTGCTTTTAGCGGATGTAATTGCACTTAAGCCAGTAGATGCACTGGGTATTGTGTCCTGGTTAGAACGAAGCCATGACTCCATCTGAAGAGAAATAACGTTTATAATAACGCTAGAATAATACAATGCGAAAAATTTACGTTTTGTCCATAAAACAAATGTTTGTGATAGCGTATTTATCATTTATCAATTTACCACGGGAGTTGAAGATCACAATAGATTGTCACTAGTTCTTACATTACCTCAGTAGTGATGTAAAACGTGTGCATATTATGAATAAAATATGATTTTCAATTCTGGAAACTGAAACGGCCACGGAAATCTACTTATAACGATCCTAAAATATTTGTTTGATGATCTACAATTTCATTCTAAACTATTATTGCTATACTCAACGTTATATAACTCACCGTTTCGCTAAGAAAATGCGAAAAACTAAGTTTTGCAACTTTCACCCAAAGAAATTGGACAAGGGGCTTGATGCGAACTTTTTATCATTAATTTATAATAGTATTTTGAACATTGATACCAATTTTTAGCTCTATGGGAATTATTGTAACCTTACCTATATTTAAATTTGACTGAACTATTAACGTATTTAAACATCTTTAACTGTAGCGTTTGGTGGCGTGGACCCACTCATGGTGTACGTCTTACTAAATCACCATTATTTGCATTTAGAACTAAACACTATTTTATATTGTAAACACAAAGGAACGTAGATGAACTTAGTAATATTATTTACACTCATATCTATACGACACTAGACTTAGTGTTTACTTACATTGTTAAGCCCCTCTTCATCTAGATAGCTCGCCAGATTACTAAGAAGGCTTCCAAACCAGGCTGGTAGAACAACTCTGGAAAAAAATTAAGAATTCCAAGAGACTGAAGATTTTTTAATTTTAACGGTGGTACAAGGACCACCAGGTACGTATTTCTATTTATGTTGGTATAGTGTATTCAAAACACTGAATTAAAAGTGTTGTCTATTTCCTTCAACCTTAAAATAACAAGGACGTAAATAGCCGGAAAACTAAACTAACGGGGTGACTGAAAACGATATTTGTTCCGCTTGTCTGGTGGCACTCTTATTTTTTCCATACACAGAAGAAAGAGATGCCTTGTTTTTTGTTACTATTATTACTTTTATTTTTTACATAATACGTTTAATTACCCCTTGTTTAGAAGTTATTCCTCCTCCTTTCTTAAAACAAAACTCTTAGCTTTTTTTTTTGTGTTTCTAACACAAGAAAATAATACTCACTTTCTCCTAAATTGCTCTACTCTTGTCTTCAAGAATTCTAAAGCGATCTTTGCGTTAGCTCTGTTCCCCATATAGAGAAAGGTCATAGCGTTGACACTGTCTTGGGCTTTGACGTTATCACTTAGAACCATTTGAAGGTATCTGAAAATTTAGTTTTAAAAAGGTATTAGTTAAAAAATAATTCCCACAGTTAGAACTGGAATACCACATGAAAGACACAGTGTTACAATTTTCACAAACATAACCAGATAAGTACAGCGTAGTTGCTGTAAGGAGATAATTAATTAAATAAAAAAGTTATTAAAAAGAAAACAGTGAAATATGCATACTCCTCTACAGCTTGGCTGTTTCTGGTGCAGCCAAGTGCCCTTAACATCGCCACTTCATCAGCTTGGTTATTGGAATTCAATCTTCGGTCGTACATAAACTTCCAGTCGCTGTAATTTCCGTTCAAAAGACCTTGACAAAAGACGTGTCTTCTTAAATTTGGATTGACTCTAAAAAAAATAAACAAGGCTTTAAACAATTACTTAGAATGGTAAATTATTTATTATGTAAATAGGCGAATAATTATCGTTTTTTTAATGAAATATGCTATGTTGCTGATTTATTGTATATGTAACTCTTATTTGTATTAGATTAGATTAGATAGTCCAATGAAAATATCGCAGGTGTCAATGCGTGGTCTTTCCTAGGTTCTTACCATTTCTTTTTATCTGTCTCTTTAAAGACTATTTACTGCTGTATTCTACTAACATTAAAGGTACATTGCGTGATAGAAAACCATTTGAGTGAAGATAAAGTAATCCGATAATAGACATTAAAGGAAATTGACCAAGCCTATAAGCTTGCTTTAAATTATGTAATATGTGAATACTTTTTGGTGTCTTTTTTCATAACAATAAATGATTCAATTCAATCTCTTCTCTATTCTCCTGTCGTAATCACTTATATGCCGACGATCTCCAAATCTACACTCACTGTTCTTTAGAAAACATCTTAGATGGGATCAATTTAATTAACACCGATACTCAAGTAATTGTAGATTGGGCAAATTCACATGGCCTTTTAATAAATCCGATCAAAACGCAGGCAATTATTTTTGGAAGTCCCTAACAATTGTCAAAAGAAGATTGGAACAATCTACCTCTTTTAAGCATATATGGGACCAAGATTCCGTATAGTAAGTCGGTTAAGAATCTTGGGATCAAGTCATTGCCCGGCCTGGGGAGACTTTTTGTTATCCTTACTCGACTATGTCGATGTTTGTTATTTTGATCTAACTGAGGAACAAGTAAATAAGTTGGAGACGATTCAAATTTTTTCAATTAGATTTATTTATGGTCTCCGGAAATACGGCCACGTGTAATTCCGTGCTAAACTAAATGGTTGCCTATTAGAGTACGACAAACACTCAAATCCTCTTTTCTTTTTCTTCTGATCTCCACTCCTCCTTTTAATCAAAAGGTTTATACTTATGGGTTCTTCCCATGAACTTGACCTTCATTCCTCATACAACCGTCTCCTTTCTATGCCTGCCCGTTCATCTAAATGCTTCTTCTTTTTCTGTACAGGCTGTCCGCCTATGGTATAAGCTGCCATCCGCGATTAGGCTCTCACAAAGTCTTAACTCCTTCAAGATCAAAGTAAAACAACATTTTCTTGAAAGTATTGTTCAGTCTTGATGTTATTGGCTTATACTTTTATTAATTACAGAGTTGCATCTTTGTAAGAACAAAATTTTTATCTTAAGTTTTTACTGTTTAGTGTGTTAACGTTTTTTGTTGTGATAGTTTTGATATCATTGTATTTTACAATTTATTGCATTTTCTCTCTCATTCTCGTTGGCTTTAACTCATTTATTGTTATTTTCTTTTCCTTTTCTTTATACAAAGGTTGCCTGGAAGAAATCGCCATAGGTGTTAAGGCCTTCTTTGCACTAACTCTTTTATGTAAATAATTATTTTAGTTTTACTATATTTGTATTTTATTTGTTTGTGCAATATAGTGTTTTATTATTATTATTATCATATTTCTAACTGTCTCGTTGGTCGAGCAAGGTAAGCAATCGCCTACGGATCAAAAGGTTCCAAATCGAATCTTGGGTGGTCAAGCGCAATGTTACTAAAGTATTTGAAAATTATATACACTTTTAACGGGTTAAAACACGAAATATATTATGAAGTATATTCTTAATACGGCACGGGGAATCTTTCCGTGACCACCGCTACAACAAAGCATCCAAAATGTCTGATTGTACATATCATTAATATGGTGTTTTTTTATCATTGACATAGTAGTTCTTTAAGATCATAATTAACTTACTTGCTACCGCTACTCCGTAGAGCATTAAATTTGAACACGGAGTCGCTACTACAGCCTTCATGGCCGATACTGCAAGCAAATTGAAGAATATAGAACCTATTTAGAGTTCTAGTTAAAGGTTCGCCGATGCTGTAGTCATATTCCAATTCACTGATCACATTTCGGAGGAAGTCGAAAAGAATTCGCTGTAAGAAGAAAATATATATTTCTTAGACTTCATAATACATGCTGGTAGTTAATAACCATAAAAATGTCACATACAATATGATTCTTGTAATTTCTTAAAAGTAGTTTTGTTTTGGTTACGAACAGACTCAGCTAAAATTGTCTTAAAGTTACAGTAAATTTAATTATAATTAACATGAATAATGATAAAAATCATTTGGCAGAAGTAAAAAGTAAAAAATAAAATTAACATAATACAAAGCAGACTATTTGAAAAATAAGTTAATATGTACTAATTATAAAGCAATAAAAGCTAAAATTTATAATTTTGTCTCCAAAACCTTGCTTTTAAAGATGCCTTTCAAAAAGAATTTTGATAAAAGCTTCAATAATAACGATGTGTTATTCTGGGGATATTTTTAATTTGACCGAAGAAACCTATTTATAAAAGTATTGTAAATTTTACACCAATAACAAGATACTCGTCAACATGAATATAATATTCTATTGTCACCCTTTATATACATGTATGCAAAATTGCAGCTCAATCTGATCCGGTTGCAACTTGCATTCAACTTAAATAACTTACATCGAATTCCCTCAAAGTGTTAGGGATGTGTAGAAAACGATTTCTGATCCAAGAGAAGCCGGTTATCGCTGGATACCAAGAGTAATAGCTGGTGTCCTTCTTGAGGAAGTTAAGAATTTTGAAGCCAAGCTCGAATGATATTTTCTCCGATCTCATAAACGCGAAGACATCGTTAACAATCTGAAAATATTACCAAAAAGTGTCTCAGTTCGCTATGTCCTCTCACATTTTTAACAAGCATTTTGACGGTTGAAAACAGGACACATTAAATAATTTTAGCAATCTATCAGTAATAATACTCAAAGCACGTGAAGAGTGTAGAATGAAACTTGGCGATAAAAAGAGTGGCGGCGAGGTTCTTGGCAATTCTTCTCGTTCGTTCTACGCCTTTGAAATTTACGGATTTACGGTTTTTACGGATGTGACGTTCATAAGTCTACCTAGTTACCTACGTGAATATATTATTTTTGAGTTTCACTTTAACTTCGAGTACATTTTATATAAAATGTTATTCCAAATATATTTGAATGAAATGAGAATACCTGGGCCCTGTTGAGATGGTGTATTGACGAATGATTCTTCTCAAGAGCACTAGCAGTCATTTCCCAAGTGTGAGTATCATAATTCACTCTGTATAGTCCTACAAAATTGTGTAACTTGATAAATTAGGTTTTCTGAGTTTCTGGGTATCGGTCGTCATAATTGAGAAATAGTTTTGACATTTCACTGCATCACGACAAAATTATATTTGTTGTAAGCCATATCCTAATTACGATGTCCAATTGCCCAAAACTCAAGTAACTTTGCAAAATGGCCTTGAAAGTCTATATAATTTGTTAGTTTTCCTATTATTATTTAATTTTTCATAGATTAAGCAACGTTAACACTTAAACGCTCATATAACTAATAAGAAATAATTTTAATACTCTTTGTTCAACTCAGGTTTTTTCTTTATGATTTAATATACCTATATATTTTTAATAATCGTTGACTTATTTGATAAATGAATAACGTAGTGATAATAATAAATTTCTAGCAGGTAGCTATCCATAACACTTGAAGAGACGGTAGCTCTACTGGTAAAAATAGTAAAGCTTGTGATATCTTACCGCAAAATAGGGCTTTCAGACTTTATAAAGAACAATATATCGATTTCCATTAATGATTTTTTCCATTCCATCTGGGTCACGAACCACAGCACATCTGGTTTAGATGCAATAGGCTAGGGTATATCACATACCATGAAGTAAACCCCGTGCATATCCGTTCTTTCTATGATATAAGAATATGTTATATGTAAAATACCTTTTTGTTGTACGTTGAAAATAACCCATTCATGGCCAGCTGCCTTTCGGATTTGATAGCTCTTTCCTGTCATAAGGTGAGAGGCTTTCAAGTTATTCCAATCGGGATTGCTGCCTGAAGTAAATGTAAGTGGGATATGCCATAATTGTTGATTAGTTTCAGATGACGGGTTGATATAGAAACGTTCCTGAAAATGTTAGGTAATTAGAACCCATATAGACTGTAGGAATTGAAACATTATTGAGCTTCTTTAGAATTAAACTAATGCATATTTAAATTAGCCGATTTTTTTTCTATACATATATATTATATGAGGCTGCAACAAGCGTGGCCTAATAACGAAAACCGTGAGTTTCATAAGGAGGAAAACAAAAATGCTCAAATTACTTAGGCAAAAATGAATATGTACTATTATTTGTATAAAAATTATGTTAACAATATCCGGCCACTGTGCTCTTACAGGTTAACATCTTCTTACTATGAAAATATAAATAACTCAAGTCACAAAATTGCAGCTAGGCGACTCTTTGCCTCTACTCTGCCTCCAGCAAACTTACATATTGTACTATATGCCTGTTGCTATAATTTTGCAAATCTGCGCCACGATTCTAATTAGTTTTACTGATGGCCCACTAAATAATAACCGAACCGTTTATCCGAACAGTGCACATTTAAAGAAACACTTTTTACGGTTTAAATCGCGTAGCTTACATAACGGTTACCTATTTCGGATACAGAAATTAGCCTCAATATTTAAATATATGTATAATGTAAATAAATGTATATATTTAGTTCAATAAAAAACAAATGCCGCGATGCTGTTTCCAGTATCTTACTTGGGTTGTCTCGTTGAAGATTCGTAATTTTTACTAACACTTTAACACTTGTAGTGAAAATTATATATTAGTACCTGAGTAATATTCATGAGTCCAGTATTCATATCAACATATACATCAATGACTGGGGAGCCGGGCTGCTCAACCCAATTTTGAAATATCGCAGCGATGTCCCAGTCGCTGCTGATCGGGGTGTCTTCAGCAACGGCCTTTGCGAAGTTCGTGTAGAGGTCAGTGGGCAACGCATGTTTGTAAGATCTATAAAGATAAACATTTCATCTCAATACATTTCTAATTCTTGATAATAACTCTTTACAATGAGGAAATCAATATTTTATTTCACTAATTATATCCAGTAATCTTGCATCGGTCGCAAGCATTTTGTGTGTTCCAGTCAAAATTTAATTGTTGTGAGGGTTTGGGTTTTGTTTTTGGGGGGTTTGGGGGGGGGGGGGGGGGGGGGGGGTTTTTTTTTTTTTTTGGGGTTTTTTTTTTTTGGGGGGGGGGTTTTTTTTTTTTTTTTTTTTTTTTTTTTTTTTTTTTTTTTTTTTTTTTTTTTTTTTTTTTTTTTTTTTTTTTTTTTTTTTTTTTTTTTTTTTTTTTTTTTTAATATTGTAGTAGTGGAGTTGTTAAAAATTATTTTGGTTTTTTTTTTTTTTTTTTTTTTTTTTTTTTTTTTTTGGGGTTTTTTTTATTTCCTTGGTTTGGGGGGGGGGAAAGGTTTTTGGGGGGGGGGGGTCCTCTGGGGGGGGGGGGGGGGGGGGGGGGGGGGGGGGCCCGGCCGCGGGGGGGGGGGGGGCCCCCCCCCCCCCCCCCCCCCCCCCCCCCCCCCCCCCCCCCCCCCCCCGGGGGGGGGGGGGGGTTCCCCCCCCGGGGCCCCCCCCCCGGGGGGGGGGGGGGGGGTTTTTTTTTTCCCCCCCCTTCTTTTTTTTTTTCCCCCCCCCCCCGCCCCCCCCCCCCCCCCCCGCCCCCCCCCCCCCCCCCCCCCCCCCCCCCCCCCCCCCCCCCCCCCCCCCCCCCCCCCCCCCCCCCCCCCCCCCCCCCCCCCCCCCCCCCCCCCCCCCCCCCCCCCCCCCCCCCCCCCCCCCCCCCCCCCCCCCCCCCCCCCCCCCCCCCCGGGGGGGGGGGGGGGGGGGGGGGCGCTTTTTTTTTTTTTTTTTTTTTTTTAAAAAAAAAAAATGTACCTAGGAAGTCTAACGCGAAAATTACAAATATAGCTATCCCGAGTGTATCCACGACCTGTATTATGTGGGCGGCACACGAAGCTAATATAGCGTTATGTTAGAGCGTATTCAAAATAAGTTCACGAGACATTTATAGCAAAGACCCTACGGGGTATATCTCTACTACCCATTAATGAAACGACATTATTCGTTTGGAGCATGGTTGGATACACTAAGCTGCCTAATGATATAATCTGATCTAAATCGCTCACATACGAACGATATATTATGTAAAAATTGTTATTGTAACCCACAAATATGTTGGAGTTGTGTGGAACTTGCAATTTAAATTTTGTTATATGATAGGAATTTTGAGGAAAAATACAATATTTCACTAATAATAATATGGAAACATAAAAAGAACCTGTCACTATAAAAAGCAATAAAATTAAATTGATTTACAATTTTAGATTATTCATAAATTCTTTAAGACTATAAAATAAGATAAGAACAGTGACGACATTACCTGTCAACTAAATAGTAATTTAGAGCCTTCTTAAAGGTATTTTCTCCAATCAAATTCTTTAACATAAGAAGTAGGGAAGCTCCTTTCGTATAACTGATTCCGCTGAAGTGTCCAGTAACCTGCGCGGGAGTATTGACTGTGTGTTCCAAAGCTCTAGTACTTGCGGAGGAGTCTGATGATAGAGCACTTTGCAATGACTGGATGTTGAATTGATCGGCTCTTTCTAAGGACTGATCGATCTAAAATAATTTTAGGAATTAATTTCTATGAACAATGTCTTGAAAAAATAGTATTAATACAATATTTAATAATTGATGTAAGTGTTACTCGTTGATTTTACGGCAAAAACACTATATTTATTGCACTGGCTTTGGTTTTCAAGATCTGGAAGAGATCAGACCGCCCGTTGTACTTTGCAATAATTTTCTCTAACAGTTCAAGGCTATTTTGAAGATTACATTTTCGACTTATTATGTGTTGCAATAAAACATTAAGTACATAGGGAAATGAAATATCTATTGACATTACTACTACAGTCACCTATAAACACGATACTAGCTTTAAACAGCATATTCAAATTCAAATTCATGAACCTACTTCGTGCATAGCAAAATCTTCGAAGTAACTGGCAAATCCCTCGTTTATCCACACGTTGTTCCACCATCTACAAGTAACCAAATTACCGAACCATTTATGCGCTAGTTCGTGAGATGTTATTGTTGCGATAGACATTTTATCAACCGCGTTGGTTTCACCCTCTTCATACAAAAGACGGAGCTCTCTGAAATAAATAATTATATTTTCGTAGTAGAATTAAAATTTTGTGGTATTTACTTCAATAAGTAAACAACATTGTTTATCAAACCTGTATGAAACTAAGCCCCAATTTTCTGTAGCTCCTGATGCCCAATCGGGAACAGCGATTTGGTCATTTTTGAGATTACTATCCATCGAATAATAGTCGACGCCTAAGTAGTCCGAAAACCATTTTGTTAAGGGGGGACCTACTTCCAAAGCATATTCGCCTTGACCAGCCGCGTTAGGTCTTGCAAGGATTCGATAAGGATGAGTAGCATTTCTGTTATCAGCTATAGCAGTGAATTCTTCACTAATATGAAATGTAACTAAATAAGCGGACATTTTCGGAGTAGGCCGAAATATTTCCCTTGTGCGATTATTGACTCTGAAAATATTACCTGGATAAAGAGGGTGGTCTTTTGATTATACACAAAGACTTGACAGTAGGGTAGTTGCTGAAAAGTCTAAAAAGAAAGTACTTATTTTGAACCATTTCTTTTTTTAGTTCAGTTTCAATTAGGTTCGTAAAATGTTACCTTTTACAGCTATAACTTACGTATCTTGTCGGAGAATAGGCATGTTTGAATAGGTCTCAGTGAATGTAAGGGGTCTGTTAATTATTATGTTAAACACAGATTTGAAACCAGGCTCGTCGAAGCACGGAAAGGCCTGTCTTGAGTTTGTTGGCTGTAAATGTGTTGCAACATACCAGCTAAAATAGAGAATGATACTTTGAAGTAAGTTTAACATAGCTATATAATTATTATTTTAATTGCGATATTTAAACTTACTGTTTTTTTCCACTATTATCAAGATAACTTCCTCTGAAAACGCCTCTCGATAGTGGTGTTTCATTTATATTACCAATATAATTTATAGTGATTTTATATGTTTCATTAACTTTCAGTGTACCTTGCTGCAAGTTAATTTTTAGAAAATGATATTCCTGTTCTCTTACAAATGGACTAGTTCCATTTAAGACGACAAGAGTTCCAGCGCTGTCATGCACAGTAACTGTTACTATTTCTTTTACATTTTCATGAAGGACGAGTGTTGAAATTCCATCGTTGAGTGCCTTTAAATATACAATATATAAAGTTATAACTTAAACGTAATCTTTAGAAAGCGTTGTAAATTTAAATTACAACTTTTAATAAAATCGAATAAATTGCTTATAATTTATGTTAGAATATTCCTTAGTAAACAATTAAATTTCTCTTTTATATTTTTAGCATGAGCAAATATTCGAACAGAACTACAAAATCTCTTTAATACCTTCTAATAGATTCTTACCTTCACATTTATTTCCACAATACCGTCAAATGTGAATGCTTCCTTTGTTCCCTCTGCCTCGAAATAAGGAGTTATTTCAACTTGAAAACTAAGTGGATCCAAATCTTCCGGGAGTCTATAGATTTCTTCACCAACATTACTATATACTTCTATTTCTTCAACGTCCAGTGGAAGTTCACAACTTACAATACTTATAAGAGCTGGTATAACCAGCTTTAAGATCTTAAACATGACTCTGAAATATCCGATAGATATATGTATTTTATTTGTTTTTCGTGAAAATAGTTCTAAAAGGTTTTCAATCACTGTACACGTTTACCTTCTTGTAATTAAACCTACTTTACACAACATATCTTTGTTTTCAATAAATTTATATCGTCACAATGATTTTCATGACTATATGCCTTATTCACCAGTCATAACCATTATTTTTTATCAATAATAATTTAATTATGATAACAAAAATAATTAATCTTTCTTACCTTTGATTTATAATTAACACTAGCCGAAAATATTTTATGCCGTCAGCGATACGACTCTACGGAAATAAGAACGGTGGATGAAAGTATTATACATATCATCGTACATACGTCGTTTTAATTGACCATATACTTTATCGGGATTAGGGGAGTGATAACGAAAAACGTTATCAAAATATAATAGCAATTGATAAGGTGTTATTTCAATGAAGTGTCGCCGTTTTATCGTAAGGCCATTCATTTGTCATTATTGTGTTACCTCCTTTTGTATTGTTATTCCTAGCGTACACGCGTAATTGCATATCAAATGAAAGTAAACCCAGTTTTCCCTCGTGGAGGGTATACTCCACGAAACCTTCGCCTTCTGTGCCCTTTACACCGATGAATATATTGAATTCTGTGCCCAGTCTGACCGAAACAATATATGATATTTCTGGGCATAATTACTGTAGGTACTATTGAAATAAAAAAAACTAATTTAAACATTAAAAAAAGTTTTGATCATATATATTATTTTATTAAACACCTAATAACAACACAACTAAAACAAGAATTGTTGACGAAAGTATTCTTCCAGCTCCACTTTTAGTAGCGCTAATTATCATATCTCCATTAGCTCTTCCCCAAGCTATAACATTACGAGCTGAATTTATAGCTGAAATAGCTCTTCTGTATTGCAAGGTGTTGGTCTGTGTGCTGTTGAGCCATTCTTCATACTATAACAATATTATTACGAAACGGCTAATAAAAGAGGTAAATGAAAAATATGAGTGAAAAATAAGCCGACTACAAGGACAGCGTAAACGTTTATTTACGCTGTCCTTGTAGTGGGCTAAGACTGCCGACTTCTAGAGCCGTTATACCTAGTAACGAAACAAAACTATTTAAACATTAAATCTACCTCAACTAAATACTCTTCATCTAGGTAAGAAGCGAGATTTGACAATGCGGTGTGAACTGGATTGGGGGGTGAGTCTTCAACAAATCTGAAATTAAAAATATATGTATATCCTTTTCGGATAACCCAAAACAATATAGGATTGAATGAATAAATCAAATTATTTCCCAACCAAGCCCTACGTGAAAATCTATTAAAAGAGACAATCTATGAAAAAATATCAAAAGTCAACTACTTACGCCTTCCTTATATTGTCTATATTGTTTTTAACAAATTGTAAAACGGTTTTCGCATTTTCCTTATTACCCAAAAGGGCATAGTTAAACGCGTTCACTTTATCCTGAGATCTTACTTCCTTGGTCAGGATTAAAGCTAAGTATCTGTAAATACACGAATTATTTTAATTACAATAATGAATATATTATTAAACTCTAATTACAACTTATAAAACTTTTACGACTAGTGTTACGCAAAAAAACAACCAATACAACGCCTATATATAAAAAATGAAATTAATGCAAATGAAACAAAAATGAGTTAATATTTAAAATAGACACTTAAACTACTTTTATAATATTCTTGTATAAATTAATTTTTATTAAGTAACTTTTTAGAAGTGACTTGCTAGAAAGCTTTCTATAACTCATTCCAACTTGGATAGATTCATATACTTTATTTGCGACAGTAAGAGAATTCTATGTCTAAAAAGTCATAGATTTGTTAACTCTCTTCTTTACACTGTACTTTTTTCTTTGATTAATTTCTTCGCAAAACAAACGCTTATTATGCAAAGCATAAGACATTGAATCTCAATACGTCAAGGTTAAAATTACATGACATGAGAGGTATATGCCAATAAAAAAAAATCGACCATGACTATTAGAACACGCTAGCTGTGGATGCCGGTTCATATCCCGCCCGTCTCAATAGATTTTTAATTTACTTGTAAGCATTATTTTCCCTTACCTCATTAATAGTTGAGGGTCCCGAGTTGCAGCAAGCCCTCTCAGCATCTCTAATTTATCATTAGCAAAGTTAGAAGTTTGGAATCGATCGAGGAGGAAGTTGAAATCTTCAACACCGCCTTTTCTTATACCTACAACGTAGACGTTGCGTCTGATCCTAGGGTCCACCCTAATAATAGATATAAAAAATCAATATCATATTTTATAGAAAATGAAAAAATCGACGTGATGGACCCGTTTTTATATAGAGGGGAACAGACATGCGTGGGTTTCACGTGGTGGGAGGTAAAATACCCCAGCCATATACCAACAAGATGCGTTCTCGAACTATTTTGGCTCTGGATTCGGTAACAGTAAACATACACTTGTTCGTTGAATCGAATCATGCCTGTCATATTTTAAACTAATTTTATGTAAAATATTTTTTATTGTTTAATATAAAATCTGATTAATATATATTATTAGAAACATACAAATTTACTAAAATAAAAACAAAATAACACACAACTAAATAAATTTAAATTCAACAAAACCTATCACCGGACACGACCGTTCCGTAAAGAGCAACGAAAGAAGTCCGCGAGCCGTTGCTTGAGGCTTGTTTATATAGCCTTCAGTTGGCGGGTAGTTGTAAGTTGACTTTTCTGATGATTTCCAACACGGCCTCTCCTGACAGGAGTCCGTCTCATCATAATTTAACTTTCCTGATCCGTGTCAAGAATTGGCAGTGAATTTTCTTCATTGGAAGTGAACTATGCAATCAGATGTCTCTTGTCCAAAGGACCCGGTTGTGGTTCGAACGCCTCCATATTGTAATCACAGGTCATCCCGAAGTAGCCTCCATTTCACTTCCTCTCACCAGGAAGACAGGAAATTACCCTATTTTGAATTTGTAAAAATACAAAAAAAGAAAAGTGCCGTTAGCTAACATTTCAAAAGAATTAGTTATTCCACCAATCATTAACCTCTTATCTATCCGATATACCTCAAACGATTATCCCCTTTCTCCCCCGTCCTTCATTCCTCGGGGTTATCCTGATCCTCCATTATAACGTGCTTCACATACATTCTACAACCATCCATCTACCTCCAACATTTTCTGAATCTAAAATTCCAACAATTAGGCCAGAGTCTCACTAGTAACATCATTACCTCCAGATGGTTCTTTATTCTCGAGGTCCCTCTGGATACCTTCCATATACCTCCACATGGTACCCCGGGCCCAAGACCTCCACACCTCCTATTTTCTTACTTCTTACCTCTATATTTCAGTTTCATAAATTTAAAATAAATCATACTCACACAAATCAATTCAACACTTCCGGGATCAATTCACCTTTCCAACACCAGAACTCTCATGTGTCTTCTATGATTCAGCAAGGACTTCATTTGTAACGGTTATTTGCTGACCTCTGGTGATCCGGTAAGGTCCCCCATACCTTAGTTTCTCTTGCACTCGAGTATTTGATAACAAACACAAGGTCACCTTTCTCGTACGTTCGTATGAAGCCATCCTTTAACCCCCTACTTTAACATCATTTTGCTACTTCGGCTCCTTTTTTCCACTTCTTATGCTTCACGGTTTTCACCTACTCTCGACTGGCATATCTTAAAGACTAAACCACTTAACATATACCCCTAACCTCCAATGTCTACTTCGTGAGCGTTCTACCTTACGTTCCTTTCATCGGACGACTGAACTACTCAAACGGTAAAACCCATTAGAAGCAAAAATTGTAATTCCAAGCATTTATCCCCACTTTTTATCTTGCAATTTACTAAAATAAAAACAAAACACAACAACTAAATAAATTTAAATTCAACAAAAGCCCACCGCCGCCGTCCGTACAACGAGCAACGAAAGAAGTCCGAGCGTGCTTGAGGCTTGTTTATATAGCCTTCAGTTGGCGGAGTTGTAAGTTGAGCTTTTCTGATGATTTCCAACAATATACATATTAAAATAATAAAAAAATGTCTAGGTATAGTCACAACCAGCTACAAAGCAACCAAGAAGTGATGTTCTCGTAATAAGCTAACTAATGTATTTCGAATGTAAGACCGCTAAAAGTACTCGCGTAAACAACGGACACCTACATACGCAACATTTTACACTTATTTGCTTCCTTTAAAATTATACTTAATGTATTAAAAAATAAATTGCATTGCTCGGTGTTTTAACTGTTTTAAATAACTTAAATAAAATATAACTTTGACAAAAACATACCAAGTTCCATTTTCTCTGAGGCTAATAAATCTATCTCGCGATTCTTTGACGCACCTTCCGTGACCCAACAGACAAACAAAATGAAGAACCTCCTGCCTGTCAACGCTGACAGTTGTGGTTTCGTTAGTTGCTGGTTCGAATCCCAGTGTATCAACGACGTGCTCCATTTGACTTAAGATGTAGGCCTAAAATAAATTATCATTTAGAATTGGGTGAAGCTTGGGCGTTCCAATGGAATCCCGAAAATATAATTCCGGCCATACCGGGCACTGATTAGCCTTTAAGTAAAATCGATTAGTGAAAAGAACTAAGAAAAATAGAAAATGCTTTAGTACAATTTGTTTTACATGCGCATTCCACAACATATTACAATGTTGATGTCATTTGTCAGCTATCAGCTGTCAGCTGTCATCTGTAAACTGTCATCTGTTTTTGTATTTCAATTAATCATTATTTAAAACTTTTAACTATTTATCAGGAATTCGTTGATACAACTTATGTGATGTTCATAATGTACCCAGCTACCTACGTGAATAAACGATATTTGTCATTGACTTCGACATATATGCGACACCGCGATAATTATTTATATGTTAACAAATGAAACACTATACATATGTTTATTTTATATATTTTTTATACTCACATCAAACGTTGACTGTGTGCCAGGAATATGCCTGAAACGATTGCGGATCCACGTATAACCGCTGATAGCTGGGTTCCATACGTGATAGTTAGTTTCCTTTTCAAGGAATCTGAGAATCTTGAACCCGAAGTTGTACGTTAACCGATTTGCGCGCATTAGAGCGAAGACGTCGTTCGCAACCTGACAACATAATACACACATTCATATTTTTTTAGGTTTAAATGAACGGAAAATTTAGTTCGTTAAAAGACTCAAAAAAACGAATACAACTTAATTATTGGAACTTATTAACACAATGTCTTATCTTACTAAAAAAAGATGAAACTGATAACCTTTGTAAAATAAAATATGTTACATTGTCCGTTTTTTAATGGTCTTATTCTGCATCAAGTAGAAATAAATAATGAAGTTAGTTTTTATAGCCAGTTAGATAATGATCTAAGCAATGACTTTTAAATAAAAAACTAACATAGTATCTTTTATTTCAATAAAACACAGACAGCGCAATTTTGTGACTTGAGTTATTTACATCTATGTAGTCTAAAAATGTACAAGAGCACAGTGACCTTAAATTAGATGGCATCAGTTTAAACCTTAGTAGTTTTTTATTGCTATCAATATATAAATAAATGTATTCGTTATGTTGATATGATAAATAAATGGAACAAAAAATTAAGTACTTTTAACTTAAATTGAATAACTGCTGAGAGTCAAATTTCATTAATACATTATCATTAATGGTAAATATTAAAATCTTACTTGAGCTCTGTTCAAATGATGTATAGATTCCGGTGTCTCTAATAAAGCATTGGCAATTAGATTCCAAGTTTTTTCGTCGTAGTTCACTCTATATAAACCTATAAATAAACGCATAAAAAAAACTAAGACTGCAGAGAGCAATTAGTTTGAAGTTACGCAAATTGATTTAATTGCGCGGTTAATCCCAAGATGATGACTCAAAGGGGCAAATTAAAAGTATTTAAGCACTGCTTTTGTATCAGCATTTAGTATACAGACGGTTATGTTTGAAGACTCCGAACCGGTGGATTTGTCTGGTAAGTATTCATAAGATGAGGCAGCTAGAGCCAGAGTACCCTAACTGCATTTTCTATGACTTGACTGGTATTTGTGTGGGTTTACACAAATAATAGTTAAATTCTTCTTCGCTTAAGTTAATAACACATTTCTATTTTCCTCCTTATTGAAAATCATATTTTTGTTATTAGGCCACTCTTGGTTTAGCAACCTCACATATAATGCTACTCTATCAATCAATCACGAGAAACATAATATATCTCACACTCATTCTATCCTTTTCTATGTGAGATGCGAAATGTAATGCAATTAGTTGACTTGTTTACGATGTATTTTAACTAAGGCCCGACGTTTCGGATGCTTTGCAGCAGTCTTGGAGCTGTCGATGGAGGGTGTCTCTAATAACAAAGTCAAAATCACTCTATTTTATTTATTTTTTTACAAAGGAGACAGCTATATGATTCGCTTGTAGGTAAAAAAACCCAGCCATATAACATCTAAACAAGATCGCTGTCGAGTTATTTTGATTATGTGAAAACAACTAATATACAACAGTCTTCCCGTGACCACGGCTGCAAAGCATCCGAAACGTCGGGCCAAAGTTAAAAATCATTTCCAAATAAGTTTAACTAATATATCACGTTTTAAACCGTTAAAGTGTTTTATTTAAACTAATATACATACAACTGAATTTAATTTGTTATTAATATTGCCATTGTTAACGTTTATATTTTCAATAAAACGTAAAGACAAAAGCGATTGATAACTTACGGTGCTTGAAAACACATGATATTGCACATGATGGCACTATATAAATTAAAATCTATTTTAGATTTTTAAAAATTGGCGCAAGAGGTGCATCTATGAATAAGTTGAAAAAATACGACGATGAAGTGTAGGACACTGTAACTCAATTGGTTGGAGCAACAGCACGGAATGCTGTGGATGCCATGTGGTTCGAGTCCTGCCCGTGCTCTAATTTTTTCCAATCTAAAATCCATTTTTGACTTACTGTGTTGTTGATTATTGAAAATAACCCATTCTTCTCCTGGGTCTTTTCGAAGGACTACCTTATCAGCCGACATCATATAAGTCGGTTTTAGTTGTTCAAAGTTTGGTTTTGTCTTCGTCGAAAATGTGATTGGTATTGGGTAAACGTGGCCAGTTGGTTTTGCTGTTGCACTTAAGAAGAATCTTTCCTGTTAATTCGAATTTAATTTTTATGATTGACGATAGATATATCTTGTAATATAATAAATGAAATCGAAAAATAAATTGAAACTCAAAATATATTATATAATATATTTCATATGAGAGAATAGTAAATCTTTTATAAAAAAATTTATTTACACAAAGTGACCATTTTATTAATGCATATCTTTGTCAATCGTCATTCCAATTAATTTCTATAATACATTTACTTAGTGGATTAACTAGTACGTTTAATATCCATTATTAAAATAAAACACTTTTAATGGTATTAAACGCGAAATATATAACTTATCTAACTTTTTTGGTTTAATTTAGGACCAAGTGACCACGGGGCTGCTGCAAAGCATCTGAATCGTCGGGCTGTAGTCAAACTAAATTGATTATATATCATAATAATTATTTTATTATAATATATAATCAATTAGCTTTTTCAACCGTTTAAAGTGTTTTATTTTAATCGTATCATATTAATATTTACTACTTACTTAAATTTATTGAAGAAATTAGTCTAATTATGATTTCTACTCGTGTAGACTGCAATATTTAATATAATCTTATTCATAAAACTTACTTGAGTTAATCTCATCTCACCAGTGGAGTGGTTGACATCAACGTTTAATATCGGATAACCAGGTTTATCGACCCAAATGCGGTAGAACTCCGTAAAATTGAAGTTCTGATACTCTTCTAATGTACCATCTTCTTCTACTGCTTTTGAAAAAGCGTTGAAAAGTTCCACTTGGTTTGCTGGTTGATATGCACTGTAAACATTATTTAGAAGAATGTGAATTGAAAATTTTTCGATTATAATTTCCATTTTCATTTTTTAATCTTAAAACATAGACATATAATTTCATGGACATTATATAGATTATTTAAAGAGGATTCCATACATATTTTTTGGGTATCAACAAGGATGAATATTCCCTAATCCCTAAAACGCAACCCTAACCACGGCTGTAATGTCGAGCAGTAGTTAAAATACATGTATGCAAGTTAACTAATATATTTCATGTTTTAAACCGTCAAAAATGTACTAATTCGCCTAATTCACATACAATACTTCAAGATATTTACTTACTTGTCAACCAAAAAGTATTTACACGCTTTCCTGAAAGTCTCTGGCGTTATCATATCAACAATCATTCTCAAGAAAGCAGCTCCCTTAGAATAGCTGATGGTCCCAAAGTGGCCTGTGACTTGGGCTGGTGTATTGACCTCGTGGTTCAGAGGCACGGTTGACGTACCGGAGTCAAAGGACAAGCTGCCTTGAAGGTAACGTGAATTGAAATGTTCATGGAGCTCGTACTTTGGGAACATCTGAAAAATAGTATGAACAAATATTAATAAAAGTACGTTTGATTATCTCTGCATATTTTTTTTAATATTGAGTTTCGTTTGAGTGACTCAAAGTGCCCTTCAACAAAGGCTTATTGTTCTAATCCTGGAAGTAATAAAACGTGGGCAGGGCAGGGCACAAAAGTCTCAACTGTTTGCTTGTAAATAAAATCGGTCTGTGAAAACGACACGGAAATGTGTTCGCTCCAAGCCCTATAGAGTGAAGCGGGATTAAACTTTACAAGTTTTAAATCAATTTTACAAACTCTTCATTACAGTTTAGTAGTTACCGGTGTCGTTATTTGCTGGTAAAAATGTTTTGTTTAAATTATAATTTTGAGTCTAGAAGCGTAGGGACATATGATTTTTACAAAATGGCCGCAAAAGCTTTAGGTATAACATTTATCAAAAAGGTATTTTTTAAATCAACGCGAGTTGTATTAAAAAACACTTTTAACAGTTTAAAACTCGAAATATAGTAGTTAACTTAAAAGTACATTTAACTAATGTCCGACGTTTCCGATCAGCATCGTATTTTATTTAAATTATTAAAATCATGTTTTTGGTGGAAAATATAACAAACACGATATTTCACTTGAACATCACCATAGCGAACTTACAGCATGTGCCGCTATATATCCGAAATAACTGGCAAACCCTTCGTTAATCCAAGTATTGCTCCACCAAAAGCAAGTTATAAGATTACCCATCCACTTGTGAGCCAGCTCGTGTGAAACTAGCGTCGCTGCGTATTGTTCGGTAGACATTATCGTTTCTTTGGGATCTATGATCATGTAAAGTTCTCTAAAAGTAAAGTAGAGTAGATTAATTTAATATATACAAGATTTTTTTATTTTTTGAAACCGGCCCTTAAAACCCAAATAAATTGTTATTTTACCATAACATAGTAGTAATAATGACTCACAATCATATTAGTTGTGCGTTAGCAGTTAAATGTAATCAATATTAAGTAATATTTTATTTGTGTTTATTTATCGATAAAGATATTGACTATTTTTACGGTCAGTACTAACGGGCAATTCGAAAATCGATGTTTTATATGTCCCAAATGATGAAATGTACAAGTAGTAGTTGTGTTGTAGTTTTTGTTCGTGATCAAAATAGGGATGTCGGTCGTTTTTATCGATTAGGATACAGATTTTTATGTGTTAACAGTTTCTACTGGCAATTTTAAAAGTGATCTCTTTATGACCTAAATGATGAAAAGGGATCTACCGAAGGTTTCGTTTGTGATCGCATTTGTGACTCAAGTAACCTACAAACAATACTTAAACTGCCTTATAGATCTATTTTCACATATCTCACCTATAACTAACCATTCCCCAGTTCTCTGTAGCTGCTGAAGCCCAATCTGGTGAGGATATATGGTCATTCATCAAATAAGGATGGAGCGATGAGTAAGGTATTTCGAAATATTGATCGAAGAATTGTGTCATCTTCACTGCTAATTCTAAAGCGTGGTTCCCAAGTCCAGCTGTATTCGACCTTCCAATAATACGGATTGGTGGGTTAAAGGTGCGGTCTTCAGCTATTACTTGAAACGTTTCACTCACAAGAAATGTAACGAGGTATGATGACATTTTTGGTGTTGGATAGAAGTTTGTCGTTATTCTATTGGTTTCTGAATTGCTGAAAATATTGGATATGATTGAAAGATGAGAAAAAAAAATATATTTATATATACTTCAAAATAGGATTGGTTATACAGCGACCTTTAGTATTACTTACAAATAATAATCATTCTAGCTCCATAGTACTTACCTTTCTATAGACTCGGCTTTGGTGTTAGAGAACATTTTAATGTAAGTGGCTGGAGCAGACAAGTGGATGTTGAATACCGCTTTGAAAGAAGGCTCATCCCAACATGGGAATGCTTGTCTTGCGTTGTACGGTTGGAAATGTGTCGTTGCGTATATCCTGAAAGATACAATAACGATAGAGTAAATGTTTTCAAGAGCCTTTTACTATTAAGCTGCTCAGTTTCATAACGCGTTTTCTAGCTACAATTTAAGCATTCAAATCCCAGGGAAATTAATAATATTTACGGCAGGGAACGGGAAAGGACTCCGCTGCGTATAATACCATACTATTTCTCTCGGAGATAAAAAGATTTACTGTTTATATAGGAAAGCCAAAAGTCGTCAAACCAGTTAATAATTATTAATGATCGTAAATTTTTATTTACTACCAATTCCTTAGTAAAGGGCGCAGAACGAACGAGAAAGGAATAAAAAAGATAGATTTTTAATAAAACTTTCGAAATGTGGGACGTGAAATAAATAAAAAGTTATATTTCGGGTTTTAAACCGTTAAAGAATAGCTTTAAAATCATAGAAAAATAGGATGACCTTTGCAGATTCTATTTTAAAAATACTTCATTCGCCCTTAATTTATTAAAATACCTTTCAACACCGTTGGCATCCTTATACCATCCTCTCCAAAGACCTCTTTTCATGGGTCCATCATTAATTTTATTTGTATATTCCAATTGAAGCGTGTAATTTTTATTTATCACTAATGGCTGCTGCAGATAAATCTGTAGAAAATGATATTGGACTGCCAAGGTATAAGGAGTCTCAGCAAGATTTTGAACAACCCCATCTGATAATAATTTAACGCTTCTGATTGTCTGCACATTTGCATGCAAGACTATTTGCTTTACGTTTTCCTCTGTGGCCTGAAACATAAATATCGTATAAGCGGTAAAAACACATCATAATATATTTAGTGGACGTTATCAAACTTCACCTGTATAATAATGTCTTCCCTTCCATTATAGGAAAAAGGATAATCTGTGCTCTCAGAAAAGTAAAGGTCTATATAAATATCGTACTCCATAGGTAGTACATTAGTCGGCAATCTATATAACTCATCCGGAGATCTTACTAATATTTCATCGTCTACTACCATAGAATCGTCTATATCAGCTAATGTTAACTTTTCAGCCTCTGTCAAGGATATGAGAAGGAGGAAAATTGCACCTGACTTGAGGAACATTTCTGAAACAGTCAATTATATCAAGTGCATTGATGTTACACAACAATAAAAGTAGAATTTATTAGCTTGCGATCAGTATCTTTGTGCATGGTAAATGATACTATATATTGAATGATACGATATAATTTGTTGATTAAGCAATGGGTATTATTTCAGATAGACGATTGACAAAAGGCCATAACAGCTTTGAATTTACTGTTTATCTACTGTCTTGATAACAATGTTTTAAAAACATATCAAAATCGAATATAATCGAAGACGATCCAATGTTAGAGTAAATACCAGTGGTAACATTTTTTAAATCCCATAAGAAAATATAAGTAAGTAATGAAAATAACATTGACTACAATGGAAAGCTTTCGACCACTAAAAGTGGCAACTGCATTCATTAACCGTAGTGCTTTAAGATACAACTTGAAAAGGATTCAGGAATTTGCACCAAATTGTCGTCTTGTCGCAGTCATAAAGGCGAATGGTTACGGTCACGGTATAGTAAATGTTGCCTATGAACTAAATGATGCAACTGCCTTTGCAGTGGCACGGTTAAGTGAAGCACAGGTCTTGAGAAAAGCTGGTATTGCGAAACAAATAATACTCTTAGAAGGCTTTTTTGGTGCATCTGAATTATTGATAGTGGAAGCTAATGACTTCGAAGTGACAGTTCATAATGAAGAACAGTTACGGGCATTAGAAGAGATACCTTTATCGAGAAGTGTTAAGGTGTGGATGAAGCTGGATACGGGCATGCATCGTTTGGGAGTTCGTATAGAAGACGCGAATGAATTTTATCTGCGGTTGTCTCAGTGCAAGAATGTGTCACAACCCGTTAACATATCGAGTCATTTTAGTTCAGCAGATGAAGATAATGGAGTAACTACTGAAACACAAATTGCCCGTTTCTTGGATTTTGCAGCCAGCAAACCAGGGGAGAAGTCGATAGCTGCGTCATGTGGAATTTTATTTTGGCCGCAAGCTTATCTCGATTGCGTTAGACCGGGCCTCCTACTGTACGGCGTCTCTCCAAAATGTGGTACACGAGTTGAAAATTATGGTTTCCAACCAGTGATGACTCTGAAGTCGTGTCTTATTGCCGTGCGTAAACACAAAGCAAATGAACCAGTAGGCTACAGTGGTACATGGACCAGTAAAAGGGACACTTATTTGGGGGTGATTGCTTTTGGATATGGCGACGGGTACCCACGATGTGCTCCATCAGGGACACCGGTAGTAATCAACGGAAGACGTGTACCGATTGTGGGGCGTGTTTCTATGGATATGATAACGATAGATCTGGGCCCTCATTGCTGTGATAAAGTAGGCGATGACGTCATATTATGGGGGGATGGACTACCTCTCGAAGATATCGCAGATGTGACTGGATCTAGTGCTTATGAACTCCTTACTAAACTGACATCACGTATTACATATGAATATATAGACGTATAGTGTTTCTCTTATATAAATATAAATTTGAGTGGAGAAATGTAACGCTATGCTTTTTCTCCAAATTATGGAAATTATAAAGAAAGCTAAAGAAGAAGAACGTGTTATGTAGTCGTTAGAGCTAAATTAGACATACTCACCGAAAAATGTCCTCAATTCCTGTATGCTTATGATGAAATGAGTAACTTTATCAGCAATGATTAGCATCCAATAAATATTACAATATCTGATACTGTTTTATTGTTAGAATAAAGGTTCTAGATAGCAAACGCCCTAATGATGTGGTTTTAAAATTGTTATGGACTTGTAGAAATTCCACGATAGTTCGATAAAACACCTTAACCATTTTCCACAATCTATACTAATATTATAAAGCTGAATTGTTAGTCTTTGTTGTCTGTTACTATTTGTTAAAATTAAAATAATAATCCATTTATCAAGGAAGGCTTTAAGCTATAAACCAATAAGATAGAAGAAAGAGAGGGAAATGTAAAAAAATCTGGAAAATTATTAATCTTTGAGGGTCACTGTTGCGTGCGCCGCCCAAACGGTTCAAGAAACCATAAAGTATAAAGGCGTTTTTCTGCTTTAAATGTTCAAAAGACAGTATATGTCTATCTCTTAAGATTAACCATCAAGGACAATGGGAATCGGACGACGTCATAGATAATAATTTATAAAGCTTTGTGATGCCCAAAATAAGTTACACAGGCACAACTAGTAATTGTATGCAACAGAAAAACGTTTTTTCAGAAACAACAATTACATTAAAATTTATTCCAACAAATATAATATGAAGAGAAGTAAATACAAACTTAAATTATTTTTTCCATAAATGCAATAATTAAATACATTGCAATTCTATTCAGTGTTTCCTCGGGAACCAAACCCAGAATTGTCGTGCTTAAAGCAAAGCTAGCAATTTATTATAATCATATATAATAGCTTAGGCGGAATGGCTGATATTCAACGGGTAGTGGATTTGATCCCCACCTGGTCTAAGATTTTTCTATTCAATGTATATTTCTCTAAAACACTTCGTCTGGAACTTTGGATACTAAGTGGGTGGTAGAAATATCGAAATTCCGTCTAGATCACGAACCACCGTTCACAGATAAAAAAGCCGTGAAGTTTAGTCACGTTTCGGTTTCAGTCCGTGGATTTCCGAAGATCCAAAGCCAAAATAAGTCGACAGCGAATCTTGTTTAGATGCTACAGGCTGGGGTATATCACCAAGCATCAAATAAACTATGGAGTTCTTGACTGTTGCTTGTTTGTTCTCGTGTATGTGTATGATATAAAAAAAACTCGAAATGTTTAAACAATCTTATTATATATTAAATTATTACATTCTAAGTTACAATATTCTTAAAATATAAGTTTAGCAACTAAAGCCAATGCGATCACGCAGAAAGAAGTCGTGATTGAGGATGCTGAACTCCGGCCACGTACTTCTGAATAGATTTCTGAAGCCACGTTGTTACCCCACTTCAAGTTGTTGACGGCTGTATTCACAACATTGACTCCAGTGCTAAAAGCACCACCGAGGGCGACCTGGTTCTCGTAGACCCACGATTGGTACTAAACAGATAAAAGGGCATTTTAAACAAGTAAATTGGTTGGTTAGTAAAAAACAAACAAAAGAAACGTAAAAAACTCTCTCATAATACGAAAGTTATTTAAATATTAATATAATATTTTCTTTAACACTAAATGAAAAGATTGGAGACTACGTATTCTCTGTAGTTTCCAAGAGAAGTACAAATTTTAATTAAAACACTTTTAACAGTTTAAAATGCGAAATATATTAAACTTACTTCATTATTTACTTTAACTTCGGCTCGATATTTCGTATCTTTTGCAGCCGTGGTTACGAAGGGATATCATCATGTTATGTAATGAATTATAATATGATTCGTTAAAAGTATTTTATTTAAACATGAAAACTGTAAATGGATGTGATAAATTTTGATGATAAGTAAACTTTTTATATATTGTCAATATACCTTGTATAGACACTATTATATTTTACATAGTAAGGAATTATGCCAGATTTGTTAATTATTTTGTAGTTATAGTATATTTACTACATACACATACACATTAGAGTTTTCATTTCTCCTGTGTCAACATATTTTTGTGTCTGTTGGCATCTGTGGTAATTATTTACAATGTTTCCCGGACACGGACCTCGCTCGCATTGTTGCTGTGTTTTTAATTAAAATTCGATTCATAATTAAGTTTTAAAGAACGTACCTTGATTATATCTTCGAAGTTTGTCAGGTAACCAGCGACAGCGGACATTGCTGTTGTTAATCTTGCTTCTCCACCATATCTTTAAATACATAATCATGAGAGAGTGAAAGAGCTTACAAATTCACAAAAATAATCAAATACATTTAGTAGGTGGACAGACATATTTGTCTGTCTATCATACTTTGTCTGTCTATTATTAAAAAAATATATTATTTAAAACACTTTACTCGGTGGCACTATATGTATAAATTGAAAAACGAGTTTTATATAATATATAGGTAGTGTCATTTAATTGGTTAGAGCAATAGCACGGAACGCCGTGGATGCCCGTTCAAGTATTGCCCGTGGCATATTTTTTTTTAGTTTTAAATCGATCTTCAAATTTATTTTTAGAAATTTATGGTATGCAGGACGGGGCACATTTGTCTGTTACGCATAGTGATTCCATTACGATTTTTCTTAACGTGGGGAAATCCTTTGGGATACTCACCGCGCTGTGCTGAGGCGACATTAGCTTATTTTTTTTTTAATTAAAGAGTAGTGATATAGTCAATGTTCATAACTCACGTCCTCCTAATTTCAGCGTAGTTCTCGAACAAGAAGTCGAGCACTGTCGGCAGATTTTCCTCGTTCCCTTGAAGAGCGAAAGAGAAGGCGTTGTTCTTGTCGTGTACTCGGATCTTGTCACTGTACATTGTCTGATACAGATAACTGAAAAATAACGATTTTTAAAACATTGTAATAAGTTTAATATTCTATCGCTTCTTACGTATCTATTAGAAAATTAATCTCGACCATTGTCAATAAGAAACAAGCCCCCCCTTGCTTCTCTGTCATAAAATAATCTAAGCAGGTAATCTTACCTTATTTCATAGGCAAACGCTACTATCTGCGATAAGGCTCTCACAAAGCCTTAATTTCTTCAAGAACATAATATAAAAAAATATTTCTTGAAAGTATAATTTAGTCCTGATTTTATAGCCTTATACTTTAATCATTTATAAAGTGGCATCTTTCTGAGAATAAATTAATTTTAAGTTTTTTACTGTTTAGTATTTTAGCGATATTTATTGTGTTAGTATTTGATATCTTACAAAAAAGTTAAAATTTATAACATGTTTTCTTTCATTCTTGTTTACTTTTACTCTTTTATTGTTAATTTGTTTTCGTTTTCTATAAACAGAGCAGCTGGAAGAAATCGCCAAGGCGATAAGGCCGCCTAGTATTATTATATTTGTTTGCCCTATAATGTGTTATAATAATTAAGATACTTACTCTCTGATAGATGCCTGATCTTTCGTGCAAGGCAAAGTCCTAAGCATCACAACCATATCGGCTGTGTTTTCTGAGGAGTTGTACTTTTCGAACAAGAAGTCGTAGTCTGAAGCATCACCGCTGCGAAGACCAGCGCAATACACATACCGACGTGCAAAAACTGGTACTCTAAAATAAATAAATTAAAGACATTTTTAACTCCTATCATTGTATTAATATATCAAATTTTATTTAAATAAAACACTTCAACGGTTTAAAATGCGATATATATTAGTAAAACTTATTTAAAAAAATATTTTAACTACAGGCCCGTAACAACAGCTACTGCAAAACTCACGAACGTCGGGCCGAATTTAAATAATTTTCAAATAAGTTTAACTAAACTTTAGTTTTATACCGTTTAACGGTGTTTTATTTAAATAAAGCATATTCGTATTTCTTACTTTCGTTTAAAAGCTTTTTAGAAATATAATTAATTCCATCAAGAATCTCGGGTCAGAGAAAACAAACGATGTTCTGTCAATTTTAAAAACTCACGGCGTATTATTATTTTTGAACTGTCTCCATTTTGCAAGACTGTCACTTATGCACCCTTCGTGTCCAAGAGAGCACGCGTAGTTGAGGATCTGCATCCTCTGCTGGATGGTTGATGCGGAATCGTTTCTTCCCTCAACATAACCTATTAGTTTCACCGGCTTGTCCACCAGGTTAAGAAGATAGTTCTAGAATTAAAGTAAACAAAAAGTAAATAGGTTTATTAATTTGACGGGCTCGCTGGACTAATGGTGGCAGTGTACGGCTGATAATCAACGGGTCGCGTTTCGGGTTCAGTTCTGTGTATTTCCGAATATCTAAAGACAAAATAGGTCGACATCGCATCTTCTTTCGACGCTATTGGGGGGGGAGGGGGGAGCGCTAAAGGCTATTTCACCACGATTTTGATGATTTTTATATAAAGCTATGTAAACTCGACATTTTAAAGAGTTTTACTTTAGTGCAAACAAAAATCATCTTACATTTCATCTATACTAATATACAATGCTAACGAGTTTGTTTGTTTAAACGCGCTCATCTCAGGAACTTCTGATTCACACATTATCTTTGTGTTGGTTAGAGCATTTATCGAGAAAGGCTATAAGCTATAAAATATCGACCTGTGACTAATACAAGGGAAAATAGAGCGAGAAAAATGAAAAAATTGGGAACATTATTCATTATTATTGGTTTCCGAGGCGTACGCTGCCAAAACGGCCGAAGATACCAAAAAATATGTATAATGATTTCTCTTTAAAAGTTCGCTACGCTATATGTCTATCTTTTAAGATTAACTTGCAAGAACGACGGGAAGGGACGCAACGACATCGTGGGTAACAGCTTGAGTTTACAAAGTTAACCGGGTTTGAAAAAACTAATTTGGATGCCTAAAATAACGATTCTTGCGTGCGAAGTCGCTGGCACAGGTAGTATTTGTGTTATTTTTTATCTAGTAATTTTTATTTTAATTTATCGGTTAAAAGAAAAAAATATGTCGTATGTATAAGAACTTACTGTGAATTCGTTGTGAGCAGATGGCAAGTGTTGTAGTCTCCTCCGAATCCATTCGAGTTGCGTAAGCGCACCGTTCCACACATAATAGTCAGTTTCGGTTGCAAGGAAATCTAAGACATCAAATGCTGTTGGAATTGTAATTTGTCCAGCCCTGACGAAGAACAGGACGTCATTGACGATCTGAAATTAGGGTTCTCAATAGAAATCATTTCAATTTTAATAATGCTCCATACTGCCTGTAGTTTTCAAAAGTAATACACATTGAAATAGAACACGTTAACTGTTTAAAAAGCGTAATATTATGTAATTAACATTGATTTGGAAATTGTTTTAACTACGGCCCGACGTTTCGGAGGATTTGCAGCAGCCGTGGTCACGTAGTTAAAATAATTTCCAATTAACTAATATACATATTACGATTTACACCGTTAAAATCTTATGCTAAATCCAATAAAAGACGTATACAGCACTCTTAAATATGAAAACTAACAATTAAACGTTTTGTACCATTAAACTGTATAATTTCATCTTCAGTGTTTTTCTTAAGCAGCAATGCATAAGACATTATTTAAATACGATGTTAAGGTTGAAAAAACTAACAATTAGTAAAATATAAAATTAATTACTATATAAACTATATTACTTTTATAATATTTACTTTTTGTCATAAAAAGATTTTAAATTTTATATTTAAATAGATACCTGCGATCTACTCATCTTATGTATGACATCCTTGTTTGAACGCAACTGACTTGCGAGTAATTTCCAATTCTCTTGATCATAGTTGACTCGGTATAAGCCTACAACAATATTATGCGATTATCATAGTGAGCCGTCGATGTCAGTAACGTTTATTTTTAGTTTGCCTTCCCATAACAAAACAAAAAACTAAAATACTTGTCTACAGTTTATGCAAGCAATACAGAGTTAAATAGAACAATTTTAACGTTTAAATGATATTTTATGATAGTTGGCTTCAATTGTGACCACAATCGATGTTTCCCCAGTTCTGAAACAGCTTGCTAATAGGGTTTTGTTAAAATAAGAAATTTCTTTAAAAAAATCTTTCCATTCTACATATTATTTCTTGTGCGGTAGGTAATCATGCAAATCTCTTTGTAAGGCGTGGTCTACTTGAATGCAGTATCAATAATAATAAATTATTTACAAGCTATACACAATAAAGATACTGTCTATAGTTTACGCGAGTAGTACACATTTAAATAAAACACTTTAACGGTTTAAAACGTCTCCCGTGAACACGGCTGCTGCAAAGCATCCGAAACGTCGGGCCGAAGTTAAAAATTATTTATAAATAAGTTTAACTAATATATCGCGTTTTAAACGGTTAAAGTGTTTTATTTACACAATACAGATGCTTAAAAGCCTACTGACCAGATTGGCCAATGTTAAGAAGAACCCAGTTCTCTCGTCCTGATGGTTTTTGTAATGTTCCCGTCCTTTCGGTTAGTACGTATGAAGGTCTGGTGTTATCCATGTTTGGACTGCCACCGTGAGTCCATGAGATTGGTATTTGCCAAATATTATTTGGTGCAGTTCCAGATAGTTGGAATCGGCGCTAAACAATCAAAAACATTTAGGAAGTTTCAGTTTTTTTACAGGATGTTATATTATAAATATTAAGACGCTCCCGTGTAACGTAAAGTACCTGTGTCAAAGTAATTAAGCCAGATATCATGTTCACTTGGACTTCGACGACCGGTGAACCAGGGTTTTGAACCCAGCTGTCAAAGAGTTGTCCTATGTCAATTCTTGGATAAGCAGTGGCAAACGTAGGATCTTGCGCCACTGCTAGCCGGAATGAGTCATACATGTCTTCAGGATAGCCAACGGAGTATGAACTGAAAAGGGCGTACAGTAAATAAATTGCTCTATATTTTTAATATTTGCTTGTTCGTCTGCTTACTTGTTGGTTAAATAATATCTCAGTGCGTTTCTGAAGACAACAGGTGTCACAAAATGCTCCAACATTCTGAGTACTGATGCACCTTTAGCGTAACTTGTTGTTCCGAAGTGAGCTGAAATAGATGGATTGGTTGCTACTGTAGACCAGTTCATTGGCTGAATCGAAGGACTTGCATCACCTGATAAGGCACTTTGAACTTCACTTAGAATGAAACGGTTGTCTAATTCTAGCCATGGGTCTGCCTAAAAAAGAAAAAAATTGTACCGTGATAACTATTTAAAAACAAATATTTTAAAATATGATAGAACAAACCTCGTGTGCGCTGAAGTATTCAAAAAAACTAGCGAATGATTCGTTAAGCCATAAGTTGCTCCACCAAAAACAAGTGACCAGGTTTCCGAACCATTTGTGGGCGAGCTCATGGGCCATGATTGAGGCGATAAATATTTTATCCATTACGTTGGTATTACTTGGGTCGTATAGAAGATAAGCTTCTCTGTAAGCAAATAGTACGTTATGTATTCTAGACTTAAGTTTAACTTCCAAAATCGGTTTTGCGAAAAGCGAAATTAATTAATAACTTGATGTATTCGTTTATGTACTGCAAAGAAGATTTTAATTTTCACCTGTAATTCACCATCCCCCAATTCTCCATAGCTCCAGAAGGAAAATCAGGCAAAGCAATATGATCGTTTTTCATCGGTTCTCCTTGGCCCATACCATAATAAGTAATATCAAAATATTCTTCCATTACTTCAGTGATTTTGAATCCGACCTCAGCGGCGTACGCATGTTGACTGGTAGGCCCTTGGCGAGAGATAATTTGGAAGGGTTTTTCTGAAGTCCCTGTGTTGTTTGTAGCGACGAAGTCACTTACGTGGAATGCAATAAGGTACGAGGAGATAGTAGGAGTTCTCCGGAACCTTTCTCGTACCCGGCCAGTTGTTAACCTGACGGAATAAGTATCATAACATGACATAAAAAGTACCATTATTAAAATGTCTTTGTATGTAAATAGAAAACGCCTTCCGAAACCTGTTTTCAAGTTTAAATTTTCATATTTAAAATTTGACTCTTTTCAAAGCAACGTAATATCCACACCGTCGACGTCAGGAGTACCAGCATTTCTCTCCACGACATTATTTAAACAATCCTTGCATATGACACTTGCTTTCCATGCTGACCTGGTGGGATCTATTCTACCTACCACACTTGAGTCTACTGTCATGCACAATGTACATAAGGTGATAAAACTTACACTTGAGTATCAGCAATACCCATGTTTGAGAACGATGGACTTAGATTAGCATCTCGTGTGATTGTAATAACGTAAGGCGATTTGAATTGCGGCTCGTCAAAGCATGGAAAAGCCTTTCTCGCGTGGTAAGGCTGGAACTGGGTTGTGGCGTAGTATCTGAAAAAGTCAAGTAAAATTTTTTTAAGGCTTTCGCGACCATTTTGAACATTTTGCTTTTTGGGTTTTCAAGTAGTTATTTAAACAAAGAACGCGCAATATCTCACGATGATGCCACTCGCGATGTCGAAACGTGATAAATCTCAATTTCGTCGTAAAGCCCAAAATCTTGAAAACTCTAGATGAAGCTTACTTCTTTCTAATTCTAACAGTCCTATAGTTCATACGTTTTAAGATTTAAAACAAGGTATGATAAAGTGCTCTAGTTATCGTTTGAATTTGGAACTATATTATTTATTTTAATATTAACGGCATGTTTATAACTGAACACACACTCGCAGTTATCACCTCAATATCATTACATAATAATAAGAAAAATATGGCAGTTTAACTCATAGCTATATAAGAAAACAGGGCGCATGCTACCACATCCAAATATTATGTAAAAAAATATAAGTGGATTAGTACGAAACGATGTCGATGTGATTTTAATCTAAAATAGATATAACGGATTACAAACTATATGATTTACCGTTTTTCATTTCCATAGAAGTAATATCCTTTGTAAAAGCCGCGGTCGTGAGGGTTTTCATTGATGCGCCCTTTGTACATAATGGTGATGTCATATCTACCTACTGCGACTTCTGGTGCGAAGTTTATCATTAGGATCTCATAATAGCTATCTGTCTCGAAGGGATGTGTGACGTTTAGGGGAACCACTTCATTATTCATGTTGACAACAGAGACTGCGTCAATGGATACTACATTTTGGTGTATTACGATCTGCTTCATGTTCTCCTTCACCTAAAAATCAAGACAGAATATTTAAAAGTGCCGACCGCTGTAAAAAAATAAGTTAACTAATATGTGTAGTTTTGTACCGATAATAGTTTAAAAATCGAAAATAAATTGAAAAAATTTTCGACTCGGGCAGGACTTGAACCGGCATCGTCAGCTTTCCGTGCTGTTGCTCTACCAATTGAGCTACCGAGTCCTACACCTCATCGTCGAATTTTTTCAACTTATTGATACATGCACCTCTCGCGCTTAATACGCAAGTGTTAAGGTAGAAATTACATTGCGCGAGAGGTGCATGTATCAATAAGTTGAAAAAATTCGACGATGAGGTGTAGGACTCGGTAGCTCAATTGGTAGAGCAACAGCACGGAAAGCTGACGATGCCGGTTCAAGTCCTGCCCGAGTCGAAAATTTTTTTCAATTTATTTTCGATTTTTAAATTATATAGTGCCTTCATGTGCAATAACATGTGAAAAATATTAATGTTTTCAAACGTTATAACTTTGTAATTTCATCTTCAATGATTTCTTAAGCTGCAAAGCATAAGACATTGAGCCTTAATACGCAAGTGTTAAGGTAGAAATTACATTGCGCGAGAGGTGCATGTATCAATAAGTTGAAAAAATTCGACGATGAGGTGTAGGACTCGGTAGCTCAATTGGTAGAGCAACAGCACGGAAAGCTGACGATGCCGGTTCAAGTCCTGCCCGAGTCGAAAATTTTTTCAATTTATTTTCGATTTTTAAATTATATAGTGCCTTCATGTGCAATAACATGTGAAAAATATTAATGTTTTCAACCGATAATAGTGTTTTATTTGAACGCTTTTTATATAAATAAAAAAATATGTTTATTGTCTCTCTCTTAATAATTAAATTACAAATAGTATTGAGGCTATTCCAGAAAGTTTATTACTAACTTGTGTTGGAGAATATGGTTAAGGACTTAAATACTGTCTGTAGTTTACGCGAGTAACGATTTATAACGCGACATATTTTAATTAACCTTTTTTTAAGAATTATTTTTAACTACGGCCCGACGTTTCGAAGAAGTTAAAAATATTTAAAAAAAAGTCTAACTATAATATATCGCGTTTTAAACCGTTAAAGTGTTTTATTTAAATGGCAAAAGACTTTTTGATTTTTAAAGTACCAACGTTAAGACAGACACAGCATATATTTATCAGAAAATATTAAGATGTACTGTAAAATTGCTATTATACAACGACTCTAATTATTTAAGACTATAGCGCACAATGTAGCGAATATTAGATCCCACGAGGAACGTAAAGGTAAAAAGGAAAGTCACGTTTTACTGCAAAAGTTGTGCTTTACTTCGCCGTAAAAAAAAATGGAGATCTAAATAAGTGCCAAGTTCTATGCAAAACCCAAGTATGTACTTATAGGAACAAAATAATATTATTTAAAGTTGTGGAAGGATCAAACTGGCACCAAATGGTTCGTGTATATATGCATAGCGCTGCCTAGTCAGTTCCATGGCTTGAACTCGGCTTAACATGTTGCCGCCTGTTAACATCATTTAAATCTGCCAGCCATTCTCAGGATGATAATAAACGATATATTGATATGCAAGATATATTTAAAGTGTCCACGTTTTTCGTTATCTTTCGTGACCGTGCTAATTAAATAAAATATATGTTTGTCATATTAAAAATGCGTCAATTTAGGCGGCATTTTTGTTCGAGTGACGTGAATCGATTAGATCCTGTACACACCGGCTTTATAACTTAAGATAATAAATTAGTCTACAATATTTCATTTGTTAATTCAAGTCTCAAACATATCTGAGAAATATCGAAAAATATATCGCCGATAACAATTTTATCAGCCGTGATGACCCATAATAAAATTTGATTATCGCAATAAAAAGGCTTGTAGCCAAGATAAAATTGTTTCGCCTAATTTAACTAGAACTCTATTATTTATCAAATGTATTATTAATTTAATACCTGCTTACATCATACTCTTGCTTTGATGATCGTTTTGAATCCGTTATATAAAAAAGCTTAAGTTCAGCGCTAGATTCTGTAGATAAATTGATCAGTGGAAACAGAAATATGCCTTATCCTACTATGTATAAAGCCAACGGAATGTGGCTTTTCTATTTACCTACATTGTTTGTTTTATAACTTTTAATCCTTTAAAATAACATAACTTAGTCAATTATACGATAAATAAGGTCATTAGGTAAACCCTTAATAATTATAGGTGCTATATATTTATGATTTTAATTTAATACTAGGTACTTGACTTCAGCTGGTAAAATCGGTGCTTGATTCCTACAGGTGTACCAAACATTTTTATGTTTCCGAGTTATGTTCTCTCATAAAGAAAGGCATCTTAAGACACAGGGTGGTAATATCTGGTTGGTGGTAAAACTACGGCCTATATGCCCACTTGTGGGACCAGTGGATGGGCTTATGAATTGTCACCTACCTCAACTTGAAGTTGCACTATTCCATCAAATCTAGACTCATCTAGAAATACGTCTAGGTCAACAGAGATGTGTAAAGGCTGCACGTTGTCCAGTAGTCTATATTTAGGGTCGTCCAAATTGGTGGAGTAGCCTTTCCATTCGAAATTGTATAAGTCATCTTCAGGTTCAGCCCTAACAAGTCCTGATGTTAGGACTATGATGGTCACCAGCAGTTTAAGTTCTAAAATATGATCAGTGTATGTAGGTTGAGCAAGTTTACCACCTATTGCCACTATATTGAAACAATTACGGATTGAATTGTGATATATTCAGTTTATTACTTATTTTTTGAATAAATGAAATATATCTGGTTTAAGTTGTTTTATTGGTATTTAAATATTACAAATGTGAAAATAAAAATAGTTGTTTGTATTTAGGTAAAAAAATTAGAATAACAAAACACGTAAAGGTAATCTTATGGGTGCTAAAAAGAATTATGAATGACATAGTAGTAATACCGTAGCTCAGTCTATCTCAGGTTCAACACTCGTGTGTGTCATAGAATTTTAACTACATTAAACTTTTGATATAAGAAATGAAAGTTAGAAAAGATTTAAAGATGTCTTAAAAGATAATCGTGTTTTTAATAATTTTTAATAAATAAATTGTTAAATTATCAATTTATTTGTTAATTTAATCGATTAAAAATAAACTGAATAAATCTTATATGAGGTATAATAAAATACCTTTTGTAACTCAATAACTTTAAAACCTACATGTTTTGTTATAAAAGCTAAAGAGTTTTTAGTATAAATAAATACAACTTATTTAAAGAAAACTAAAAATTCTACGTTTATGTAATATTTAAAAAACACAAAAAACTTACCCATGGTGACCCAATTCGAGTGCAACAATGGACTAATACAATCGATATAAATAATTTACTTTATCGATAAATAATCTACAAAACATCAAAGATAAAATTAATTACGTTTTACAGATAAAGTACAATAACATGCGTTAGTTGACAAATGTCGTCCCGTACACGTTTAAATATCCAGGGCGATATGAAGTATCATCATCAATTATCAAAATAAATTCCTATAAAGCATTATACGAATTTATTAAGGTTTAGTCCTTGGTCTTATCGTAGCAATATATGTCTAATAATCAACGAGTTATGAGTTCGATTCCCACCGGGTGCAATATTTTTCTAAATTTCAATTAATAAATTTTCTGACACATGTTGGAAAATCTGAATATTAAATGGGTGTTAGAAATACAGAAATTCCATTCGGGTCACAAATCACAAAAATGAAAATGCCGTGAAGGTTAATCGCGTTTCGGTTTCAGTCTATGGATTTCCAAAGCCAATATAGGTCGACAACGCATCTTGTTTAGACGCTATAGGTTAGCACATAGCATCAAGTGAACCCCGTGCTTATATGTTCTCCTCTATGTTAAAAAATGTATATTATGCCTATGTAATACTTATTAAAAGTCCATCTAATATAAAAATATATATTTCAATAATACTTCAACTACAGCCATTTCTTTTAATTATGTTCCACTATGTTCATGAACTATGTTCCATGATATAAGTTTTAAAAGAAGAGAGTAATTTGATCAATTTAGTACATATTTTTGTTCTTGTTGAGTAAGTCATCGCGTACGTTTTTTACTATATCATCTCCATTAATTGTAACACTTTGTAGCAGCTTTCATAAAATGCACGCTGTACAGGACAATGTTTTTTATATTTTCTATGTATGTAGGTCAAAACCCAACAACGCATGTACTCGGATTAAATCAGGACATATTTTATCTTGCAAGGAGTTTTTAAATAAATAAAATAAGAAATTTACAAAAGTAAATTAAGTTTATTAAAAATAAATTATTATTTTGTACAATTATTGTCACATGTAGTCTTATTTACAAATCTTTCCGTAACAAATCATAAGAGGTGATTTATTTTTAAATTACACTATTCATTTCACATCACGTCTTCTCTACTGCTCTAATCATAGTAAATGAATTGTAGATTTTCATTTTATAATTAATAGTACTATAATTTCTATTCTAGTCTTGCAGAAATCGCAGAAATCAATATAATAACATTCGAATTACCGTTGGATATTATTTGTTCATTTTATGAACCTTCTCAATAAAACGTTGTCATGTTCGTCATTAGGCTGTATCAAGAACTGCAATTCAATGATTTTTCTTACTTACGGTATTATACCCTCAGTGCAACAATCTAATTCGGACTCAGCTGTTGTCTATCTATTATTTATTTACTATACTTAAACATAATCATCTACATCAACATTTGCGCATTCAAATCATCGTGTCAGTTCACCTCTCTAGACTAGTAAATCTTTATTTACGCGATTAAATTTATAGTAAGCGTGACTAATAACGTAAGAGCACTTATAGCTGCGATATTGGCTGAGCCACCCGTGTTGTCTTCATCAGGTAAGTCCAACTCTTCATCAGCATATCCTTTGTCAAAGTAATTTGTGAACTCGCTCAGTCGTTTCGTTGACCAAGCCATGTTGTTTCTCGTTGTCTGTATTGAGTTGACACCAGTTGTGTAAGCATCGCCCAGATCAGCTTGGTTTGCAGTGAGCCAAGTTTGGAACTGAAGTCGGAAAATAAGGTTTACTAAACAAAAAGAAACATGTAAAGCTCAACACAAAACATAACAATGTAGATAATTAGAATTACAACTATTTAACAAAAATTGAGGTTGAAATATGGACGTTGACGTTGAAGCTAAAAACAAATTCTTTACCTCAGTCAGCTGTTGTTCGTTTAATAGTTTCCCAGCAATATTCCGTACAATTGTAGCTGCACTGCCGAGCCTGAAAAATTTAATATGGTTAGTAATATTAAAACTGAAAGCAGTGAATATTGACCTGAATTTTGTATAACCTCTTATAAGATATTTCTATAAATGTTATGCAATTATGACATTGATTTAAATTTTCTAGTGACGAATTTATTAAAATCTTCAGTCGGTTGAATAAAAAGCAATAATTTTTATATTTTACGTAATTCGTAATTCTCCCTAAAATGTTATAATGGCATTCATTTTTATAAATGGCAGTGTAATAACACTGCCATTTATAAAAATGTCTAAGTTGTTAATTATTATACCAGAAGCTTAGCCACTGAACAACTCACCCAGTATTTACTTTAGCGAGATTGGTCTTCAGCCATTGGAACGTTTTCATGGCATTCTCATCATTGCTGGTGACAGCAGAACTCAAAGCTGTAGAGACATCCTGGGGTCTGACAATTTCTTCTGTGTCAACTATAGCGTTGAGGAAAGTTTCAAGGCTGGGTGTGTCTGTAGTACAACCGGCTGCTGCCAGCATTACCACGACCTCTGTGGCGAGTTGCTCGTTTAGATATTTATTCCAGAAGAATGTGAAATCTTCAGCGGTTCCTTGTCTTAGGCCGTTACAGTAAACCCAGGAGCGCATATTTGGGTATATACTGTGAAGAAAAAAAACAACAGCTTAAGTTATCTTTCTCTTGTTCTATGAAATTTACTTTAAACTATTGTAGTGTAATGTGGCGGTTTATTTAAATTGAAAAAAAAAATTATAGGCACCAGGAATTGATTACTTTGTTTATATATTACATACCGGCATTTAGGTATAACTAATTTGAAGCTTATCAATATGAAAACTTACGCCTGACCATTTCTCCACTTTTGGAAAGTGTCTTTCGCTGTAGATAAACAGGTCTCGTCACCAACATTACATAGGAAATTCATCAGGTTCATGCGCAGAAGCCCATCCATAAAAGGTTCTCCAGGTTTTTCGACGTATCCAAGACGAGCCACAATCGCTTTACTCTGGCTTAAAATGAGAGTCTGTAAATTTAATAATGGAATATATTTACTTGCTTACGTCGATAGTAGTCAGTAGCCGGTTAAGTGTGGTAATATAAAACTAACGTCTAATCTTTTCAAACTGGCAGCGTCATACGCTAATCGGCTTCTGGCGAAATTGAAACCAGTAATGGCTGACATCCAGGGTGCGTACTGGTCTTCGAACTCCAGGAAAGAAAGAATGTTGAAGATCCTATCGTATGTGTGTACACCGGCTCGAGCAAAGTTGAACAAGTCATCAACAATCTGAAAATTTCGATAGCTACGTTACAGTTTTTTATATAAGCCGAGAAACATGAATTATAGATTTGTCATTACATCATGAGGCATACATTTTTTATATGTGCCGTATGATATTTTCCTCATAAATAGATTTAGATAAAGAATATTTGTTTCTAAGCCAGTGACTAATACCAATTTACAATATACTCGTAATTTATTATGACATTCAAAATACAATTATAAAGATAGTGCGTAGCCACTTTGAAACTTTACCGACCTGAGCTCTGTTATGTTCATGAATTACTGTCCTGGTAGTGTTCCTTAGAGCTCTCGTGAGGAGTACCCAATTATTGTAATCGTAGTCTACTCTGTAGAAACCTAAAGCAAAGTTTTTAGTTCATAGTCTGTATTATTATTTTCTTCGATCTTTGAGATGGATAAAATGTCTTCGAAGCCTATATTCAGCGAGGATGTTTGCACTTGTATATATACCAGCTGTTCCAGCGGCTTCGTCCGTGTAGAATAGATATTTTGGGCATCAGAATTTGTTTTTACAAACTCCTTTCTCTTCTTTAAGATGTTCATAGCTGTTAAGTATCACCGAAGATGTCGGTCGCGTCCCGTCGTCTTGCATAAAACTTTTTAGAATGTTTAATGTGGAATCATTCTTTCTACATAATATTTTTTGGGTATCTTAAACCGTTTTCGCAGCGTTCACATCGGAAACCAACAAAGATTAATAACTTTCCCATTTCCCATTGTTTCTGCGCTCCTATTAGTTGCACGGCGCAATGTTTTATATTTATAGCCTTCCTCGATAAATGCTCTAACACAAACATTTTTTTTTTCAATTCGAACTACTAGTTTCTGAGATTAGCGCGTTCAAACAAACAAACTCTTCATCTTTGTATATTAGTATAGATATTTTAAGGGCTAAAATTTATTAAATCTCTGAACCTGTAGTTAAAATATAAACGAACCTGTCTGTTGCTTGTTTAGAATGATCCATTCAGGTGTAGTGCTGCCCCTAACAAAGGTGCTGCTTTGTTCAGTGAGAATGAAGTTTGGTTTCAAATTCGTGAAGTCTACTGCACCAGCGCGAGTCCATGTTATTGGGACATCCCAAATTCCTGTGTGGGTGGATACACCTGTATCACGCTCCCAGCGAGACTGTTAAAAAGAAAATATAATTGTAATAACAGTAATATTTAGAACACGTGTTCAATTACCACATACATACTCTAGCTGTGTCCGCGACTTCGACCGCGTGAAATAGTTACTTTGAGTATTAAAATGTATATTTTCAAACAACCTCATCGGCTTTATAAATTACTAGCTGACCCGCACCCACTTCGTTGGGTGGTAAATAACCCATGTCACTGTCCATCCTTTTATTTAACTATCTCCACTTAAAAAAAAACATCAATTCATCACTCCGTTTTGCCGCGAAAGATGGACAAACGACATCATCATTATCCACAGGCTGCATAGATTGTCTTTATGAGGATGTTAAAGTTGCTAATGATGAAAATATTTAAATGTAATTAATACTAAGTTTTCACTTCTGCCGGGAGTCCCGAAGTGTAACCCGGTTGTTTTAGGATAGATTATTGTAGAGCTTCTCTATAAACAACATTAGACGTTAAATTATTTTCTGGTAACAAAATATACTGATGGTCGGGAGCCCCGACCCGTGATAGGGCAACGTAAAGTTGCCCATGCGTGAAACATTCTTTTCGTAAATCAATTCCTACTAATTTGAATGTTTGGCCCTGGGATTTGTTTATCGTTAGTGCGAAAGAAATTTTTACTGGAAATTGGAGCCTTTTGAAGGGTATAGGCAAATCAGTAGGAATCATGGGTATTCTTGGTATATGAGCTAATTCACCAGCTGCAGGGCCGGTGATAATCTTCGCTACTATTAAATTATCTTTTAGCTCCTTTATAAGAAGTCTCGTGCCATTACACATGTTAGGGGGGGTTTAAATTTCTGAGAATTATCATTATCGGCGTGCCTACTTTTAACGACAGTTCATGAGGTGGTAGCCCAGCGGGGTTCAGAGAATTTAAAAATTCCTGGGGATAGTGTACTGCGTCCTCGATGTTAGTGACGGTGTCTATGGATTTATAGCACTTAACTTCACCCGGTACTTTCTGCATAATTAAATTGTTTATTTCGTTGACTGTTTCATTCCTGGGAGAAACTATTGCTCTACAACACAGCCAACGAAAATCATTTTGATGTAAGTTTTCGATGTCAGGATATATAGCATTTATCAGACTATCTAAATTATGGACTATTTGGCCTAGAGACTCATCTAAAGTAACTGCATAATTGGTGCCCAAATTTAAAAATGGAAAAATTCCTTCTCCAAGTTTCAGCAGCTGTTGTGGAAAATTGCTATGCGCATTTCCATGTAAGTGAGCTCTCATGTTGGTGCGCAAATACAAATGTTGAACAGATGTCCAAAGTTGATTGATTGTTGTTGAACTGTTGATTAGCTCTGAGAAGAACTGTTGTTTAGCTCTGAGAAGAACTTTTGCGTAGGTGTAGTCTTAAGAATGAAGTCAAATAAAAATCGAACGAAAATGATTAGACTTCGCGCACGACCGCTGCGTAGGGAGCCGACCGCGCGTACCTTACTCATACATCTAAACTCCCCTCCCGCACTCGCACCCCCGCCTTGGTGACGCCCACTTCGCAACGCAGAAATAGTAATATTTTAATTTCGCCATAACTTCAAAACCAAACGTCCAATTTTAATCTTTTAAATACCAAATATTATCTACATAAACTGTACTTAGTGATGAAATAATTTATTTTGATAAGGATTAATAGCATGAGTAAAATAAATGCGTTTAAATGTAGTCAAAAAAAAATTAAGATTTTTAAATAAAAAAATGGTTGTTGTGCCTCACTCGACATAGATAGGTATAGTGTGTCGCGGACTTTTTTGTAGATATTTATAAGATCTCCAATTAATTAGAACATTTTATGCTTCTATCTTTTATAGTTTAGGCAGCGTACGCAAAATAAGTAACTTTTCTGGTTGATTTTTTACACTTTGTGTCCGAAAAACCCAAATATTTTAAGGAACCCTCTTTTTTTCCAAAATAAAATTTTGCCTATGTTACTCGTGGATAATGTAGCTTTCGAATGGTGAAAGAATTTTTAAAAACGGTCCAGTAGTTTTTGAGCCTATTCATTACAACCAAACAAACAAAGTTTTCCTCTTTTATAATATTAGTGTAGATTAGACGAGTCAGCGACAACGTCCGCGTAGAATAGTTATGTTGGGCATCCAAATTGTTTTTGCACTGTCCTAACCTACGCCATCGGTCGCGTCCCATTGTTCGCGACCCGTCGTTCTTGCGAGTTCATCAGAGATAAATATATACTGTATAATATATATTGTCATGAATATTTTTTTGATAATTTAAAGTAGAATCATTCTCTTATTTTTGAGTACCTTGAACCGTTTTCGCAGAGGAATCATCGGAAACCTACAAAGATAAATAATTTTCCCCGTTTTTAAGCGCATTTTGCGCTGTTTAGCCTATAGCCTTCCTCGATAAATGTTCTAACCGACAAACAAATATTTTTTCAATTGGAACCAATAGTTCTTGAGATTCAAACAAACAAACTCTTCAGCTTTATATATTAGTATAGATAGCTGCTACCCACGACGTCGTCCTTGTTCCATCGCGTATGCTAGTTAATATTATAAGATAGACACATACTGTCACTGATATTTTTTATATCATTTAAAGAGGAATTATTCATTCGTATATATTTTCTTGATTTATTGAATCATTTTCGTAGCGCAAGCAACAAAAGCCTATTGTTTTTAGTTTTTTTGCACATTTACTTCTGTTTCTTTGCTCTCATTTAACGAAACCTGATGTTTATAGCTTAAGGTATTCATTGATAAATGGTTTAAGAAACACAAAAAGCTAAAATACAATAAATTTTCCATTTTGACTAGTAGTTCAAATGTAGATGAGTGCGTTCAAAGAAACAAACAAACTCTTCAAAGCTTTATATTATTAGTCTAGGTAGTCTAAAACCATTTAACAGTCTTTAATCTCTAAGTAAGTTTTAAATGTTTTTAAAACCTTGTATATATAAACCAAAATTGTCATAAGAAATCTAAAAAATAACTACAAGTACAATATATCAAAAATCAATATAGCAATAACCCAGTAATTTGCTTCAAACTTACCTGGCTAATGCGACCGATACCAGTGGTCTGGTTAACGGACACAATAATAAGCGGATGTCCAGCCTTTTCTGACCATTTCCTGAAGTAGGAGTCAATGGTAATACCCTGGTAATTACTAAGAGCGCCATCTTCAGTCGCTGCTGAGTCAAAAGCTGAGAAGAGGTGCTGCGGTTCAGCGACGTCAAATTTTCTGCCAACAAAAAATAAACAAAATAAAAAGTCCCACTTTTTCCTGTTGGACTTGGGCAAAAACATTAAATGTGTCTGTTTAGGAGATTAATTTTATTCAGGGACAAGTATTTGATCAGAATTTGTTTAAGGAAGGAGGGTCCTGGGATTTGATCCCAGGACCTCTCTTGCTTAAAGCATTTAACTGGCTGGTAGGTCAATCAATATTATTAAGACAATAAAGTTTTGTGTAAATAAAATAGCACATAAGAATGACACAACTAAAATTTAAAATAATTTTTAAGTTAAAAAAAAAAAAAAAGTCGTGGACTTTAATTTGAAATTTACCTTGCTTCAAGGAATTTACGCAGACCTTTCACGAACGTTGAATCACCAAGAAGTGCTCTGGTCATTCTAAGCATAGACGCCCCTCTGGCGTACGTAATTGTGGAAAAATGCGCAGACACACTGGCTGGATCATTGACGTTAGGGTTAGTGAGAGCGTGGGCTGAATCAACCGAATCCGATAGCATTGACACTCGTAGCTGTTCTACCACAAATCTGGTATCAAAACCCATTTCTGGGGCTCCCTGAAAATATGAAGAATGACACCAATGTAATACTTTATTGGCGTATCTTATTACCATTGCAGTTTACGCGAGTAAATTGCAAATTGTTTAAATGAAACATTTTTGCAGTTTAAAACGCGAAAAATATTAATTAACCTTATATGAATTATTTAAGCTACGGCCCGACATTTCGGATGTTTTGCAGCAGACATAGCCACAAGAAGACATGTAGTTAAAATAATATAAATCGCGTTTTAAAATCGCTGAAGTGTTTCATTTAAATTATTACATGATGTTTATGAGCATTTTGGAATATAAACACGTTTTAGTGATACAATTTGCTATAATTAAATAAATGCTACTACACTAAACATAATATTTTTGCAAAAGAATTAGTTTTTTTTAATAAAAAAAGAATAAAAAAATGAAGAATCATTGAATCATTCGATTTTGACGAAATTCTTTTCAGTAATAGCATTTTCTATCAGAATCTTAAACAACAAAAGCATATTTTAAACAAATAATCTATTATGGTTTCTTTCGTTAGGTAAGAATGTTTTTTAATTCATGAAAGATATATTGTGATAGACTTTTTGTTGCCATTCAAGACATGAAAGAAAAAGATATCAGACAACTAATCCTATTTTGAACACCAATGACATAGAAAGAAGTAAACCATGTCTATTTTATATTAAGCTTTTTAAATATCTTACCATTTCCGCAAGATAATACTGATAGTATCTGCCGAAAGCTTCATTTAACCACAAATTATCCCACCAAGCACACGTCACTAGATTGCCAAACCACTGATGAGCAACTTCGTGTCCGATCACATTTGCGATTCTCTGTTTGTACCAATGGTTGCTGTTTTCTTCGTCGAAGAGAAGGAAAGCTTCCCTAAAAAAATATTTATTACCAGTTACTTAAAGATTTTTGTGCTGTAGAAATATAACGTAGAGAAGACAGAGACCAAAACTGACCTGTAAGTAAGTATTCCCCAGTTCTCCATAGCACCAGCGGAAAAGTCCGGGACTGCCGCCTGTTTCATATCAATTTTCGTAGCCATGGAGTAATAAGGTATTTGAGTGTATTCCTCCATTATATCCAGAAGTTTAACACCCATATCCAAAGCGAATGTTCCGGTATTTCCCGCAGTTTTCCTCGCATATATATGGAAGGGATGCGTTGCGTTGTTATTAGTGGAGATAGCCTCGAAGTCAGAGACGATAAATGCAATCAAGTAGGTGGACATCTTTGGTGTTCTTTCGAAGGTTTCAGATACTCGGCCATTCGTCACCGGTGATCTGAAAGATTTTAAACCATCAGTGTACTTTTTATTAATTATTTCTTTCCATTTTCTTTTAGAAATAAAGATTTAAAATTGCTGATCCTTCTCTGGCTATAAAAATATCTCTAGAGGTAAATACTTACGTTTGTTTAATAGGCATATTGGCCACAGTCGGCTGAAGGGTCGCGTCTCTGTTGATGGTGATGTCAAAGAAAGCTTTAAAGATAGGTTCGTCAAAGCAAGGGAACGCTTGACGGGCATGTCCTGGCTGGAACTGCGTACTTGCTAACCATCTATAAAGTTATATGAATATTTGATTATAGTGTTTATTAATTAAATTTATCTCTTTACTAGCTTTTAAGCAACATAAATGCGTATTTTGATGATATCATTTCATTTAAATGAAGGGTATCTATCAGATCCCACTGCTATTATCTATCTGACTTAAAAACAAAAGAAAAAATTTGAAAGTCTCAATGATTATTGTAGAGCACAATGTATCTTACTTCTTGTTTCCATTACTGTCCTTGTACCAACTCCTGTAGAAACCTCTCATATTCGTTTGTAAGTTACCAGAGAATGTCGATTTTATCACATATTTTTCGTTAGCCGTTAGGGCTGCAGCCGTTTTAACCCTGAGGAAACTGTAGGGCATTTCACAGGTGAAAGTCGTAGTGTCTAAAGGTACATTGGCCCCAGCCGTCGTTTGCAATGTTAGTTGCTTGATAGTGAGATCATTACAGTGTAATACTATTTCATTTGTGGCTTGTTGTACTGTCACTGTTATGGATACTTCTCCGTCAAACGTAAAAGGATTTGAATTGGTCGGAGCAGTGTCCAAATATGGTGTAAGTGTTACAATATATTCATCTGGCGTTACTGTTCTGGGCAGACGATACTGCGGATCGTTTAGCGCTTTCGCAAAATCAAGCCATTCATCCTCTGGCACTGGTATGGGACTAGATGTTAAGCCCTGGATGAAAGCTATCCCTATACATAACCAAAGCCAGCGGACCACCTAAAACCAAAAAAATTTAATATCGCTATAGTCAGTACTCTATGCAGTATTTGGCTACCATTTTATTTTGTTAATACCACCAAGAAATGGGTTGACAATATTATATTTATAAAACAAACTATTGAATTTGTCCTTATAACGGTGCTTTATATTTTTAATACATAAGATCGATTGTGTATTGTTTAACTTTTCCGTTACCAGTAAATAAGATAAGATAAATGAGATTACGTTACAAGTATTAAATAAATCTCTCTGAAGGCGCGCGACAAAGGCGGTCAATGTTTAATTTAATTTAAGTATTTTTCGTGTTTGTGTTTCTACTTTATGCTAAGTTATTACTACGTTAGGCTAAAATTTAAGTTCTTAAAAGATTATCACCTGCAGATATTAAGTTTAGGCTTACAAAGAATGTACATATGTGTTAAACTCTATACCTGTATATACAGGTGTAGAGTTTAATTGAAAATTTTAATATTTTTCACATTTTAATGCATGTTATTTATATAAATTAACGACACGGGCGGAACTTGAACCGGCATCCAACTAACAATCGAGCTAGAGTATCAGTTGTGTATTAGTAGATCAATAATTTTAAAAGATTTTAATAAATGTTTCCGAGTAGAAAATCTATTATTATTGTTTAATTTAACGTACTTACCATTATAGCTGATTTGCAATACTAAAAGATAGATTTCGTGTTGGCTATATTATATTTACTGATATTATCACTTTATCTTATCCTAACAATAATTTATAACATATCTACTTTATTTTGGAGCTTATGAGTTCGTCATAACCGTTATCAAGAATAGGCAACATTTTTAATGAGGTTTTTTTTTGCATAAAACAAAAAAGCTAAACATAGAATACCTACATATATGAATCATTTTGTTTCGACAAACTACAATTTTATTTCGTTAATAACACTCTTATTCCTTTTCATATGAAGTATAAATTATAACTTATATATATAATAAAATTTCATAGTATTATTAAAAAGTACACGATGATAATATGTGGATGACAGTAACTCAGTGTATAGCAGCAGGACCGAATATTGTGGTCGTCGGTTCGAGTATCGTCATTAATATTATTTTTTCGGTGTAAAAAAAAAACATTTTACCGTCGTAAATATTGTCCTAGCTTCGTGTTCCTCGACTAGACAAAGATTTTGCCAACGAAGAAAATTTTGCCAACGGTCCACAAGAGAAAAAAAAACAATTAAAACTTTTAAATAAAACACTTTAACGGTTTAAAACGCGATATATTAGTTAAACTTATTTGGAAATGATTTTCAACTTCGGCCCGACGTTTCGGATGCTTTGCAGCAGCCGTGGTCACGGGGAGACTAAAGATGGAGGATGTCTCTGACGTCAAAGTAAAAAATTGCCACGCCGTGACCACGGCTGCTGCAAAGCATCCGAAACGTCGGGCCGAAGTTAAAAATCATTTCCAAATAAGTTTAACTAATATATCGCGTTTTAAACCGTTAAAGTGTTTTATTTCAATGTGTACTACTCGCGTAAACTATAGACAGTATTTAACAATTAAAACTACTAAACTTGTTTTAACTTAAAACTGTCTGTAGCTTATGCGAGTAGTACTCATTTAAATAAAACACTTTAATTGTACAAAACGCGATATACATTAGTTAAAATTATTTTTACTTTGCTCTACAGATTGCATTGGAAGCAGTTTTGGTAAATGCAATAAGAAAATGAAGAAAATGCTACCGTAAAGTTACATGTCAAATTTCATTTATTCTGCTACGACACCACGTTTCTTGTAAATTATTTACAACAGGAAATTAAATCTAATCTCAGATCTAAATCTGTAATGCCCTTGAAAGATTCTGGTAACAGGTATACCATTTTGATAAGATACCATAACGCTAAAAAATAACAATAGATAGACACAATAGTAAAGTTGAGGTTGACTATCTTATCATCTTTAAATAAACTGATGTCAAGTGCATCTTCATTAACTATCTCATTAGTTTGATGTCTATTTTGCATTAAATTCAAAATTCAAACTCTATTTCGTTCAATAAGAGATACTGTTTTGAGGCGTGATGGTCTAGGGCTAAGATATTGCATCATTTGAGAAGAGAACCTCAGTCTTGTCTGTCTTCTAACGCCATCTTTAAAGAAACAGAATAATTGTCAAAAATCCATCTTATGTGTATTTTTTCAAACTTGGCAAAAGAACACAATAAATATGGCCGATTTCAAACCGTAGAGAACCAGTCATGCCCTTTTAGTCGTTGCCACAGATGACAAAGTGTTAAATAAATATCCATTATAAATGGACCAAACAACCTCAATATTATAAATCGCTTTACTTACGACTTATTAAAAAAAAATATGTCATTATCTAACACTCCGTATGTAAGCGTTAGTGCTGGAGTGAGACTTCTACCTTCTATTGTTGTTGACTTTGCTTACATCCCATCCTTAGGTAAATGTCATTGTAAAGAAATTTTGATTACGGCTTTTGAGTAGGTACATTAATTTTAAGGATTTTAATTAATTTTTGCATGAAATAGTACTTCTAAGTAAATTTGAAGTAGTTTATTAGCTTAATATATAATCCAATGTCTCAAAGTATTTTGAGTGTGAATTTATAATAAAATAAAACTCAAATAATTATACTTTATTTACAAAATATATTACAAAAATAAGAAGCACATTTTTTACAGAACAGTACGTCATAAAACGTGTCTTTTTTCTGTAAGAAAAAGTTAACTGAAGGGAATAGCTACAGACATTCCTAGTATTGTATATGTTTGCACAAACTATTATTATTTTTAATGTTTTTTCCAACTGTGTTTTTCGAATTGTAAATGCAACACTTAAAAGAAAGAAGCTACCAAAGAAATAGTATGAAGATGACCCGATTAATCAAAAAAATGTGACATTAATTCAAACTATAAATATTAGTAAACCATTTCCTATTATAACAATTCGGCTTTCATTTAATTACTCATACCACCTTTAACGCGGTAATGAAAAAAGCCACAGACGTAGATTGGCTTTATCAAATTACAATCATAAATGTCGATATATATATGCCAATTATACGATAATATTGATCACTATTAATTTACGAAATCATAAATACTTTTGTTTTCTACTGACTCATCGAGTATATCATAAGTACATCCGCATTTAATATTACGATCCTAATAAAGTCATGATCTCATCCATGTGTAACAATTTGATGATAGATTAGAATATTTTTTAAATTCAAGGTACAAATATAACTTGAACAAAGTCCAAAGACTTTTTAAAGAAAGCGACTGATATTGTCGTGTAAAATTTAAAGTAGAAACGTCCTAATAGTATACCATATTAAGAAACTAATGATGATCATATTGATCATCATGTTATGTCATGTTAGGAGTATCGTACATGCTAAAATTATGAAACAGTCTTTTGTACAAAAATTTATTTAAAAATATTTACAGCATTAAATAATACTAATGGACAACTCGCTTGCTTAGCATACACACAAAATTAATAAAATTTGACAAACAATGCAGTCAGTAAACTGGCTACAATTCGTTTCCGAAATTGACATCCGGTTTGGTTTTGTAAGCCTAGAGAAACACACTTCTACATTTGATTGATATGATCTCGGCTAAAGATAACTTTACATATAACATTTCTATAGAACAATATTGGTGGCCGCAGCGAACGTGACAACTATTAATGACAGCATAGCTGTCATAGCTGATCCCGGTAAATCTGGCGTTGGTGGGGCTGTGATACCAGGCTTATCTACTGTCGAACCTTCACTGGGAGTCACTGGTGATGGGGTAGATGGACTTAAATTTTCGTCACCGTTCACTAAGTAATTGTCAAGATCATTTTGAATTTCCTGAGCGAACGAAAGACTTTCGCGTGAAGACTCAGCTGCACGGTAAAGGGTAGAATAAGCGTCACCCAAGTTTGTTTGAGTTTGGTTCAACCACAATTGGAACTGGAAACAAATGTTATTAACTAGTAGATTAGCTTAATTATATATTTTTTGTTAAAAAATTATTTATGTACGTAATTACAAATGAGAAGTAGTTGTTTTAAAACATTATACTTTTAATTTTATTGTAATATAAATGGATTATAATATGCTTTTTAATTATTTAATAATCTAGACTAGACTAAATAATAAAAAGAAGTTTACATTTAAAAACTATTATAGCAATTTAATGATGATTTTAAGTTGATCTAGTTCGAAAACTCTATTAAACAATTTTTAGTCTAAATAATTTTATTTAAATATTAAAAATGAATGTTATGTCTCACCGCGTCAATATCCTCTGTTGTTCTAAGTCTAGACGCTACACTTGAAAGGGGAGATGATACCGAACCGAAACTGAAATTAAATTATTTAACGTTATTAATTCGATTTTAATTTTAGAAAAATATATACCCAGTTATTTCTAACTTAAACTTATCAATCTTATTTAATATTACTCTTACTGTTTGCTTGTCAAAATCTCAATAACCATTTTACGACTTGTTCGATATTGTTAGCGCTCGTTTGGATTGGGTTTGAATTAAAAAAATATATATTACAAGTTTTTTGGTTTAAATATTGCACTGATGGCTTGATCGTTCACTGACAAATTAGGCAACGAAACGGACAGATAAATGTATTTGCTCCGTGTTAACTTAAATAGTTACTTACGCCTTCTCTACATCTACTAAGTTGCTCTTGATAAAGTTAAAAACAAGTTGAGTATTTCCTTCGTTTCCTGTGAGTGCTGTGTTAAAGGTGGTGGAGTAATCTTGCGGACGAATCTCGAAGTTTTCTTTCACGAGAGATGTTAGTAATCTGACAATAAAAGGAAATTTCTTTAGTGCAATATTTATATTTCGTTTAAATGTAGAATAAGTGTATAGCTATACTTTGTATAAATTAAAATCTATTTACATTGAAACATTTTACGTCACGAGCTGCACTTGAACCGGCATCCAAACCGTTCCGTGTTGCTTCTCTAACCAATTGAGCTACTTTGTTCTACATGTCATCGTCGAATTTTTTCAATCTATTGATACATATACATATTTGAAATCAAATAAATAGTTCATTTAAGAACTAGAGATCTTCATTTGCCAATAAACCACAGAAGCAGCTAGAGTTTTCGTTCGCGTTGTGTGTTAAATGAACTTACTCAGTCAAAGCGCTTTCAAGTCGTGTGCAACCCAAGGTCTGTAGAAGCTGAATCTTTTCGGAGTAAACATTGTGTTCGATGTACCGACGCCACATCTTGGAAAAATCGCCATAGGATCCAGAACGAAGGCCATTGCAGTATACCCAGTTACGACTGTTTACTGGGACCCTAAAGAATAAAAGTCAGTAAGACTTCAGTCAGTATTTTACATTGGACAAACGACATATCATTTATTGAAACGGCATATAATTAAAAAAAAACTTACTCGACCGAATTATCGATAAGAGCGCGGAATTGAGAGTTGGCACTATTGAGACATTCCTCGACACCCAAATTGCACATCACTGGCGCCATCTGTCGTCTAAGGTACGCGTCCATAAAGCTTTCTGTACTATTTGGAGAGTACCCCAAGGAGTTCATTACTGGCGTCGCCCATTTTATCATTAGGCTCTATAAACAAAATATGCATTACCGGAAGATTTTAAATTGAAATTAAATGTGTTACAAAAAAGGTAAATTTTTTGCGTGAAATTTGCTGTACCAGCGACTTCACCCACGTAGAATATAATTAAAAGAAATAAAGTAAGAGAAGTTAATTCATTATTAATTGGGCATCAAAATTTGTTTCATCGTCTTCTTTAAAAATTGTTATATCAGCTACCCACGATGTCGGTCGCGTCCCGTCGTCTTGCAAGTTAATTTAAGGCATACACTGTCGCGGACATTTTATAGATAGTTTAAAGAGGAATCATTCTTTCGTACATATTTTTTGGGTACCTTTAACAGTTTTCGCAACGCACTCAAAGGTAACCCTCAAAGATGAACAATCCCCGTCTCCATATTTCCCACTGTTTTTTCGCTCCTATTATATCTTAAACTCTCAACGTTGTCCTTTATATGTTAATTACCTCCAGTCTGGTGAGTAGCGGAGTACCAGCAAGCCGGCCCCTCAGCCATGAGAAGCCGTTCAGAGCAGCCATCCAGGGCGCGTAGTCAAATTCATACTCAAGGAAAGAGAGGATGTTCAGAGCTCTGGTGTAGCTCATGATTCCTGCCCGGGCGAATTGGAAAACGTCGTCCACTATCTGAAAAGAGTTTGTTTTACTCTCGTGAATAAAAGTATGTCCTACTTTATACAAAGGAGACACATTTCTGTGGCCCCTTTTAGGTAGTTAACTTATTTACAATTAATTTTAACTACGGCCCAAGTTTTGCAGCAGTCACGGGATTAACGTTAACTTATACATTTCACGTTTTAAAGTTCTAATAACTTTAAAACTATGTTGTATTTAAATATGTACTACGTCAACTACATACGTTATTTAGCTCAAGTGTGGCATTCAGCCTGTAGATATCTGAATATTCAAAGACAGAATAACTCGACAGCGCATCTTGTTGCGATGATATATGACTGGGGTATTTCTCCCACCATCGAGTGAGCCAAATGCTTGTCTATCCCCGGCTATCATAGAATATATATTTTAATATACTAATACACTAAATATCACTACTTACTTGAGCTCGGTTAAATTCGTCGATTTTAGTTCTGTCTGCACCACGCAACGCGATGATAATCAAGTTCCACGTATATTCGTCATAGTTTACTCTATAGTAACCTGAAATAAACCCAATTTTATATTACCAAAGTTGGTATTGGTAGCTAATTATTAAATTGACATCAATAAATGAGCTATATTATTGTGTGTTGCGTTTCCCCCTCGTGGGGCATGGGGCGAACACATTTCTGTGTCCGTTTCACTGATCTGTGTTTCACAGACTTCTGTACCCTGTCCGACCGTAACAATTTTATATTTCCCTGGGATTCGAACCCAGGACTTCTCGTGCTTAACGCCATGCTAGGGAATACGTTTAACCGTTTGGCTACCGACGCGGTCAGAACTATATTATGAGCTATCAAAATTTGTCAGTTCACCTATTAAGTATTAATTTGTTTGTTTATTAATTTAATTCGATATCTTATTCGGTTGAAGAAAACCATTAAAAATAGATTAATAATTGTCAAATACAGTCTATCTTTTGTACGTTAAAATATATTAGTTATATTATTATGATTAAGAGAACTGGAAATTTAAAAATTAACAATTTAAAGTTTAAATTTTTTCATTGCAGTATTAAGGACGTAGGTTATAGGTCTTTAAAATCCGAAAAATATTTTTTTTTATACTTGGACATTGCAAGCGAAAACATCTGCAACCCATACACAACATAAATATGAACTTACCAGTCTGTTGTTTGTTAAATACAACCCATTCATCGCCCGTGGTCCCACGATTGATTACTGTTACAGTTGAAGTCATAATGTGGGTCGGCTTAGTTTCGTTGAAGTTAGGATTGCTAGCAGTGGCGAAAGACAGCGGTATCTGCCAGTTGTAGTTCACAGTCGCATATCCAGTGTTTACGTTGAAACGGCGCTAAAGAATTCAAAATGACATTAATATCTCTTTTTTAATTGTTACTTATATATATATAGGCTATAAAAGACGAATAAAACGCGAAAAATTCTCGATTCGAATCCCGAGAAGAGCGAGATAGTTTCGGTTAAGAAAGAGTTGGCGAGCTGAATTTTGCTTTTAAAAATGCTACACATAAAACATTGAAACTTTTATTTATTTTGCTAAATACATAAAAAAAAACTTGTAAACTATGGAACGCAAACTAGGTGTGAAGTAAATTTAATAAATTCGACCGTCGTAATCGATAATTGGTTCTCGAAGTTTTGCCATCGCAAGGCCGTGATATATTTTTTTAAATTTCGAATCTTTGTGAACCTTTGTATACCTACGTAATGTTGTTAACTTCATAAAATATATGTTACCTGAGTAATAGTCATAGCACCAGTTTTGTGATTGACATCAACATAGATGACAGGTACTCCTGGCTGGTCATGCCATGTCTTGTAATATTCGACAACAGAGAAGCCAGGGTATTCAGAAATCGCACCAGCCTCAACGGAAACGTTGTGCAAAGTCTGGGATAAATCTATTGGTAATACGTTTCCATAAGAACTGAAAAAAATAATACAATTTGCATATCTTTTTTTTGTTAGTCTTGAGCATTATTTAGTTGTGAAAAGGTTGGAACCGTAAATAACAAAAACTTAAATGCAAACCCAGCTAATGAAAATATATCTACAACAATCCTTTTTATTCAATACGATACAATAATATGTTATGTATGATTTTAATTGAATCTTTATATTAAATTACTCTTTAAAAACTTTTTTAGCATTTTTTTATATTTTAGCTACAGTAACTACTAATATACGATACGGTAACTTATATTTAAAGAAAAACCGACCGATATTATTAGGCAAGTAAAAATTATCGAAACAACTACTCACTTATCCACCAAATATTGTCGCAATCCCTGTCTGTGCACTTCAAATCCTAGGAGATGTTCTGTCATTCTTATTATAGCAGCCCCCTTGTTATAGGTTAGGGTTGAGAACATACTGCTGGCTTGGCTCGGGCTGCCAACGTTGGGATTGGACAGGGGATGGGGGTTATTACCAGAATCAGACATCATTGCTGTGTGTACTTGTTCGACTATGAATCTTACATCGAACCCCATGTCTTTTTCGACCTGGAATAATTTGTACTTCTTAATTTAAGATTTACTAATTAATATCGTTTCGACTTAACAACAAGCATAATTAATTTATATTGATTTACTCGTACTACAGTAACGAGTACTGCACAATACTACTCCCACTTCCCTAAAATTTATTTTGGGCAATCAAATTTGTTTTTGCAAACTCCTTCTTCTTTATAAATATTGGCTGTTACTCATGACATCGGTCGCGTCCCTTCCCGTCGTTTTTGCAAGTTATTCTCAAAGATAGGCTAGCGTTGTGGCCTTTTTTTAGATTATTTAAAGAGGAAACATTCTTGTATACAATTTTTTTTTGTGTATCTTGAACCGTGTTTGCAGCATACGCTTTGGAAACCCATAATGATGAATAATTTTCCCAAAAATGTTCACATTTCACGCACGTATGTATTAGTTACAGGGCAATAACTGCTCTTACCAACACAAAAATATTTTTTCAGTTCGAGCCCCTAGTTCCTGAGATTAGCACGTTTAAACAATCACACAAACAAACTCTTCAGCTTTATAGATTAGTATAGATATTAGCCAATTAAAATTTCATGTCCATCTTTTCACAGTTGCGTAAAGTAGCCATTAACTTAAACACTGTGCTATCTGCCGAAATGATCTTGGATAGTGAGATAAATTTGTTATGTAGTGTTTTATCGACATATAATAAGATTTACCCAGTGCGTTAAGAAGTACTGGTAATATCTGGCGAAGCCTTCGTTCAACCAGGTGTGTCCCCACCAATCGCAGGTAACCAAGTTGCCGAACCACATATGAGCTATCTCATGGGACAATATGTATGCAATGATTTGCTTCGCGTTGTCATGAGTGTGCTCGGGGTCGTACATCAAGTAAGCTTCTCTGAAACATATCATTATTTATACCTAAAGCTAAAATAGGTTGACAGTATATCTAATTGAGATATTACATGGCTGCGGTATTCAACTTTGAACTCCATGCTTGTCTGGATAGACGTTACTTATAATTTTTTACTAAGGAGGACTTCATTGTAAAAAATACTATTAATAGCAACTTGTGAAAATATTATAGTATAAAATCTTATAAAGAGAGACAAGTTATGCTGCAGTTTATTCTCTTCTTAAGGTTAAAGTTTCTTATCAACTGATATTTAAGATAATTAAAAAAAAATGGATAATTTTTCTATACTATAAAAATATGGTATATTGTCTATGTTTACTTCTCTTTCTAATAGTTTATTTTTGTAAGCTAACTATTATCAGCTTAATCTATATTGGTAGTGTGCATAAAAATTTCAAAATAAATACCTGTAAGTTAATAATCCCCAGTTTTCCATAGCACCGGCCGAAAAGTCTGGAATGGACGCTTGCGTCATCTTTAGATAGGGCGACTGCTCGAAGAAGTCCAAGTCCGTATGTTCGCTCATGGTGGACAGAAGTCTCTGGCCCACATCGTACGAATAGTCACCCTGGTTAACTGACATGGCCCCAGGTCTTGCGATAACTTCGTAAAGCAAAGTGCCGTTGGCGTCTCGAAGAGGTTTAGTGTCATATTCAGCAACGATTACAGCTATCAGATAGGTGGACATTTTTGGCGTTATGTAGTAAATGTCATCGTCAAAACCTCTGAAAAGTGTTAAACGTCGTTAAATATAATCCATTATTAAAACATAAATTTTGTCGTTTCATATGAATACAAAATAAGGAGATCACCTATTAATTTGACGGACTTGTTGGTGTAAGTTATGGCTAACTAACCCTCGAACCACCTGGTCTAACATTTTTTTATTAAATTATAGACAGAGAAGCACGGGGTTTACTTGATGTGCTGTCGAACTATTTTGGCTTTGGATATTCGGAAATCCACAGACAAACCAAAACGTAATTAAACTTTACGGTTTTTTCATATGTGAACGGTGGTGCTAGACCTGGGCGGGTTTTCGATATTCCTACCACCATACATTTATAATCTAGATTTTCGGACTAATTCCAAAATGTTTCAAAAAATATATAAATTGAAAAAAAAAAATAGGAACATGTTGGACCCGGTGGGGATCGAACGTAGGACTCGTCGATTACTAGACTACAACGACGAAAGTTAAAGTTATTATCAATTATTTTTACATCTATTTCGATGTTGGATACTATGAGAACCTATCATTTATATATATTAGAATAAATGACAGGTTTTTATAATTCGCCACGTTTCTATACTTATAGTCAAACTTACGCAATAACTCCAATGTTGGTCTTTTCAATTCTAGTGCAGGACCAACTTTTATACGCTGACGGTCGACGAATGGTGATTTTAAAGGTTGCTTTGAAGTTTGGTTCATCGTAGCAGGGGAAGGCGGACCGGGAACTCGTCGATTGAAATTGTGTTGTTGCCATCCAACTAGAAGTTTTATTATTTTAGTTCTACGAGTAGAGTATTAAGGACCAGACTGTTAAAATATCCAGGAGAGTAAACTAGGTGAATATATAGAATGTTTTAAAGCTATCATCACATCAATAATCAATTTAATATTTTATCATTATTCAAATAATTTTAGGTTAATATCAATCTCATCGTAGGTTTGATAAACTCTTATGTCTTAAATAAAAACATCCTAAACAAAAATCAAAGAAAATAATGTATTATTTTATAGATACTATTTTTTTAAGCTTTTTTTTATATCATCTATTTTCTGTAACAGACCTTTCTGTATCATTCCAGCTATTCTTGAACCAACTTCTATAAAGCCCGTACATGTCTCTTCTCAGTTCAGCACCGAATTTGATATTCAACGTATAAACGACAGGGTTATTTGCATTGTACTGCAAGACTGTATTATTAATGCTGACTTTCAAAAAGTGAAATTCTGGTTCTAATTCATAAGTTTGAACGATGGGAGTATTGCCTAGTTTTAGTTCTACAGAGCTAATATCTAATTCATTCGAATGTAGGACTATTTCGTTCACATTAGCCTGAGTTGCAGCAAGTTGTATTGTAACATCTCCTGAGAATGTTAGACGAGCCATATCGACAACCCAAAATACGTCATAGTGGATAGGCTTCGTCGTAGTTGGTAATCGATATGCAGAAGGATCAGTTGTGGCTGTGCTCTCAGTGAAATATTTGGCGTCAAAGATTTGTCCCTCCAGTTGTTCGTCAATGAAGATAGTGTTTCTCGTAGATGGAGGGGTCGGGATGGCGTGCGCAGTTACTGCTAGTGCCAAAATCAGGATGAGTGTCGCCATCTACAAAAAATGTTTTATTGTATTCAAATGAAACACTCTAACGGTAAAACGGTAATACACGTTGTGTACTACTCGCGTTAACTAAAGATAGTTTGTTTCATTACATTCAATCGAGAAAGATCCAAAAAACTACCTAGCATTCTTCAAAACAATTGTGCTACACTGGTTCTTTTGTTATTCATGGTCAAGACTCTCTTAAATACTGTATATAGTTGTGCGCGAGTAGTACACATTAGTAGCGAGTAGTAGTCATTTTGAAATAAGTTTACCTAATATATCGCGTTTTAAACCGTTAAAGTGTTTTAATTAAACAAGTCTCTCTTGTTGAGATTTTTATTGCTACGAAGATAACCAAGTTATGATACGAACGGACACTTTGAATGTGCAAGCTTGCCAATATCATCGTATCATCATTTTTCGCGCAACTAATTATAGAAATAAAATAAAAATAGACTAAGCATAACACACTTTTTAAAGAGCATATTTTAATCAATGTAAAATCAAGAATTTAATCTAAACAATAGTAACGATGTATAATCGATATCTTTTGTCACAAAATGGTATCAGATCAATAAATTAAGTTTTTTCTGTAATCTATAACCTTGTTTATTATCTTATCATTTAATAATTTCTTACATTATTGTATTTATGAGTTCATACACGTGAATTTAGTCACACGCTATTCCTGCTAATAAATCAATAAATAAGAGTATTTGGCATTCTTTGAGTAGGGAGTGCTTCACCCAGCTCGTGTCTTCCTTGGTCAAAAAAGTAGCAACATGACTAAGAACATATAGTGTAAATGTAAAGCACACCTTCCATAATTTTTTATCAACTTAATGACGTTCTCTATTTAAATCGTTATATAGAGGGAATCATTACGCAATTTGAAAACTTATCTGATACTTGCAATTTATCTCTTGGAAACGCAGATATAATTTAAGCCTAACTAGAAATTTATTGGCGCCTTATCTTTGTAAACAATAAAAGCGTGGCTGTATTTATGATAGATTTAAACTTAAGATTGAGGAATATAAAATAATAAATTTTAAATTACAATCATTGATTAGATTAAGATATTTAGGGCACTATTATGTGTCTACTTAAATTATCGACTGTAAAGTAAAGGCTATATGATCGCTTTACATAATAAGTATGTAATTCGATTAGAATGATTCCTCTACTTCTGCTCCTTCAGAACCAATAACTTTAAACACTATTTTATGTAAATCTCTTAATTTGGAAGTCTTTTGATATTCAACACATATTTGTTAGAAAACTTTATTATTTTTTACAAGTTATTTATTGCACATGAAGGCACTATATAGCGCTATTATTTTATAATATGCGTTTGCAAGTTAGAATGATAGATAAGCAAAAACTTACAGGGAGGCAAACGTATTCTCGAACTACTTCATATGTCCAGATTTTATTTACAAATATTTTACGACAGAGATTATTTTAGATAGTTAACTCGAGTAGAACACATTGAAATAAAACACTTTAACGGTTTAAAACGCATTATGTATAGTGAAACTTATTTTAAATACAGCCCGACGTTTCGGGTTTGTGTTTTATTTAGATTACTTTAGGTCAGGCTACTACTAAAATAATCTTACCTTAAGGCGACTTTACCACTGCCACTCCACTACTGAAAACGTTGTAAATAAGTGGATTGATGTACTCCTATTTCATATTATCGGTATCGAAGCGTGGCGACGATAATATTATAATCTCACTATAATTCAATACTAGGATAAATTTTGTCGCTTAACATATGAAATTTATAAATAGATTTAAAAAAGTAACGAATAGAGAACACAATCGCACTCTGAAACAAGTTAAAACTAATTGTTCATACAATTTGTTCAGGATTTGCACATTTTACAGATTTAAGAGAAGTTCTTTATATTTTTAGTTTACGCAAGTACTACAGATTTAAATAAAACACTTTAACGCTAATGTGACATGAGTCTCCCCGTGACCACGGCTGCTGCTAATCATCCGAAACGTTGGACCGTAGTTAAAATAATTTTATTCAGTTTAACTAATATATAGCGTTTTAAACCGTTGAAGTTGTTCATTTTATGTGTAGCTATCTTATTTTCAAATAGAAATGTATTTTTCTAATATTATTGTTACATAATCATTGATTGTCTGTTTAGTGATTGTATAGCGCATATATATCCTTGGAAAATTCATAACTTCATACACGAGTAGTCATAGGTATTTATGATTGTATACAGACAAACTTGTCCATTTTATTTTTATAGGAATGAGCTTAATTTTTAACGGCTCAGCGGGTTTTCTAGATTATGGATAAGATTGTGTCTCTGACGTCATTTTTTAGACATAACATATAATCGACTAAGATTTTAAACGGGCTCGGTTTTGAATGGATTCGATTCTGAGTCCAGTATGTTTCTAATATAAATTTATACATTTTAGAAAATCTCGACATCTTTTTGAAAAAAATCCCAATTCCATCCGGATCACAAACCACCTTCTTAAAGTGGAAAAACTGTAAAGTGTAATCGCATTTCAGTATCTGTCCATGGATTTCTAAATGGCCAAAGCCATAATAGGTTAGAGCATCTAATAAGAGGTCACTGCGTTGGGGTAATCTTTCAGATGAACTTGATTGTTGTGTTTTCTTCTTTAAAAAAAATAAAACTTAGACATGGTTTCCCGTTAATAAAAATGAACATGAAAATTCATAATATGTGTCGGCTCCCTGTTCCACGAGGCAGTATCGTTTTTACACACATACGCACACATATATAAAAATAGATGATGCATGTGTTAGATTATTCTGATAATTTAAGTTCTTTTGTTACACTAAGTTATGTTTTAATCTCAATTTGTCTCTAAAGTCATACAGATATTCTATAAATATTACAAAATTGTATTAAGACAAATGTAAATGTAACCGTTTAATTATTATAACTATATAACAACTTATTAACATGTGAAACCGAATTAGTACATTATAAATACAGTGTCCTGTTTAAGACATACAATTATAACTTATTTTGAATCATGTATTTTATGTAAAGCTTTTCTTTATAAATAAGACGATTTAGTTACTGATAAAACGATTGTTCAACCAAATTTATAATTTTACTATTTAATTTTTGTATAAATGTATTATGTTAGTTTTACGTTGAAATGATGCAACATCAATATGGAATTGCATCATCCAATATGACGTCACTGGGCCCATAGAATGGCGCCCTAGCATTCCCGCCCCGCACACTCACTCCCGCGAAGCCACAGCGGACGGACCTAAATCGAGGAAAACCCTACACAGAAGTGAAATGACGCAACATCAATATGGAATTGCATCATCCGATATGACGTGACTGGCCCCATATAATGGCGCCTAAATTGAGAAAAACCCTACACAGAAGCGAGATGCCATACCAAACGGACTTAAGTTAAGTGAGCCCTAGCTTGTCTTTAGTTTATGTGTCTATTGTTATTTTCGCGATAGTAAAAGTAAGTGTATATTTGTTTAACGCTCACTGTATATAAATTAAAGCAATATTGTTTCAACCATATTCATGTCTTCTTATTTATGTACCAGTTTACAATATTTAATTAAAAGCATTCTATACACAAATTATATTTTGATATACATATAATATAGCCCACTAATCTACATTAATAATATTAAAGTTTTTTTTAACTAATCTTTTACATGCACGTCTGTCCTTTTGTATTGTAATCACATGAAATAAAATAATATACTTGTGATTAAAACTTTATTTACATTACACTAATTGTTAATAATTTCTTATCTGAAGTAAAAAAATACTTATTACATGAACACAAGAATGAAGGGAAATAAATGATTAAATTTCCAATTACATTTTATTCTATAAACATTAAAATAGAATTGCAGCAAAGTACCTTATAATTTTTAAGCACATTGAGTAGAAGTATAAAAAAGGGAAAGTAATATTAATTAAATTGACTAGCTCAAAGTAGCTTAGTTATACATTACTTAATACTGTACATTTCAAAGTGATTTATATATTTGATGCTAGTAATAACAAACTAGAGTGCAAGTAAAAATGTCCTAATTTTAATTGTACCTACGAGTACTTATCTTAGATTAACATCAATTAGTTATTTGAGTCGTGAAAATTGATACGACAAAATCAGTAAAATTCATTTGAAGATAAAAAAAACATAGGCCAGTATGTATTTTCAGTTTGAATTCAAACGATGCATTTCATGCATAAACGATTATGTTTTTCAAATAAATAATTTGATGCAATGGAGAGATTCTTTAATAATCATACAAATACACAAGCTTTTCTGGAGCTCAAACGGCGTCGTAATTGGGAATAGTTATAGGTACATATCAGACGCCGACCGATCCTTGAATTAGTAAAAAATGCATTCAAAATGGCCGCAAACGCCTTACAATTTAGAAGATATATATCCATCAGACTTTAAAACCCGAAATAATTATCAAAATCAGTTCAGCCGTTCGTAATACGCGTACTTTTAAATAATACATTAAATTGACATTTATCACGCTTTTTCAGCGTCTAGAAGCCACGACACGATTGTCTTGTAGTTCCTCTGCATCCATTGAACGTTCGCTTCAGTTCGTTCCAAGACTTGCTGAACTGGACGACCCAACTCCTTGTCGTATAATGAAACGAATCTTTTCAACTGCAAGAAAGTCTTGTTATTGTAAAATAAATTATTTTATTTCATTGAGACCAAAGTTGTATCCTTAACCTCTTACTTTAGCGCCGGAAGTGCTGAGAAGAATCTTGGGTTTTATTTTTGATGGGTTAGTTCGTGTAACATATTGCTAATAATTGTGGTATCGATTACAATAGGATCCAACAATTTCTAATGAATTTAAAATTATTCTGAATGGGTGGTAGGAATATCGAAATTCCGTCGGAGTCACGAACCACCGTCCGCAGTTGTGTAAGCCATCATGCTTCATTGTGTTTTGATTTCAGTCTGGGGATTTCCAAAAATTCCATGTCAAAATAGCTAAACAACGCTGTAGTCGAAATTTTATATGAAATTGGGTAACCTGCTATCAAGTTTCCTTATGTTTATCTGTTCTCCGTCGATATACCAACAACAATAACAATATTTTCAGTCTTTCAGCTGAATAATCCCTAGTCAGCAATTTAAAAACCCGCATAATCTCACCTCATTAAATTCGTGGACTTGATTTATTCTTCTCGTAACAACTTTTAATATCGAGTTCATTGTTGACACAGAACCAACACTGAAACAATAGAAGAGTATTAATTTGTTTAAAAAAATCTTAAACGAAACTCTTAAAACGGTTAAAAACTTAATCCAATTTTAACTACTATACGAAGTATTTCAATAGACGGTAACGGTTTTTTTTATTATATTTATTAAATTACCTAATATAATTCGCGTTTGCAGCCGTTTTTAGCGTTTAAATTATTATATACCACTGACGTTAATTGGAGTGTATAATTATTTCAAAATAAGGTTAAAAAACTCAACGGACAGAGACAGCACGAAAGACAAAACTATAATACGCTAGAAATGAAAAGGACACAGTGCGGCATCTATCATGGGTTCGAGTCCTAGTCATACACTATTCATAAATTTTCACTTGAAATATATAATAAATAAGTCTAAAAACACTTTGAAAGCTAAGTACAAAAAGGAGAGACGGAGTAACGAGTGGGTGTCACGCTCGAGAGATTTTAAGATTGCCTGAGCAAAGCTACCTAACTTTGCAGAGTAGACTTACAATTCTTTGAGCCTCTGCCAATTATCTCTAACAAAGTTGAAAGCAATTGGTTCTCCTATAGAAGAACTAGCGACGGCTGAGAACACTCTCACAGTGTCTTGCTTCCGTATCCCGCTGTCATTCCGCAATGAAAGTTCGAGGTATCTGAAATGAAGGCAAAAAAATAGCTGTGTCTCATAACTCTATGTACTGATGTACGTGCCAAAATGCTCTAATTCCGAGAAAGTTTTCACTAGTTATTAGAATTTAAAAAACGAAAATAAATTGAAAAAAAATTTCCACTCGGGCAGGACTTGAACCGGCATCGTCAGCGTTCCGTTTTGTTCAAGAGCACGGAACACGACGATTTTTTTTTTCAATTTATTTTCGATTTTTAAATTATATAATAGCGCCTTCATGTGCAATAACATGTAAAAAATAATAAAGTTTTCAATAGTTATTACAATACAGTTTTAAGTATACTATATACAACTATACTATACAAACAGAAAGTAAAATTTTGAAATTGCAAATAAAACGATTTTAGTATTAAGTAAATAATTAAATCTACATTAAACGCAGAAACAAACTATTAATAGTAGAGTAACAGCTTTTGTGCTCACCTGTACAACAAGTATGGTGCTCTGGTACAACCGAGCACAGAAAGCAGAAGTTCCCTTTCAGACGGAGAAGTAGCTAAGGTGAACCGGTCCCAGGCGAAGTTCCATTCCCGGGCACCACCAGCCTGAACACCAATGCAGTACACAGTACTTCGTATATCCGCGTGTATCCTAAATAAAAAAATAGTAGTAAGTTCTTAAACCTTGGATCATTGGTGAAAAGAGGGGTTCAAGTTACTGAGAGATCTAAGTTAATTATCTCAGCCTCCCGAGTCCGTAACTGTAGTATGTTATTTAAATATTCACTAAGAATTTCTAGGGACTTTCTTTTGACCTACTTGTTGGTGATTATAGGCAAATCAACGGGTCCGATCCCCACCGGATCCAAGGTTTTTCTAATCAATTTATAATTTTGCTGGAACATCTTGGACTTCGTCTGGATATTAGAATATCTTCTATCTGTCGTTAGAATATCAAAATTTCGTCCGGATCACCAACCACCGTATACAGATGAAAACGCCGTGGAGTTTAAACATGTTTCGATTTCAGTCTGCGGATTTCCGGATATCCAAAGCGTAAATAAGTCAACAGTGCATCTTGTTTAGATGCTATAGGGTATTTCACCTACCATCAAGTGTACCCTCCGCCTCTCTGACCTCTTTTATCATTAAAAAAGTATCAGTTTAAAAGAAGAAGTTAATTCTTCTTTGCCTCTATAACGTCCAAGGTTTCATGTGCCTTGCTCATCACCACTAGCCCACCAACTCAGATGTCAACTGTTAACCCCAGCAGTGGGACGTGAATAAGTTTAAACTAGACTAACTCATTAAAAGCATCAGGGTTAGGAGTCAGCATCCAGTTAGTGTACATGCGGACCGCGTGTTCCAAGCAATCCACTTGTTGAAGGTGACACGCCGTCCACAGCAGGTCGACGCGATGCTGAGCGCGGACGACGCTCTCATTCAAGGATACTTCCCAACCAAGGTCTTGCACTGCGCCGCTGAGCAAGCGTAAGACATAACGCTGAAAAATACATTTAAAACTTACTCCTCTCTGTAAAAAAATATTTTATTTAATCACTTTATACTTTATTTATCAGCTGTTGCCTTGTTACGTACTTTGTAGACTTACTAATGTAAGTCTCTTTCTATTGTTTGTTTGTTCTTTCTATTGATTCTTTAAGAAAAAAATAATTATTATTAATTATTTTTCTTTTTTTTTCTTACTTATTCTTTCCTTATGATAAAAAATCGCATAAGATGTATGCTGAGATTTTTTTTATTACAATAATATCTTCCATGAAGATTCTCGATCAGCCATATTATACGTAAAGTAAATGGGCTTTTAACCTAATTTGGTTGTCGTCGTTCAGAATCTAAAGACTCAAACTAGAACGCAATTATACTTTGCATTACCATCTGAGGTCGGTGGTAAAATTATCGATTCGTCTCGTTCAAAATCCAGATCCAGACCGCCTCTGTAGCCAAATGGTTAAACTTATTGCCTAGCATTGCGTTAAACGCCAAAGGTCCTGGGTTTGAATCCCAGGGAAACAAAAAATTGTTTCGGTCGGGCAGGGCACAGAAGTCTGATCAACTACGGCAAGTATAAGTAAGCGTCAAAGAACGGATCAGTAAAGCGGACACAAAAAGTGTTCGCCCCATGCACCAGGAGGGGGAAACGGGACTTCACAACATGCAGATATTCCAGATGAAATCTAACATGTTTCAGGAGAATGATATAAATTGTTTTAGGAACACTATGGAACTCAAAAAACCACAACAAGTTGATTATTAGCGATGATTGGAACAACGTTCACAGCAAAACGTTAAATCTTATACGGGACTTCCCGTTTATGATTTTTTAAGAAAATTTGTAGTGATGCAATAATTTTAATAACTTTAATAATAGTACAATATTTTCTTTGATAAAGGCGGTATACATTTTAAAGTTTTTGATATACTATCGTAATCCGATTATAAAAGTAAATATGCGTCATTTCATTGGATTATATCTTGATGAGGTCAATCGATTTTCTATTTGTAATTATGACAGTGAAAGAAATTAAAGCAAATTTAATAAATAACCTAATAGTATAACATGCAATAAATATTGTCTGAAGTAAAATGTTCTACATCTCTTTTTTTTAAATTCCCTATTCATGATATCGATACATTCCTTACGCTCCGACTTTAATTTTATTTGGTTTCATTTTTTTAATATTAAAAACAATATAAAGAAACAAAAAGAATATCAACAAAAAATTATGGCCTTACAACCGTGAAAAAGCAAGACTCATTTTAGAAATCATACATGTAGCGCCATCTAGTAAGCTTATAAAATAACTAGTTTCTTATATCAAAAGTAGTCATAGACTAATATAATAAAAATTTTCTTTGCTTTTAAATTACGATTACAGAATCGAATACTCAAATTGATTTTGCACAGAGACTAGAATGAGGTGTGTGACACACCCTTAGTCGACCTGCTTCAATCATTAGATATTTCTACCACACATTTAATATCCACATTTATTTAAACCTATAAATCATTATTAGACCTGTTGTTAATAGAACACACGATCATTACCCTATAATAAATTAGACAAAGTTAAATATTCCAGAACAGCCATCAAAATATCTTTCTTACCTGATATTCAAGATAATAAGCGCCCTTAGACAGCATTGAATCAATATAACCAAGTGCAACTAGACCAGCCTTCCATGGTACATAACTTCTTTCGTGGGTCAAATAGCTAGTTATATCCAGGGCTATCCTGTAATCCAAACGACCAGATAGAGCCAAATTCATGGCATCATCTATTATTTGGGCTCTATTGATCGGGTGGATCTCTTCGAATCGTTTTGGGTCGTTAAGAATCTTTATTAGCATCTCCCAGTTGCGTTGATCGTAGTTTATGCGATAGAAACCTGAAAAGAAAAGAAAGAAATATAAATAGGCAAGTGTACCTCATGCTTATCTGTCTTCCTGTATCATAAAAAGGGTTTTACACGACAAAACTAATTGTATTAACGTTTGTAGTAATTTTGTTTAAGCCATTAGGAATCGAACCTGTAGTACCCAGACAGCAATGTTACCTGTTTGTTGAGTATTAGCAATAATCCAGTCATCTTTGCTTATAGATATATTATTACAGATAACAGATCTCTCTCCCCTTAACCATAATTTTGGCTGAGTGGATGCAAAATCTTTTTCAGACGCAGTCGTGTATGATATCGGTATCCACCACACTGGCTTCTGATCTTCCACCGTGCCATTTATCAGAATAAATCTTTCCTGAAATAAAAGGTATTTATCGTGAATTATTTATAATTTAGCAACAGCTAGCGCCATCTAGTGGACGAATAAAGAAGTGATAATTACTATTTTTTTATAATTATCTATTTAATATTTGCGATAGTACGAGTAGTACACGAAAAACGCTAAAATTTATAAACTATTAAATGTGTTTCATATAAACGAATAATACTGCAAAACAAAAATTAAATTTAATTGTAATAAAGATTGAGCGATAAATATTTTGGGTTCAAATCCTGTTAAAATATTATTGTAACCGTTTTGCTACGTGAAAGAAATGATCCGCCGTCGGAATAGAATGTTACTTAGCAGTGCGATCTTTTGACAATAAATGGAACTACACAATTTACCTGTGAAAACGTAACGGCGCCAGTATCGTAATCTCTAGTGATATTTAAAACTGGAAACCCAGTTTGTAGCGTCCACGAGTCCATGATCACGGCAACATCAATGTCGTTATGGCCTTGTTCCCTTGCAGCGTTGGTAAGGGCACTCCAGAGGTCCCTCTGCTCTGCGTCACCATATTTTTTGGCGTTCAGGTAGTCCGTTATACCGGCGTTGAAGACATCATCAGTGAGAAAGTGATTCATCATACGGAGAATCGCTGATCCTGGAATGAAAGTTAACTAAGTAGAATTACTTGAATATTCTTGTATAATAACAAGAGTTTTCATTAGTAACCTAAGTTAAACACTTTAAACGGAATTAATATCAAATTTATTCTTGCAGTAGTCGTGTCAGGCAAAACTAAATTATCTAATAAGTATCTTGTTTTAAAACGGATAAGTTGTCTTTCATGAGAGCTTATGATATAAATTTTATTTTAGAAAGATTAAAATGATGATTACTTGGGCGGGAATCGAACCCAAAATCGTACCGTGCCGTGAAAACACTGTGATCTTTGCCTCGTGGTAGGTGCGTCTTTGAGTGCGAAGAAAAATGTGATAGAAATGCCTAAAACATAACATTAATTCACTTTTTAGCCATTTAGTTACTTAAGTGCATTTAATGTTATATGTCGCACATTCTAATTATAAAAGTACTAAAAATTAATCAACAAATAATGAAAAACATGTTCCAAATCTACACATCATATTCGCAAACAAGATTAATATTTACCGGTTTTATCTCGTTTAAACCCAGTACGAGAACAAATGCACAACTATTGTTTGATTAACGATAATTATATCTATAGTGGTTGCCTACTATCTACGTTTTTTAATGACAATGCAAGTTTGTTGAAAATGTATGTTTAATTATGACTTTTCTCAAGTACTCTATGTACTAAGTTTACTCATTTAAACGAATGTATTTCGCGTTTTAAACTGTTAAAATTGTTTTGTTAATGTGTACCACTCGCGTATAGTGCAAACAATACTTTAGAATCCACGTTCTTGGTGAACATGGCTTATGCAGCTAAATGTTACAAGCCAAATAATTTATATTGTTAATACTTAGTATTACATTTTCAACTCACCTTTTCCGTACGAGATCTTATCGAAAATAGCACCGATTTCTTCAGGGTTACCCACTTCCACAGAGATCTGGTGAGACGACGTCAAAGCATCCAGCTTGAACACGCTTTGAACTTCGTTTAACACGAACACTTCCATCAACTTCCACGTCTTTTCAACCTGTAACCAAATTGGAAAGAAATAAATTAACACTCTTTCACAAACAGCTTTAATTATAACGCTTAATAATTAACTAACAGTGACATGTGAAAAATAAGAGTTCAATGTCGTTTATTTTAATCTAAAAAAAGCACGAAACGAACATTAAATTAAAGGATTACGTGAAATAAATATTGTGGGGAAATTCTGTGTTAACGGTTTGTTACTGAACAAATCATTAACAATAATTGGGATATTTTGAAACTACTCGTTATTACTTACCGCATCAACTGCAACATACTCCACGTAACTTGCGAATCCCTCATTTAACCAAATATCAGACCACCAAGCGGGTGTGACCAGGTTTCCGAACCATTGGTGAGCTATTTCATGAGCTACAACAGATGCAACCCTAGCCTTCGCTGTAGTTGGAGACACTCCGTGGTCGTACAGCATAGCTATTTCCCTAGAAATTATGAATTACTCCTATTAATGACTAATCAACGAAAACCGTTTCTGTTTAAGCTTTAAGAAAGATGGGCTATTTTTAGTATACGTTTAGTTCACATAGTAACACAGTAAACAATTTTTTAAATAGATCATAAAGATTTTATTTTATTTTATTTAAGTACAGGCATGAGGTTCCGTGAAAATGGTTTACTGATAATATAGTTTTCAGCTTTGTCGGATCTACTTCATAGTCAAATGTCGTTTATGGCTTAGACATAAGGGTATAAGTAACAATTTTTAAAGTAATAAAGACTTGAGTTGAATCTTATAATGTAAAATAAGCAAACATCATTTAAAACGATAATCTAAAGATAGAACTTTTTCAAACCAGCTGTCAAGCCTAATAAAGCGTAAGCCTCACACAATTAGGGGCTCGCCCCAATAGCAGGAACGTGATAGATGGTCTTAGATAATAAGCTCTCTCGTCACGGTATTAATCGATTGATACCCTCATCCTGATTTACGGTCCATTTTCACAACTACTTTGTCAAGCCCTCGTGGGGTGAATCAGAAACAATTGTTCGAAGATACACGAATATTTCTAGTCATCAAACTAACCAAAAAGTCTAGTCACAAAACTAATCTAATCTGAATCGAATCACAAATTTTCTGTCAGAATAATTCATATACATAATATGTCCAACTGCGAAAATTAGACTGTATTTGTAGTGGGTAGTTTGATAAAACTTTGTATTATTACAGTGATTGATTATTTTAGTAGCTCTCTTTTATTGTTTTCTGTCAGTGTTCATCTATTAGTATTTTGTGTGCGCAAGTATGCAAAATATTGGACTAATAATCTCCTTAGCTCAATGATTAGACGTAACATTCGGTTAAGAATGGGATGTCCGGGGTTTGAATTTTTTTTCGAGAGAAAACAAATTCGAACCCCGGTCGGGAGGCGCTCAGAAATATGAATGAAATGAACAAGAAATGCATTAATGTGTCCCAGAGACACACTTCTTCTTTATACTTTACTTTTTGGCAGTCATCTTGCAAGCAATACTTTTGAACAACAAAACAACTGGATGTAGAGATTCTTTTTATAGTGCTTAAATTTTTTGCGTTAATGCTTTGTTTTTTGAAGCAGACGAACAATATGGTTAAAACTGTATTATAAAAAAAAATAAAAACATTTACCTAAAAGTAAGCAATCCCCAGTTCTCCATGGCTCCAGCCTTGAAATCCGGTAAAGCTACCATATCAATTTTGGGCAAAGGAAACTTAATCTTATAGTACTCTTCTAAGAACTTCAGTATCTGTGGTCCGATGTCTAAAGCATAGGACGCAGACGATAGGGCTTCCTTCCTGGCCCAGACGGAAAAGTTGTCGTGGCTCATATTCCCGAAATCCGTGACGGCAAACGCTACCAAGTAGGTAGACATAGGCAAAGATTCAGCATAGTGGTCCCAAATGTAGTTCTCCAGGGATTTACTGTAAATAAAAATATATTAAAAAACAAAACAAAACAAGAATGAGACGCGAAAGTTTTTGACCTTCACGGTCTTGGAAGTGAAATTAGTCATTTGTGACTGATTAAGAATGTCAAGTGCAAAGGTTTGGAGAAATTAAATTATATTAAAAAAAACTAAACTTTTTATTTCTTAATCTATAATTAACTTTAATTAAAGATGAACGAATAACTCAAATTATTCAAAAGTTAGTATTACATGAACTTTCTGGTAATTCGAAAAATTCGATCGATTTTCAACCGTTTAAAGCGAAATATATTAGTCACTTATTTTTAGTGTTTTAAACGGGAGAAATGGAGATGGAGGGTGTCTCTAAAAACTGTTGTCAAACAATCGAAACATCGAACAACAATTATGTAATATATTTCGCGTATTAAACTGTTAAAAGTGTTCTATTTAAATGTGTATAACTCGCGTAAATTATGAACAATATTTAAAAAATGTGTTACCTTGAGAAAATAGCAAGGAAAATATGTATCTTTATTGAAGTAAAGTTGGTTGTTATTACAAGTGTCTGTACGTATAACATGCGTGTAAAAAGTTATAATAGACACAATGCTTATTGTGTGTATGAATTTTTTTGGGGCGATATTACAACTGACTTTACAAAGAACAATAGCTAACGAGTTCTTATTACATTGTTAAAAGAAATACCCTGCAATAATTTCATAAGGGAACTGTTACTCACTGAGGTTGTCGCCCAATAATATTCATATTGGACACGGAACTCATGTTGGCTGGACGAGCGATGCTGATGGTAAACCTGGCTTTCAACGCTGGTTCGTCCCAGCAAGGGAACGCCCTCCGTGCGTCTGTCGCCTGGAACTGGGTAACAGCTATCCACCTACAAGTAAAAAATATATATATATATATTTCCAGATCGAGGACAGACAAGGATGTGGTATTGGTGGTAGGTGAAATACCCCAGGCATATAACATCTCGACAAGATTCGCTATCGACATATTTTGGCTTTGGATATTCGGAAATCTACAGCCAGATACCGAAACGCGTGTCTCCGTCGTTGATCCGTGATTTGTGACCTGGACGGAATTGCAATATTCCTATCACGCATTTGATATCCAGATTTCCAAAAAATCATTAATTTATTAAAAAAATATATATTTAAATAAAACACTTTAACGGTTTAAAGCACGATATATTAGTTAAACTCGGATGCTTTGCAGCAGCTGGCTGCTACAAAGCATCCGAAACGTCGGGCCGAAGTTAAATATCATTTTCAAATAAGTAACTAATATATAGCGTTTTAAACCGTTAAAGTGTTTTATTTAAATGTGTACTACTCGCGTAAACTATAGACAGTATTTAAAATATATATATCGAACCCACGACCCGCTGTCTAACGAGCCCATCAAGTGACATGTAATGACACCATTTTGACACATCTAACTTAATGTTTTTTCTTATTCTTCGAAAAATAGAACAAGTATAGTTCTGTTTGTTACACTATTTATGCTGTTGGGTTTGTTAGAGCTAGTTTTGACTTTAAAATAGGATACAAACTTGTATTCATATTTTGGTTTGTATAATGCTGATTAGAAAATCATATGAACGATGAATGAGGTTAAAGATCAAATATTTCAATTGATTTATGTTCTTCTGACTCATTCTAATGCCCTTCATGGTATAACAATAAAGAAAGAACCCCGAATGATTAATTTTATGGTTCTTATTAAAGTACGATTGAACGTACTTGGCGTTGTAAATACGAAACAAAGCAAACAATTACTATTCTAGTCAGTAAGTTAATTGAATTGCCGTCGAACTTATTTATTACGATCTCATCCTTACATCTGCAAAGCATATTAATGAAGATTGTTCAAAATTTCCGCACCTCTTGCTTTATAAAAACTTAATTCTCTTACTTTCAAAATTCAAAATGTACCTATGTTATGTACGACGATGTGACGATAGGAAAATGAAATAACTTTTTGTAAGTTCACACATTCTTCTATTTATAATAAAATAAAAGAAAGTATTGTATGCAGCACAGTAGTAGATTAATCTGCAGTAAAGTAAATCGTATGCGTACCTAATAAATAATAATAGCTAATTAACAAAATAAACAGGTGTGAAACTCACCTTTTATCCTTTTTCTCTTCATACGAGCTTCTATAAAAACCATGAAGATTATCATTTAAAATGCCAGTATATGTGATATTCAGGACATACTGCTGTCCCGCTTTCAAAGGCTCCGCAGTAATAAGAATATGGAACTGCCTCGCAACATCCTCTGTTCTTCCTTTGATCTTGATAGCTTTACCATCTTCTTTCTTGAACAATCCGATATCATGAAAGTCCAGTTCCACACCATGAAATGTTACTCTGTTAGTTTCATTCTTCACTGTTATCACTACACTAATTTCACCATCGAACGTAAAGTTACCTTCAAATATATAAGGCGTCAGTTTCAAAGAATAACGATCTGGTTTAATACTATTTGGTAATCGCACATCGATTACTTTATATTCTTCAGTTGTCGTGTCTATAGCAGCTGTTGTTGTTTCAAAGTTTGTTTCAGTATAAGTGGTGTCAGTACTTAGAGGTATCACTGTTAGTTTGTTTTGATCACAATGCGATAGTTCATATTTTGTAACGTTCGCTAACTGATCGGTTCTCGGGCAGGCGGCAAAATTGTATACGATGAAGGCTGTAGCAACTAAAGCTAGCGTGAAAATGACGAAGATGACAAGAAGCGAGGCTTTTCGATAGGTAGACGCCTCTTCTGGGTTTTGAGGAGAATTCAGTTTGCAAGTTCCCGTCCATGTTGGCTGGTTTTTGAATTTGGGTCATTGCGCCACCTGGAATGATATTACTATATTTAGCAGTTTTATAGTGAAAATAGGAGCAGTTTATAGGAATTCAGTTTCCGATTATCCAAAGCTAAAATAGTACAGCGCATTGCTTAGATTTGATATGGTTAGAGTCCATAGAGTGAATCCCATGCCCGTCTCTCTTTTATAATAAAATTCTAAAGTATATTTCATATTTTTAATGTTAAAAGATTTGTATAATTTCATGTTTCGTAAATGGTTGTAGTACATCGTGTAAGCTATATAACTTATTTATTGAATTATAGGTTTTAGGTAAATAGGTTCCACTAACTCTAAAGGAAATTAACTTTTTGTTGAGTATGCTCATCAGAAACTATTAGTCCTATTGAGTACTGCTACTTATAAAAAATATTACTTAATGAGTCCAATCCTTTATGTTTACATTTGTTTTAATGGTTTTTGATCAGGGTAAACTGGCTTTAAAGAGTACGACGGTGAACTTAAAGCTAGCTCTAGGTTGTGAATAGCTTCAATCTTTCATAAGTTTGCGGAGACACGTTCTGGCTTATTCAAAGCGTAATTACAATTTTGAAAGGTGATTGAACTCGTGTTTGTTGTCAACACTGTCCCAATGGATAGATGTAATGTAATTATGAGATTTTTTCGCATATTTTTAATTATTTGGAATAAACGCCAGAGCTGCAAATCTTTAATAAGAGCGACACTGTAGTAATGCTGATAGATATTAAAACTTAATTACTATCATTTTGCATTGTAATTTTTTGGAATGGTTAGGGAATAATTGCGTGAATTTAAGTGAATTTAAATTCGAGTAAAAGAATGATAAAAAATATGTGGTAAAATTATTATTTGTATAAGTATTATATTTATTTATTTTTACAAAGATGACATTTTACATCATCATGTATCACGAATTTATGATCAGATGTAGGTTTTAACGCAAGCATAAACCCAATACAAAAAGTGCACAACGTCACTGAAGAATTTTCACTTCAAAAACTCTATAATGTACAAATAAAGAAAACGTGCTATATAAAACAGTTATTGACTATATTGATTTATCACTGATCATTTCAAAGAAGTATCATAGTCTATACAAAATTCCATTCGAATCCAAGAGAACGTTGAAGCCTGGTCGTTCTCCTACTCTCACCGGATCAGCCCTTGATCAGCGATTATTATATTATCGATGCAGAAGACCGTCAAAGATGGAAGATAATAGTCCGGAGCGATCACGCTCACCCACGACCAGTCTAGTTAACGGGACGACAAGATATACAATACAAACTTTAAAAAAAACAGCTACCCTTTCAATTCGAGACCCGAGGATTTCCATAATCGTCTCTCTTGTTTATTTAAGTATTAATATACTCCTTTTAAGCATATGTAAACAAAATATAAAAATGTCCCACCTAATGAGTGTTTTACACGCCGACGAGCGTCGTGACCCGAATAACAAGTGACAAACGAGTATGAATTATTACAAAGAATGTACTTAGTTGGTTTTTCACTTTACACATAGCATAAACAGAAGGGCTTTTGTGTCACGCAAGGGATATGGGCGTGTAAATATAGTTATATGCTATCTTCAGTTTTAATAGTTCCCACAGCTGGGACTTGTATACAGACGGTAATACCTATTATGACGTATATATTAATAATGGGGTTTAATATGATAAAAATTGATAACGCGATTTTTATACCTGCACGTCGTAGATTTTCTTATAATTTAATAACTTACCTGAATCTAGATTTAAGCAGAAGTAAATAGGGATCGAACGACATACTTAGCTACTTAACTTTAATCAGTGTTCTTAGTTTGTACTTATGTATGTGTACATTCAAAATATATTAAGACTGAACAAAAATTATGATATGAGCGGGACTTGAACAGGAAGTCATAGTGTTTCGTGCCGCTTTAACCAAAGTTTGTTTTTAATTACTAATTAGATATATAATACAAAAAAATGCCCAAGTGCGAGCCGGATTCGAAAAGTTCCCAACCATTGACCAAGTGTATACATTTGATATTGTAACCTTTTTAAATCACTTTAATGCGTGTAACCATTGATTGATATCGAGCAAATTTAAGAGGAAATATATAAAATTTTCATGCAAGTTAATAAATATAATAAATGTTTAATAATCATTTTATTTTGTTCATAATATTTGTTATTAAAGCTGCAATGGAAACACGTCGTTTATGAAAAAGTCTATCTGTAGCGGTTCTTGAGAAACAGTCTCGTGTGAGGTACCCAATTTTTCGCTATAGGGTTCCTTTCTTACACTTTGTGTACAAATTACAAAACCCAAAAAGCAACACTTTGTACAGGTACGACTACATTTGACAGACCCCTAACAATAGACCTTGAACAAGTGCGCTGATGTAGCCGTACATTTTTAACGCGTCTCTGTGGACCCTGACGAAATAATGTTTGCTGAACTTCGCAAAGTGTTTTTTAAGTATTCAAGTGCTTTGCATAACTTTACCACTTAGCGAATACAGCTTTTGGCACACAAACTTATAAATGAATAGTTCGTTACTATCTATACCTTCAGAGTTTAATACATTGTTTATTTTTTTCAAAACACAATGAAATACTGACACATATTAAATCATAATTTAAATAAGTTAGTTAAAATTTAAATAAATTTCAAAGATAAGAATTCGGTTTACTTTTACTTAAATAAAAAAAAACAGACACACGAAATGTATTTTAATATAAAGAAATACATTTGAAAAATTTATTATTTTTTACATGTTATTGCACACGAAGGCACTATATAAAAAAAATCTACTCGGTCAGGACTTGAACGCATAGTTTAAACTATACTTTAAACTAGAATTTTCCTTATTATTTTTTCTATTAATTTGACTATTATTTTTAAACAACTTTGGTTACACCATATATATAACTAAAGAAAGTAAATACTGTCTGTAGTTTACGCTAGTTTATTTAAACGTGTGCTACGTTTAAATAAAACACTTTAACGGTTTAAAACGCGATATATATTAGTTAATTTGACTTGACTTATTTGAGAACGTGTTCGAGGGGAGACTCCCCGTGACCACGGCTGCTGCAAAGTATCCGAAACGTCGGACCGTAGTTAAAAATAATTCTCAATCAAGTTTAACTAAAATATATCGCGTTTTGAACCGTTAAAGTGCTTTGTTTGAAAGTATGATGTACATTGCGATGTTAGTAGCTGCCCTGGTAACTCTATACTAATTATGCTGGTCTCAAGTGGCAAGACGCGCCTCACATAAAAGTGTAAAGGAAGTGATGAGTACTCGTAAGACGGATGAACTCTTTGTCATTTCCTTCGAATAACTACCTTTGACACGTTTGAAGGCAAGATGTTTATTAAAACAACTTATAGTAGCAAAGAATGCTTTGATGCTTCAAAAACGTCTGTAGTTTACCCGAGTAGTAAGCATTTTAACGATTTAAAACGATTCCGTAGAAGTTGGTATTTGGTTTGAAACAGATGGCGCTAGCGTAATAGTTTTTACTTTGACATTAGAGATACCCTCCATCTTTAGTCACCCCGTGACCACGGCTGCTGCATCCGAAGCATCCAAAATCTCGGACCTTAGTTTAAAAATATATCGCGTTTTAAGCCGTTAAAATGTTTTATTTCAATGTGTACTACTCGTGTAAACTACAGACAGTATCAGCTACAGTTTCTTAGACAACAACAACAAGGTTTTAAACTTCTAACGTTTTAAGAATACGAACTATTAACACATAAACATACAATTAAAAGTGGTATATATTTCCTTCCGCCGACTATACGCTCTCGATCGAGATTATTCCATTAGGTTGTAATGAATATTGGAAACGGTTTCGAGCAACCTTCAGAACGTAATGTGGCATAAAAATGCGGCACTGTTACTTCCTCTGCTTGAGCAAATAAATAACTCAACTGTATTTATTTTCTAAACACAAAAGTGTTTTAGGATACTGTGTGATATTTCTAACTAATGGCCAAAGTTTGGTACACATTTGATAGTTATCTAACTTTTCATTGGGCTTGTTAGTTTAATAGCATATAGGTCGTGGGTGCGATCCCCACCGAGTCCCACATGTTTCTAATTCTAAAAAATGTTGCCTATAAATCTTTATAATGTACTTTGTTTATTAATATATCTTATATGAGCAAATCTCAACATGCGATTTACAATATCGCGACTTTCGCTTGTTTTATAAAAAAAAACATCTAGATATTTCAAGGAACATATGATCCTGCTAGAAGCAAAGTGCCTATTACTTCATACAACAGTATATGATTTTACATAAAAAGGAGAAAAAATGCGTAATTAACTTAGGTGAAAATTTATTTGTACTATCATCTGAGTAAAAAATATGTTAACAGTTTTCGGTCGCTGTGCTCGTGTAGATAAACATTTTTAGACTTTAATAATATTAAAAAATAATAATAATTCAAGTCATAAAAATGCAGTTAGGCTACTTTGCCTCTAGGGTCCTCATATTATGTTCATGGGGTTTAGAATCTAATACAGCACTTGTCATAGCAAACTATATGTGATACATTTGAGCCAGAACACTTTAGAAGCTCGATACTGTGAAGGCCGACGCAGCGGAGCAGTGTAACAAAAATTTGCGATTCAATGAGCCATCCCTGTCACTGCCGGAGACATATTGTTATTGCAACATCTAACAAGGTTTAATCTGCTTGTGAAACGTCGGAATAAAGGGTGAATTGTTCGTAATGAGCGTCTAACAGTGCTAAATTCATCAGCGAGAAGTTTAATGAAAATTTTTCGTTGTTGGGCACAAAATAATTCAACTCTTGTTGTATATTAAAAGCTTTTGAATGGCTGGTCGTCGTAGTAATAACAATATTGAACTAATATCGTATGGGTGTTAAGCCCTTATTTGTGAGAAACCATTATAATTTGATTACTTACGTGATATTAAATAAAAGAAAATTTTTGCCTATTAATAATATTGATTGCCTACTTAAGATACATGAAATACGATAATTTTACTGATTCACTACTAGACGAAAGAATTACTATTTTAAATTTCAATAGACTTTTCACAAATCATAGAAATGTAGGTAAGTATAAGCAAGGTACTTTAAAGAGTTGTAAAAAGTAACACAAATAAAATATCGATTTGAAGATACCACAAAAGTAGTCGGTTACAGAATTAGCTCTTATTAGCCACTAAATAAACAAACAATCCTCTGATCTAAACCACGTGGCACATAAACAAATTCATAGTCAATTATTCACTTCACTAACGCCATTAGAATCTATTTTTGTTAAGATTGAACATAGAATCAAACGTCATTTGTAGTTTTCAACTGAATTAAGTGGTCTACAATTTGTCATTTTGAGATCATATAGAAAAGATGATAATTGATTGATTGTTTTAAAAACGAAATGCTTAAGAATTGCTAGTTAATTCATAATACATACACATTAAAATATTAACAGTTATTGAATCACAATTTTAAAACGTGATAATTATATCTTATAAATGAATTAGGTAGGTATATACTATAATCCTTAGCGCGTATATGTATGTTAAAGAGTGTTTTTCTTTCCTTGGAAATATGACATTAATAATACAGAGGCAAAATATGACTTTTCCAAGTAAACACAAAGACTTTATTAACCTCATATCATCTTAAAATAGAATCAACTTATCCAATTATATTAGACGTCTGTTCAAAGATGAAGAAGGACCAGTTGATCCACAACTAACTGACCCTTATCTCTGAGTTCATTTTCCTAAGACATGTGAAGTTTTTCTCGTGACTCAATAACATTGACACAGTCGCCTTGCAAACTTGATCTACTAGTTCTTTTCAATTCAATCAACTTGTGACGTATCCCATCTATCGAAGTAAATTTATTAAAGTGTTTCTATTACGTTTCCAAAATACAGAAAATGCAAAAGATAAAATGCTAAAAGAATTGGCAATACATTTAAGTAACTAAAAGGCTGAATAAAGTAAGTAGAAGTAAATTATGTTTCAAAAATGATATTACAGACATTGTACATGGACAGAAAATTTACATTTACGAGAATTAATTTGTTTATGTGATTAATCTTAGACTTTTTTCACCGGAACTCTCACTCCTTACTCAGCCTAATAAACAAATCACTGTCTGCGCGATAGTATATCGAAATTGCCAATAAATCGAAACGTTATCACACATTACTTAAGGGACCAATAGTTCTCCCCTGTGTGGCCCCTTTGGTATTACACTATTCGAACCTATTGTTGCATTAAAGGGCTCTCCTCCCCTCGTCAAACGTGAGGAGTACAAAGGTTTTGAACAACCCAACTTTACTATTATTATGCTGGAGTAATAAAAAAATAAACTGATGCTCACATTGTTGAATGCTGCACTGAGAATTAAAATGTAACGCTGAAGGATCGAGGGTGACAGTTTGTATGAGCTGGTAATAGCGTTAGTAATATTCAGGGCTTCCAATGTTATTTTTGTTAGTTGTATTTATAACGGATTTGTGAGAGCATTATAAAACCGTTGCATTTGAATATGTTTATCACGCACCCGTTTCAATCTGTTAATAATCTTTACTTTAAACATATATACAAAAACTTAAGAAATTAATGAAATTTTATTTAAACGAAACAAAGAGTTTTAAATCGCATACCGCATTATTTATTTTTAATAATAGTTGAAAACAACTAAATTTAAAAGTTTGCTACAAAGTTTGGTGTAAAGAAATAAGTAAATACTATCTTAGTAATCTAAAATAAATCGTATATGCGTGTATAGTATCACAGATATATTTTTTTAAATTGGCTAAATGTTTGAAGACCTTAATATTTTTTTTCGTGTAATTGCACATGATGGCACGATAAAGATTAAAAATCGAAAATAAATTTTAACTTGGGTAGGACTCTTACTTATATCGTCAGTGTTCCGTGCTGTTGCTCAAACCTAGCTACCGAGTCCCGAGTCGTCGAATACTTTCTTATTGATACATGCACCTCTCGCGCAATGTAATTTCAACCTTAGTACTAAATTAGTAAAATGTTAATAAATTAAAAATCTATTATAAATGGAGAAAATGTTCGACTCGAATGTTAGTAATAAATTTCAAGCTTCCCAGTTAGCTCTACTTACAAGTATATGAAGCTAATTTTTTTTTTACATTTTATATAAGTTTTATCACTTTAAAATGCCATGCAATAATACAGCTGTCTGTTCTATTAACAAAGTACTATTATACCCACTCGTAATAAGCACGTCTTGTCCTTGACATTGGATGATTGGCAATAGATAACAATTGCCTATTACTTTTCCCTTAAAAGAATCTATTATCTAATGGGCAATTGTTAGAGGTATGCGAACTTCGGACCTGTATTATTTGAATCCTTCAAGAATAACGTTTAATAAGAAGTATAGAATAGGAATGTTAATTTTACCTTTAGAAAAAGTAGAAAATTTAAAGATAACTTTAATCTGGATCTAGTTCACGTCTTCTACTTTTGTCAATACTGATATAATTGGAAACCTCTGAAATTCTTCAAAGTATTAAGGGAAAGTACAATATAAAAAACAGTTTCTGTAAGATTAGAAATGTAATTAAAACAAAAAAAGGAAGAGGTAATTGTTTTATTGTGGTAAGAATTACTTTTTCATATTGTTTTAAAAATATTTATTATATGAGTTTCTCTGTAATATGTAGTAGAACGCATTAAAACAAAGCCTGTTTTAACGGTTTAAATATATATATAAGTTAATTTTAATTGAAAGAATTTTAAACCGTTGAAAGTGTTTTAGTTAAGGACTTATCAATTAAGAAAAAAGTACAACAAAGTCATCGATTTATAGTCTAAAGAATACGTTAAAAATAGTTTATTTGTTTATTCTAAGGCACCTAGAAATAATTCGAAGTTCAATGTTGGATGAGAAGTAAATTTTAAACGCACAGTGGTTGAGCGAAGAAAAACAGATGCTCTTTAAATAAACGTATTTTTCTCACCTTTGCACGAGAATTTGAAAGACTTACTGACGTTACTAGTTTCTTTTTAAAGAAAATACTATGTAGGTACTTTGCAACAAATATTCTGGGCTTATATGCTGTTTTTTTATTGTAGTAGGTAGTAGATAACAATATGCAGAACGATTATTTTTACAATATTGATGAAAAACGCATTTAAAAATAATACTTATGGCGTATTATATTTTAAAACATGTTATTTTATATAAAATACCCTGTATAATAATTGTACTTCCATATTTTGATTAAATAATGAAAACATAATCGTGTTCAAAAGAACTCATTTAAAACCCTACAAAAATGGCGCTTATTTATATAATATAAGACTTTTCTCAAAACAAAAGCAAACTTCAGTGGATCCTTAGCTTTACGCCGTAGTCCTTGTACGTTATCAAAACGTAAATATTTGTTTTGCGTCTTATTCGTACATTCGTTCGATATAAACAATAAAATTACGATTTATTACATAACTATCGCGTGTAAGAGACAATTATTTACCTTATAATGACGGAGAATCCATTATTTTATGAATAGTAGACGCGGGAACACACGAGAGGTAACGACACGCCCGGCGCGTTCGACGATTCCAAAGCGACTGACTACCTGTTCCCAGCTGTGGGAAGGGGTGTGTGGGAAAAGGCTTACGGTTAAAATGAAAATACGATCGAATGATTGCCGATTTTCAATAACGCTCCGTTGAAAGCCTTTTTCCATTGAAACAACTCTTGAATGAAAAATGGAGTTGGATTTCCTGCGCTGTTTCGAGTGGATTTTTAAATCGAATTAAGCCGCAGTGTTTTCGCTCGGCTCTATTTTATTAATACATACAAAATAGTACAGAATACTGTTTGTAGTTTACGCGAGTAGTACACAATTAAATAAATAACTTTTACGTTTTAAACCGCGATATATATTGGTATTAGAATTGCGCGCTGTAGTTAAAATAAGTTTAACTAATATATATCGTCATAAACCATTAAAGTGTTTATTAAACTTTACACTACACTACTACTTACTGCTACTAGTTTATATGTTTTAAAAATTATAATTTTATTAGCAACTCTCTTAACACTCATTTTGCTCGAACTTTTTTGAAAGCAATATTTTTTTATAGCGCATAAAGCATCCGGTACATAAAAAAACATGTTTTGTTTATATTTTAAGCCATAGATAAGATTCAATGTGAATTGTGTTCATTATCAAATTATTACGAAATTGCAAGTGTGTAAGACTGACCGTATTCATTGTGTAAGTGAAAGAAATATTAGTATTACATGCTATTTAATTAATTAAGAATAAGTTGTTTTAGCTTAATCTTTGTACTTTAAAGCGGTTTTGTCTTTCGAGACTTGCTTTAAACATAAAAGTAACAATAAGCAAGGTAGGTACGTAGATATAAATTAGATTATTTATTAAATTACCATAAGAAGATAAATCATGAGTAAAATAATATTAATGATAAAGATTACAATCGATTATTTAAGATAAGCATTACAAAAAGCAACAAATTGTAATAAAATATATCGCGTCGATACCTATTGCTTACATTAAAAAAATTCTTAGATACTTCAGTGTTGTGCTGCCAAAGTGCATAGATTTGGGTTGTGTTAAATAATACACAATTTTAGCTTTTAAGTCTGCAGGCTTTGTTGTGTTTTCCTAAAGTAAGATTATTATTCGTATTATTTACACTGGTGAAAAATCTCTAACTAGTATTCAAATCTATGATGCAATCAGTCACAAAAGATCCAAATCTCAAAGGTCATTAAAGATTATAATTAAAGGATGACTTAGCAGTTTCTAACAAATGTTTTGATTGGAATAATCGTAATAATATTATCTAACAGATTAACAAGAGTATATTATAATGTGGCAAATGTTACAGTTCAGTCTTTAATCGTCTAAGCCTCGATATAGTTTCTCGGGAAGGATATATTAAAATTGGGTATGATTATTGTTTAATTGGTTTATTTTTTCGCGGAGACTAATTTATAATAATTTATTTGGATGTAAAATGTATTTTAACTTGAAGACAGTTTATGACTAGAACCCGTTCCACGTTCGAAGCAGTTGCTCACACACGTTGGGACACGATCGCTCAACTGATTTACTACAACCAAGCTATGGTGTCCCATACGAATTTTTCAATCCGTTTATTCTAAAACCGAATATCACTTTATAAATAAGTCGTTTAGTTTTAACTTTTTCTCTAGCATAATATAATACAAATATTCATAAATCGCCATTTTTTTTAAATATGTGAGTTACATATTAACTATATAATTAATTTGGTTAGAATATTCTCACCTAAATATCTGAATTTTTAGGATGTTCGTGGCACTCTTCTCTGTAGTAGTACTTTGTGTACTCACCTGGGTTTACTTCCAATGGTCGAAAGTGAAAAATTACTGGGCGGAACGTGGTGTGCCCCATGTACCACCACACCCATTCTTTGGGAGTCTAGACTTCTTGCAACGTAAGAATTTTGTAAGTATATAGGCAATGTATTATTATTATTTTATGGACAGCTAATAATCAACGGGTCGTGGGCATCAAATCACAGCGACTCCAACATTTTTCAAGCAATTTATAATTTTTCTGAAAATCTGGATATTAAATGGGTGGTAGGATAACCAATTCCCTCCGGCCATGAACCACCGTCGATAGATGAAAAGCCGACAAGTTAAATTACATTTCGGTTTCAGTGTGTACATTTCAAAATATCCAAAGCTAAAATAGGTCGACAACTCATGTTTTTTAGACGCTATAGGCTAGTCTATCCTCCTCTATCATAAAGAAAAATACTTTGAATGTTTTCCAATAAAATAACTAAATGGAATGAGATAAGCAACGTTAAGCGATGTTTTTTGGTTTATTATACATATATTATTTGAATTTCTTATTTCACTATGGCATACTGTAATTTGGGTCAATAATGTAAACAGCATTTACGCGCGCCCTTTTCGGCCAATCCTTGAAATTAAAAGGAATGTGAGTTGTGTAACGTGTTACTAATGGTACCTGGAACTTTTTGCGTTGCGTTTAATGTGTACAAAAAAATCTTTAAAAAATATGTTAATGTTATATTAAAAAACTACGATTTGCGTATATTTTTTGACCCAACATGATATTTAAAATTTAACCGCTCAAATAAACATAAACTGTAATTAATTATATAAACTTGTATATTAAACAAAAACTTAACATGTTATTTAAATAAAACACTTCAACGGTTTAAAACGCGATAGATTTTAGTTAATCTTGTTTAAAAAATATTTTCAACTATGGCTCGCCGTTTCGGATGCTTTGCAGCAGCCCGGGGAGACGTGGAATTTTCCTAGATTAATTAATTAAGTCTAGATTACTCAAATATTCTTTCTCTGTTATAGGGAACATGGATGATTGAGATGTTACGACAGTTTAGGACCCCATATATCGGTATCTGGTTATTCTGGAGACCAGCTCTCATAATCAACTCACCTGAGATCGCAAGGAACGTGCTGGTGAAAGATTTCGGAAGTTTCCGAAATAGATTCGTCTCGGCAGGTCCCGGGGATCCTATTGGTCACAACTTGCTAACTACTGATGTAAGAAAATTTTAGATTTTTTTATTATTAATTTTTAATTAGGGAATAATGCATTACCTAGAATACGTTTGAATACCAGTGCAGGTGTAAATTGTTGGGTAAAAATTCAAAGTCGTGCAGGAATACACTGCAGCTCAATCGTTAGATCAAGACGAAACGATGTCGTCGTGGGTTCGATAACCGAACGTTGTGTAAATTTTTTGAAATCTAAAATTCATTCTTTGTTAAATAATTGTACGACACGTGTTGGACTAGATTTGACATCTCAGGGTAATATTTCCATTTATTGTTAGAAGAATCCTGCGCTTAAAGTTAAGGATGGCAAACGTTTCAATATAAAATATTTATAATTAAATTGCAAAAATAAAGATTATTATAATTGCAGGATCCACTTTGGTCATCAATTCGTCGCCGGCTTACGAGTATCTTCACAGCATCCAAGCTTAGGGCCTTGCAAAACCTCTTCCAAACGAAATCCAAGGAATTGGTGCAACGTATTGACAACACGAAAGACAAAACCAAGATTAGTGTTAGGGTAAGTAGCGTTATTCAGCTAATAATCTGTACTTAATATATAAAGGTTAAGAATTTGTATGTTTTTTTGAAAGTGCTAATCTCAGAAACTACAGGTTCAAATTAGAAAATATTTTTTTATGTTGGTTAGAACATATCTCGAGAAAAGTTATAGGTTATAAAACATCACGCTGTGGCTAGTAGAAGTAGAAATGTAGAATTATTCATCTTTGAAAGTTTCCATTTCGTGCGCTGCAAAAACGATTCAAGTTACCTAGAAATTTGTATGAAAGAATAATTATTAAATGATCTAAAAATGTCCGGGACAGTATATGTCTATCATTTTGGATTAATTTGCAAGAACGTCGGAATCAGAACGTCGGGTCGAGAGCGACGGGACGTGACCGATGTCATAGGTACCAGCTATAACTTATATATCGATAAAGAGGGGGTTTGCAAAAAAAAATTTGGATACACAAAATAACTATTTTACATGGACGAAGTCTCTGTCACAGCTAGTCACAGGATAATCTACTACAGTGTATAAAGTGGATTCTACTTGATACAATACCGTTTAGGAAGTTATGGCCAAAGTATGCTTGACTATCAGTGTTTATCATAAACAAACTGACAAACAAGAGTTAGAAAGAATTAAGCGTTTAGTTTATCTTTCCAATAAGTGCCAGATGCCGGCTAAAAATTGATATGAGAACAGTGCTAAGCAGTGTCGCAGTGATAAGAATTCGGATTTAACCAGTAACACCAACAACAATATTTACGGCGGAATGACATAAGAAGTTTTTTTATTCGCTTTAATATAACATAAAAATAAGTATGTAAAATAGGATTATTTGCTCTATTTCATTGTTTAGCAAATTAATGAAAGCTGAAATGTTCTCTGTTTGTCAACAGCGAAAACTAACCTCGAACTTCACTTTGTTGGCTAGAGTTAGTTTCGCACAAAGAAGACGAAATTTATTAACACTCATATAGCTTTATATCATGTGTCCGTTGTACTGATCGGTTCTTGTACAGGCATCAGACTTTTGTGCCATGCCGTAAATTGCTTCCGTTGGAGCAGTTGATTGTTACCGTGGGATTTGATTTTAACAATTAGGCTAGAAGGGCGGTCTACTATCCAAAAAAATATATATCTCAATTGTTTTGGCTTTTACAAGCGCAAATGAGAATGGTAATTTGAAAGATCTCGAATTCCATTTTTGAAAAAAAATTTGGCCATTGACTGTTTTGATATATAAAATAATTTGAAATAATCAGGTAGTCCCTGATTATTTCAAATTATAATTTAAAAATCGAAAATAAATTGAAAAAAAAAATCGACTCGGGCAGGACTTGAACCGGCATCGTCAGTGTTCTGTGTTGCTCTAATCAGGGACAATAAAACTGTTTAAAATACAGCTCTTCAAAAACCCATAACTGACTAAGATCGAATAAGTTTTTATTATATTAAGTTAGGTTAGAAAATTTGTTGAGGAGGGCTATAAAATGTCGCGACCAAGAAGAGTGAAGATACAATTGAAAATCCGGAAGATACGGGGAAAATTGTTCATCTTTATGGGTGCTTTATTGTGCGCTGTGAAAACGGTTCAAGATTCCCAAGAATTATGTATGAAACAATGATTCCTCTTTAAATTATCTTTAAAAAAGTCCACGACGTATACATAGACAAGGGACTCGAAAGACGTCGTTGGTACCAGCTATAATTTATAAAGATGAGGAGGTTTGCAAGAACAAATGTTGATGCTTAAAATAACCGTACGAACGCGTACGAAGTCACAGGCATAACAAGTGGATCTAATAAAATTGAAAGTCATGATTACAAAGAAATTCAATATAATATTGGGGGAGAGTCAGTAATTAATAATCACTTCAAATATATAGCGAGATTATGTTATGACACATAAATTACCGGATAAAAGCAGATAAAAACCAACCAAGAGCGAGTCGGTCTCTCATAAAAAGGGTTCCGTACAATTGACTAGAAACACAAATGTTCTATTGTAACCATTTAATACTTTTAAAAACCTATTATGGATATATCGTTTAGATTATAGTGATCGCCTGAACAAGTAAGCAATTAAGTTTAAAAAGAATAGTAATCTATGCTAATGTTATAAAGCTGCAGATTTTGTTTCTTTGTTTGCACGTGCTAACCTCAGGAACTACTGGTTTGAATTTAAAAAATATTCTTGTATCAGAGAATTAATCGAGGAAGGGTTTAAGCTATACATAAGCTGCAAGCAACAGGAGCGAAAAAACAGTGGGAAATGTGAAACGAACGGGGAAACCTATTCATTTTTTATGCGAACGACGCCGTGGGCAACACCTATGATTGATCTTTATCGATTATCCTTATGAGGGGATGATTTGCACGCCAAAAAACCTAATCTACGCGGGCGAAGTCGCTGACACAGCTAGTATAATATATAACTCATGCCCTTTCCAGATGCTTTGCACGGACTACACTTCAGATGTCGTGGCAACCGCATCGTTCGGTGTCACCACGAATGCGACCCTCGGGGGCGAAGACGCCATGAGAACTGTCACCAAGGCTTTTATGGAGTTCACTTTTCTCAGAGGTCTTAGCTGGAGCGCCATTTTCTTCTTTCCGGAAGTAGCAGAATTCTTCAGGTACACATGAAATATTACGAGTATATTTATTATTAATATTTATTGCATTAGTCTACTTGTTTTGTCTGCAGTTTATGCGAGTAATACACATTTAAATAAAACTCTTTTTACGGCTTCGTAGCAAGGAAAAGCTTTTGAAATGGGCCGTAGTTAATTAAGTTATATATTTCGCGACTTAAATCGTTAAGTGTTTTGTTCAGTCTACTTTGATTACATTAAATGTGTACAAATAAATGGCAACTAAGGTTTTTATCATATTTGAATTTTGTTTAAATATAAATAATATTTGAATGAAATTGTTTAGGAACTACATAGTAATAATATTGTTAAATAGCAAAAAATAATTAAATAAGTTTATTAAAATCTTAAACTGTAAAATAAATGACAGTGAAGTGGGACGAACACCTGTGTCTGCCCAACGGAAATAAAATAACGTTTCACGGGGATTAAAACCCAGAACCTCTCGTGCTTATAATCTTAACTTAAAAAAAGTAATAGTTGAAAAGATTTAATACAAAGGATACTGTGAACTTGCACTCCAATTGCTTTGACAAAAAAAATGCAAAATTAACCAAAAAATTTCATGACACCATTTTTTACCTATTTTTTAAATTTCGCAGATTCAAAATGTTCCCCAAATGGTCTACTGACTTCTTTAAGAAAATTTACCTGTCCGTCGCAAAGCAGAGAAAGGAACAGAATAAAGGAAACAGTGCACCTAAAGATCTTCTCGATGCTCTGATAAACCTTAAAGAAGCTGGTGAAGGTGAAGAAAGTGAAGGTACGTTTCTCAAACATTTTGCACATGGGACTAGTATAAATGTAAACAATGTTTTGGTAAAGCAAAACTGTAGTTAACGCGAATCGTACACATTTAAATACACTTTAAAGGTTTAAAACGCGATACATATTAGTTAAACTGCAGAATTCTGCACGAAATTTTAATCGCGTTTCTGTTTCAATTTATGCATTTCTGAATATCCAAAGCCAAAATTGGTCCACAGAGCTCTTTTGTAGATGTTACATGGCTGGGATATATTGCTTTCAATCAAGTGAACTCTATGCCTGTCTGTTTTCCTCTACCATAAAAAAATTACCTTAGTAATCATGATTGTTTTTATAGGATTGTCAGATGACACAATAGTGGCTCAAGCTGTGGCTTTCCTGTTTGCTGGCTATGAAACGTCAGGCTCGGCTTTAGCTTACTCTCTCTATGAACTAGCATATCATCAGGATATACAGGTATCAATATTATGGTTTTTGTTAGGACTCAAATTGATAATACAAAATATATTTATAACAATTTATATTTGCTCAATAATGTTTTCCTTTAATACTGTCTATAGTTTACGCGAGTAGTACACATTTAAATAAAACACTTTAACGGTTTAGAACGCGATATATTAGTTAAACTTATTTGAAAATGATTTTTAACTTCCGACGTTTCGGATCAGTTTTTAGGCTGGGAAAATATGAACAAGGTAAAAGTAGGCGGCTTAAGGATTGTTTCGAGTCGCGGGATATAGTCAAATATCTACTACTAAATAAATCTAAATGCAATATCGACGCAATACGATTTTTTTCAGACCAAACTCCTATTCAGTCTAAGTACTTAAAAGAACTGCGCGACGAACTTAAAAAGCGTCAGAATAATGGGGAACAGAACTTACGTATTAAGTACATTAAAAGTATCCCTAGAATTATACGAAATGATAATTCAAAAAACTAAATACGCCTAACATTTCGATAGATAAAAATACCTACCAATTAATTAGTGCCTACGATTCTCTGTCTTTTACGTCTAGACGTTCGCTTAAGATTTTTTACGCCAACATAAGAAGTATTCGAAACAAACTTGATGAAATTAAATGTATATTGCGAAGTATATCACCTACTGTTCATGTATTAATACTAACGGAAACGTGGATATCATCTAACTTTGAAGCTGAGCACGTACAAATAGCAAATTACTTGCACATTTATAACCTACGAACTGATAAAAAAGGAGGAGGTATATCTATGTTTGTCCACTCCAGCCTAAAGTATACTGTTCGACTAAACAATTACGAGCATGGCAGTAACTTTTTATGGATACATTTGGAGAAATACGCACTGAATATCGGTGGTGTATATAAGCCGCCCGACTCTAATTAAAAGAACTTCATGGAAATATATTCATCTCAATATTTAGAAACACAGAAGCGTTCGCTGGTATTTGGCGACTTTAATTTTAACATTTTATCTAATGACCGAGAAAACATCGACTACTCAAGGATGGTAAATGAAGCGGGATTCGATTTTATTAACAAACTAAACAAAGAACACAGCACACGTATTACTAAAGACACTAGAAGCATTATAGATCATGTTTATACTAATATTCCTAACATATATTTTCATATGGCCTTAGTCAATTCATCGTTAAGTGACCATAAACAAATAATTTTAGAACTTAAGAAACAAAAGCATAGAAAACCAGGAAAAATCGAATACAAAAGTGTGAACTACGAAAAATTAAGAGAAAATTTATTTTTTATTTCAACAAGAATACACGATGCAGATACATATGATAAATTAGAGAATATACTAATAGATGAAATTAAGAAAAATACGGAAACCAAATATAAAGTATTGAACCCCCCACAGAAAGATTGGATAAAAAAAGAAATACTGGATGGAATTAATAAACGTAATCAGTTATGGAATGAACTATGTGAAAAGAAACAGAAACAGAATTATAAAGAAGTAGAAGATAAATATAATGAAGTTAAAGACAACCTGCAAACTTTGATAAAGCGAGAAAAAAAGAGATATTTTTTTAATGAATTTAATGCTCGTAGACACAAACCAAAAAAGATGTGGCAATTAATCAATGATTTGGTACATAATAAAATTAGAACAGAATTCGGTCCCGTAAAACTTTCTATCAATAATAATAATATAACCGATGGCATTGGTATCTGTGAAGCGTTTAATAGTTATTTTTCATCAATAGGATCATTGTTGGCAAGTCGTATTAGGGGTAACTCTCAACATTCTACTTATGACTACACTTTGTCTAATGCAACATCTAATAAACTAGAATATTTTAAACCATGTTCTCAATCAGAAATATCTAATATAATTGATGATCTTGATAGCAATAGTAGCTCCGCATATGATGGCATTACTACAAAATCGATTAAATGTTGCAAGAACATTATAGTACCTACTTTAACACTCTGTATAAATAATAGTTTAGCGCAGGGCATTTTTCCAGATAAACTCAAAATAGCTAAGGTCTCCCCAATCTATAAAAATGGTGTTAGAAGTGACCCTAGTAACTACCGACCGATTTCAGTGTTGCCTGTAATATCTAAAATTTATGAACGGATACTCCACACCCGACTACTTGGCTATTTAAATGATAGACAGTTCTTATACGACGGTCAATATGGATTTCGCCCAAGATCTAGTACACTTAATGCAACAATTGATCTTGTAACTAAAATAAGTGAAAGCATTGACAATAAGCAGATAGCTTTTGGTATATTTATAGATTTGAAAAAGGCTTTCGATACAATCAGCCATTCGGTCCTTTTAGAAAAGTTAAGTCATATATTAGGAGGCACGGCTCATAAGATATTTGAATCATATTTAAGTAACAGGCAGCAACTAGTAAAAATTAACAAATACGAAAGTAGCCTGACTAAAGTCATGTGTGGTATTCCCCAAGGATCCATCTTAGGACCCTTGTTATTTTTGGTCTATATCAATGATATCAGTAAAATAGGCCTCAAAGGTAATATTTCTTTATATGCCGACGACACCTGTCTGTTTTACTTTCGTCATAGTATAGATAGAATTATAAATGAAACTCAAAATGATCTAAACATATTATCACGCTGGCTAAAATCTAATCTTCTAACTGTAAATATTGAAAAAACGTCCTACATGATTTTTTCTGCAAAAAATAAAAAAATACCATGTTTTGAACCACCTAAGATTGACAAAGTAACTATTAAGAGATCTAATCAGGAGAGATACCTTGGACTTATTTTAGATAATAGACTTACGTGGAAAGCTCACATTGACCATATACGATCAAAGATATACCCGCTGATTGGGTTAGTGAAAAAAATATCCAAATGTATTCCCCATAAGGCTAAATATATTATATATAATGCTCTAGTCAAACCGCATTTAGACTATCTTATTCCAGTGTGGGGATGTGCAGCAAAGACCAACTTAAAACCTATAGTAACATGTCAATCAAAAATCATAAAATCTTTGTTTAATTATAAAACACTAACTTCTACTAAAAAGGTTTATGAAAATACAAAATTATTTAACATTTCTCAACTATTTACCTATCATACATGCATTCACATTCATAAAATTATCACACATAGCACACACAGTCAAACAACTTTTACGAAGAAAAATCACAGATACCAAACCAGAAATAAACACAACTTGTCACTACCCCAACCCCGAACTAATTACGGTAAAAATAGTTTAAGATTTACGGTTGCTGATCTGTACAATAAGTTACCTGAAAGTTTAAAAAACGCCCAGTATAGCTATAAACATCTTCAAGAAATCATTAAAGTTCCATATTTTAGAAAAAGTATAAGTGAATAATAAGCATGTTTTTATTATATATCACTGTTTAGTTTAATTAAAGTCCGATGCATGTAAACACATTTAAGTTTAAGTATTAATGTTTTCTCATTAAGTGAATATGTATATTCTTTGAGAAAATAAATTCTTTAAACCTACGTTTCGGATGCTTTGCAGCAGCCGTGGTCACGGGGAGACTAAAGATGATGTCTCTGACGTCAAAGTAAAAATTGCAATGATTGCCAATCACTACATTCGCTGACCAGCCAAAAATCCTCGCAAAGGAGAGTCGATTTTTTCTAAGATTAGTACGCGTAGCAATTGAAATCAAAAAACACCGAAATTTTAATAGGGAGGACGGCCTCAAATTATGAAACACCTGGGATCCATATTAAAAATTCTGGATCCCAATAAACAGCATACAGGGCAAACGCGAAGACACCGTTAGTCAATTTTGTAAGTTTCGCCAAATACCAACATCGAGGAAGCAGAGGGCGCTAGTGTAGCAATAGTTACTTTGACGTCAGAGACATCTTTTGTCTTCCCGTGATCACGGCTGCTGCAAAGCATCTGAAACGTCGGGCCGATGTTAAAAATCATTTTCAAATAAGTGTAACTAATATATCGCGTTTTAAACCGTTAAAGTGTTGTATTTAAATGTTTATCGTCTAATCCTTATCTTTATCTTTACAGGAGAAATTATACCAAGAATTAATAGAGGCAAAGGCCAGAAGTAACAGCGATAGCTTAGATATAAACGTACTTTCCGATTTGACTTACCTGAATTGCGTAATTAAAGGTAAGAAATGTCTAATAATAAATCAACATTTTGCAACTAATAGCAATAGATTAATAACAATACTAGATACCAAAATCGGGACACATGCACTTGAATATCCTAAGGAAACGATTGATCAATTATTATTTATTGATAATGTACGTAATCTAGTGTTATATCTTTCTGATTATACTATGAATACCTATACCTACCTACAATTCACCTTTGCTCGCGTTATTCTATAAAGAATACAATCATATTCCACCAATACCTCTAATAATGAGATAAGTTAAGCATAAGTATATATAATCACTACTTTACTACTAATATTATAAATGCGAAAGTAACTCTGTCTGTCTCTCCGGCTTTCATGCCGAAACTACTGAACTGATTAAAATGAAATTTGGTACACAGGTATTCTATTGCCAAAAAAGGGTTTTTAAGGGTTGAAAATGGGGATGAAATTTTGTATGGAAATTCGTGATTTTTGCTTGAAGCTAGAACAATGAAAAAATGCTGTAATGTACGTACATTACATCTTAAAAGAAATGATATATGACCGTATTAAAATATATACAAAACACTATACAAAATAAGAAATGACAAAAAAAAACAATAGCTTTGTATGTGTGTCGATGTTCAACACACATACAAATGTGTGTTGAACATCGATGCTGTTGAAGATATACTATCTTTAATGTAATTTCAGAAATCCTTCGGAAATATTCTCCAATGGGCTGGATGGACAGAGTAGCTCTTGAAGACTACAAAATTGATGATAAGCTAACGATTCCCGCGGGAACACCGATCTACGTGAACGCAATAGGCATGCAATATGATGAAAAGTACTTCCCGGAGCCAGAGAAATTTGATCCGAACAGATTCTTACCTGAAAACGAAACAGAAGATATGCAATACACTTATCTGCCCTTCGGAGAAGGTCCCAGAAATTGTATTGGTAAGTTAAGATAAATATATCATTTCTATAAACAGTCTTTAATTTGTATATTGTTTGACTATGTTATTGAACAAATATCTTTCCTTTTTTCAGGTAAAAGATTCGCTCAAATTTCTCTACGTAATGCTCTATCGACTTTGGTATTACATTACAAATTTAACCCGCTGCCAGGTGAACCAAAGCCAAATGAGATTGAGATCGACAAACTTGGTCTATTCTATGTTCCTGCGCATAATCTTCATCTAGATTTCGAAAGGCGATGATTCGTATAGCGAACAAAGCACCAGCACCAAAGATTAACCCTGGATAACCCCAAGCTATAAATTATTTCTGTACTCATTTAAGGAAAAGATAGTTTTATTTATTAAAATTAATTATAACTATTTCATCAAGGACACATGTTTTCTATTATTACAATGTAAATGAAGAATACGATAGAAGTTAGAAGTACATAATTTTATTCCAAGACGTTACTTAATAGACGGTGATGGTTAAAATATTTGACTGATATCCATTTCTCTTTATATTCCCATCTTGTATAAATATGATTTACCAATATTTTCATTCAACATTCATTTTTTATTGTATTCGTAAAGCTATTATAGCAGATAATTATATCACTGTTGTAATAATACGACAAAAAATTATAAATTATGTATCAATGTTTTTGTTTTGTTATTATTCTGACAATTATTGTAATAATACCTACTTTATCTTTGTTATCGATAGTGTAACATCTGGACGGACGGATCTTTGATCTCTTCTTATTACTAAAAATCGATACAATAATAAATACAACATTTTCGGGCTCGTTGATGTAATGGTAGTGTCTGTGGTTGGGCTATTTCGTACTTCAAGACTGGATTTGGTTGAACTAGGCAATAGGTATCCAAAACAACCTTCCATGTCCTCTAAGTCCTTCCCACCAATAGCTTACCCCTCCTGCCCGCGCACCTCACCGCATGCAGTCAAGACAGGCCTAGCAGAGTGCAGTTACCGAACACCGCGAGGGTCGTTGACATCACTTTTAATAAATTACAAGTATGTGAGGCCTGTCGAATTAATTCTATTCGATAAGTCCTTAATAATGTTTCCTTAATTTTATCTTATTCCCCTATTGCCTAATTAATTAGCCATTTTGGGTGCGAAATAGTTCGACCAATTTTTGAGGTAATCAAATTTTTCTATTTTTCAAAAAGTAACCTTAACAGCGCGTTATCAGTATGGTTAATAGTCAACGGTTCTTGGTTCGATCCCCACCAGGTCCAACGTTTTTCTAGCCAATTTGTAATTTTTATAAAACATCTGAAATCTGGATATTGAAAGGGTGGTAGGAATATCGAAATTCCGCCCGGGTCCACCGCCCACAGATGAAAAATGAGTAAATTTAATTGCGTTTCAGCAGCGTCGACAGCGCATCTTGTTGAAATGTAATTTGAACAAACCATAGACAAAAGATAACAAAGTTTGTGAGATCTTCAAGTTCTTGAAAAAAATCTTTTCGATTTTTAATAACACAAAAAAGTGTGTTACCCCACAGAAGGTATCGTCTTAGTGGCATAAAATGAGTCGTAGAACCAAATTCAACAATAACAACTACTAATTACAAGTATAATTATTATAATATTAAACCAATGTCTATGTTTATCATTAAGTGTCATCGTTCGGGATTGTTCTTATAATAATTATGAATATATTAGTAACTAGTGTTTCAGCGACTTCGTCCGCGTGAAATAGTTATTTTGGTCATCTAAATTTGTTTTTGAAAACCTCCCCTTCATCTTTATAGATTTAAACCGTTACCCACGAAGTCGGTCGCGCCTCGTCGTTCTTGCAAGCTAACCCTGAAAGATAAACATATAGTGTCGCGGACATTTTTTAGATCATTTCAATAGAAGTATTTTTTTCGTACATATCTTTTGGTATCTTGAACCGTCTTCGTAGCTACGCAACAGAAACCCAGAAGGATGAATAATTTTCTCCGTGTTCTTTTCACATTTCCCGCTGTTTCTTTGCTCCTATATGCCGAATCGCTCTAACCAAGACAATAATAATTTTCTAATTTGAAACAGTAGTTCCTGAGGTTAGCGCGTTCAAACAAACAAGCGAACAGTTCTTCTTATATTCACATATACTAATATATAGAGTAATACTAACTATGGTTATCATCGTACTTGCCTTCTTTTTAAATAATTACTTCTAATTTAGACATAATATAGTTTAAAGTTTAGAGTATTGAAATAAAATCAATATATAATCTCGATAAGGCATTCTTATATATGGCATATTGTAAAGATTTATTTATAATAAATATTTCTTAACATTAAGTTAATTACTTTTTTAGCTTTTACATAAAATGTATAGCTTACACAGCCAAATGGACAGAGAATAGTACTAACTTTGAATATGATTAGGTTCTTAAGTTTTTGCGTGTTTCCGGATTTCCTTTTTTGTCTCTTTACTGTTTAGCTATTAGCAGCCTGAGTCATTTAAAAATAAATCTTCATAGATGAGGGGTGTTTATAGAAGACATAACATTTAGATATAATTCATAGCGAGACCAGCAACGTGTTAGGAGTGTTAGTTTTGTGTCAACTAAAGGATAAAGGTAAGGCATATTAGATAATAATAATAATAAAACACTTTATTGCACAAACATATAAAATACAAATATAGTAAAACTAAATTAATTATTTACACAAAAGAGTTAGCGCAAAGGCCTTATCGCCTATGGCGATTTCTTCCAGGCAACCTTTGTATAATGAAAAGGAAAATAAAATAACAATAAATAAGTAAAGGCCAACGAGCATGAGAGTGAAAATGCAAAAAAATGGTAAAATACAATGATTAAACATATATTTATATAAATAGAAAAAATAAAAAGCTTACACTAATAAAACACAAAATAGAATAAAATAGATAAATCTTCACAAAATTATTAATAAAAGATGTACGAAGTTTTGCATGTTTATCTTAATATTTTATGAAAGAGAAGAACAGAAATCTGAAACATGATGGAAGGTAAAATGCCCCAGATGTACGATATCTAAACAAGTTGTACTGTATTTTGATTTTTGATATTGGGACCCTAAAATAAGTCTATGTTTACTCTCAAAAGATCGTTATAATATCATTATCATGATCTAGATTTTAGGTCATATCTACGTTATACAACAAATCTGTGTGTGTAGTTAGGGTTATATAAAACAATCAAGTTTAACTAATATATCGCGTTTTAAACCGTTAAAGTGTTTTATTTAAATGTTTCGTGTATCGTATATTTTTATAATTCAGACAGAAGTATCTAAACATAGGTTTTAAGAATTGATTACCAGAAGACAGATTGTAAACTTAGGCTAATAGGTTATGACTTGTAGTATTAAAAAAAATCGTGTCAATACGTAATCAGGCGTCAGAGTTAATCAACGGTAATTTATTAATTACTAAAATTACTCCAGTTAATACATAAGAAGGGTTAATGAAGAGAGAAGAAAGTGTTTGTTTGTTAGTATATGTATGGTGGATATTTTAAGTCTATCGTCCTTTACTTCTATATTAATACTAGCTGTGCCAGCGACTTTGTCCGCGTGGAATAATTTACTTTATTGACTTGAATACTAGCTTTTGCAGTTTTTTACATTAGTCCGTTGACATACAGAGAGTAAAATCTTAGTTATTAAGTTCTATTTTACCCTTTGAGCAAATCCCTTAAAAAGGTAACAATAAAAAATGTGTGTGTCAATAGTGCGGAACCATTCGTGCGCAAGCCCGGCACGTACTTGACGGATTTTTTATTTCATACAATCGCTGTTTGGTGTAATTATCTAATAATTATATGAATAAATTATAAACATTTTATGTGCTCGTTTAATTCATGACATTAATTGTTCATAGTAGTGATTAGTATTAGTAATTATCCTAACACCAACAAGTAATTAATTCCTTTATATGTATAGCTATGTTGGCTCTTCACAGCTCTAGTGCACAGAAAGGTACTACAAGTAGAACATTAGCAAAGTCAAATAAATAAAAACACTAGAACGGTTTAAAACGCAACATTAGTTAAAATCGTTTGAAAATTATTTTAACTACGGCCCGACGTTTTGCCGTGATTTCGTGACCACGGCTACTGCCAAGCATTCGAAACGTGAGACCGTATTTAAAAAAATGAAAACAAGTTTAACTTATATATATCGGGTTTTAAACCTTGTAAGTGTTTTATTTAAGTGTGTAGTAACCGCGTAAACTAGACAATATTTAAAGTCAAATAAATCACTTATTTCAGTATACAGAAAATTTAACAAATCATAAACAATATAACGGAAGGTCAGGAGTTAACTCATTATCAGACATGGTGATTGTTGAAATCAAAGCGTAGTTATACTTTACTGATGTATTTCTAATACTAAATCACAACAGGAAGAAAATAATTTAGGATAAACACGATAAATCACGATTGTAGTTGGGAACGCAGGGAGTTCCACTCTACCGTCGGTACACGCGCTCTGCCCATTTGACAGCCGTTACTTGACAGACGCTATTTTACATCTGTCCTGTCAAACGTCATGCCGACACCGGGGTGACCCCACTCAAGCTATCTGCTTGACGTTGCCAGCTAATTCTTTATAATAAAACGAAATGATAATAATAAAAAATCATTATTAATTCTGACGCTTCGATAAATTTAGACTTTATGTTATAGATCAACGAACATGTTTCTGATAATATTGGGCCTGGTCCTAGCAGCTTTATTATCATGGGTCTACCTTCGCTGGCAAAATTTGAAGCAATACTGGGCAAAACGTGGTGTAGCACATCTACCACCTCATCCAATCATGGGCAGCCTCACCTTTTTGCAGAAAAAGAATCCGGTAAGTAGTTTTAAGTTAGTTTAAAATTGTATGAATCCATTTCCTTCAATATATGGCTAGTAAATAGTAAATTGCTCTTCAACCGTTCCTATAGTTCTAGTATTTTAATACTCTATCCACCTAAATGTCTGCTTGCGAGTATATTAGACTTGTAGATGACTCGACTACACTAGACTATAATGGTCAAATCATTTGTTCATATTGGTAGCTGATATTTATGACTTTCAATGCAACGTTAAAATAGATTCAAAATTTTCCTGGTTTTTTTTTTTTTTTTTTTTTTTGGTTGGGGGGGGGGGGGGGAAAGAAAAAAAAAAAAGTTGGGGGGAAAAAGGGGGGGGGGGGGGAAATTTTTTTTTTTTCCCCAGTTACCAAAAACATCCCATCTTGTTATTGTAGTAGAGGAGGGAAGACCCAACGCGTGGCATAATCAGTTACGTTAGAAGTAGGATAATGAAAAACAAATAATTTCAGGGCAAGGTGATGGAATGTCTCACTATTGTCATAGAAAGTCATTAACGTAGCAATTTAGTCAAAGTAACATAAACTACAAACATTTTTCAGAGTGTATGGATGGTTGAAATGTATAAAAAGTTCAAGGCGCCATACATTGGAATATGGTTGTTCTGGAGACCAGCGTTGATCATCAATTCACCGGACCTGGCTAGAAACATACTCGTGAAGGATTTCTCCTGCTTCAGGGACCGATTTCTAAGCTCAGGACCCTCAGATCCCATTGGTTCACTTAATATGTTGACAGTCAAAGTAGGTATCACGAATATTGCATTAAACTACTCGTCCCAATTTAAATAAAATTACTTTTTACTGTTAAAAATGCGAAATACATCAACTTTATTTTACCTACGTCTCGCCTTTTCAAATGCTTTGCAGCAACCGTGGTCACTTATTGACTAAAGATGTGGTGTCCCTAATGACACTAATATATTTCAATTAAAAGCGTTTCTAAAATGTCAAATTGGTCCGTAAAATGGAGGTAATGTTTAAATAATTCCCGTAGAGCTGATGATTCAAACCTAAAAATTGGTTTGAATGCTAATATGTGAAAATAACCATGTGAAAGTCCCCATCAACCTCTCTATACATTAAAAAAGGTCGTTCACGTTTTTCAGCTAAATGGTGAGTTTTACATAAAAAAATATGTCAAAATAAAATTGTAGATAATTTTATTATCTACAAAGATCGTACATTTTCATCATCATTGTTTGAAAAATTTAAAAAATATATTATTCGACATCTTTATAGGAATTATTGTAAAATTCAAAGTCTAATTTCACCTGAACTATTTACATAAATTGTATTACCACAGACAATACTTACTCGTAAAATACTGATATAGGAAACGTCAATATGTACTAAAGAAAATGGTGTCTATAACTTCAAGTGTAAGGTTCGACAAAAATCGAAGTTTAAGGTTATGTATATTATAACAAAAAAATGGTGGCAATGATTGGTACATTACACACGCAGTTATTATAGCAGACCTGAAGTTGTACATTTAAATAAAACACTTTAACGGTGTTAAACGCGATATATATTAGTTAAACTAATCTTTCTTGCCCCATTGTTTGTAACAGATGGCGCTAGCGTAGCAATTTTTACTTTGACATCAGAGATATCCTCCATCTTTTGCCTCCCCGTGACCACGGCTGTTGCAAAGCATTCCGAAATTCCGGGCCAAAGTTAAAATTATTTTATTCAATACAAATAAGTTTTTATATATCGCGTTTTAAAACCGTTAAAGTTTTATTTAAATGTTTACTACTCGCGTAAACTACAGACAGTATTTGAAGTTGTACACTTGTATGTCTCTGTGTTTGGTAGGATCCCCTGTGGTCGACAATACGACGTCGTTTGACAAGTGCCTTCACTGCCTCCAAGCTAAGGTCTCTACAACCATTAGTAAACACAAAAGCACGAGAGCTAGTACAACGGATTAAAAATACTGAAGACAAGACTAAACTTAGTCTCAGAGTAAGTTGAACCAGAATTAAAAATATTATTATATTTTTAAAAGAGAATCAAGAGTTTCTTTGTATACGTCGTTATTTATTTTGAAATTTAAATAAAAAATATGAATAAATAAATAAATCGTGAAATATTATTATATATATGTATAATATATTTATTATTTTTTATTGTAGTTATATTTATTTTTACTACGTCTAATGATTGTACAAAATGAATGCTAAATAAAGAGATTTATTATTATTATAAATAATTTTTCGAAATGGAGTAGACCTTTATTTTATTATTATTTTATTTTCTGATGATATTTCAGCCAGATGGTATCATCACAAAATGCGCTGTTGGCCCATTTTGTCTTTATATATTGAAAAATCTAGAGACTAAAACCAAATTGTGACTAAAGTTCCCAGCTTTTTAATCTGTTGACGGTAGTATGTGATTCGAACGGAATTTTGATATTCCACCCGTATAATATCCAGAGTTCTGGACAAAGTCCATAATGTTTCATAAAACATATAAATTACATATAAACATTTTTGACCCGGCCGTGATTGAACCCACTATCCTTTTAAATAAAGCACTTTAACGGTTTTAAACGCATATAATATTAAACTTATTTTAACTACGACCCGACGTTTTGGGACTCTATCTCCCCGTGACCCCAGCTGATGCAAAGCATCCGAAACCTCGGGCCGTAGTTAAAATAATTTTCAAATAAGTTTAACTAATGTATTCCGCGTTTTAACCCGCTAAAATGTTTTATTCAAATGTGTGTTAATCGCTTAATCGATATTGTGTTTCACACTCAGCCTTACCCTCCACAGCATTTATTCAGCGACTACACGACTGATGTGTCTGCTACCGCAGCGTTTGGAGTGGAGACAAACGCAACATTGACGGGAAAAGATCCCATGAGAACGGTGACTGGGGCTTTCATGAAATTCGACGTGTTCAGGGGCTTGAGTTGGATCAGTGTATTCTTCATTCCGTCACTGGTTGATACATTCAGGTACAGTGATCTTGCATCAGAACTTGAGATAGGTACTATCGTTTAACTATTCTAATATATAAAGCTAAAGAGTTTGTTTGTTTCAATATGTATCAAAGAATAATTTCTGAAATGACGCTATAATTATGTCTAACTTTTAATATGAATTAGCAAGAACTACGGGACGCGGATGATGACCCGGGTTTTAGCTTTAATTTATAAAGATGGGGAAGTTTTCTAAAACAAAAAATGTGCTCAAAATAACTATTGTTTGCGGTCGCTGACACAGGTAGTAACAGATAGAATGTTTCCTTAGTCTTTCAGTAGATAATAAGAAGACGGAAATATTTCATCAGAGATCGTTTTAAATAAATTATGTCTATCTAGTTACAATCAACATATCGTTCAGCTTGGAACAGCTATGTCACAGTAGATTAGAGATTTATCTACGAGGTTAAGAACTTCGTAAAAAACATTTAGATATTTAATTATTATTAAACAATGCCGCTAAATTGTTATTAATATTTACATATATAGATATTAAAGCATTGAAAAGAGTTACTACTGAGGCGGACTAAACAGGCAACTATTTACCGACTGTAGATCAATTTTGATTTCTAGACTTAGTTTTTAGCGCTATAATATGAGATTATTTTATTTCTTGAAGTTTTGTATCCCTACATGAAAAGATTCAAGCTTTAACAAGTAGTACAATAAAGCCATGAACATTTCAGGTTCACTGTATTCCCAAAGTGGGCAACGGATTACTTTACGAAAATTTACACGATCGTTTCGGAGCAAAGACTGGAACAGAAAAGAACTGAAGAGCCAAGGGACTTCCTTGACGTGCTGCTTAAGCTAAAAGAAGATAGCGCAAAGAATAACGAAGGTAATATCAGATGGCAAGGTTGACGATATACAATATGTGTCATAGGTAATGATTCAATACATTTGGCTTATTATTTCTATCTCACGATAAGGGTCGCCCCTAAGTGTGTGAAAATCATATTCATCAATGAAATATTATAAACTTTATTATACGTAAATAAAACACTTTAACTGCTTAAAACGCGACATATTAGTTAAACTTATTTGAAAATGAATTTTAACTTCGGCCCGACGTTTCGACGGAACAAATGGCGTAGCAATTTTTTACTTTGACGTCAGAGACATCCTCCATCTTTGGTCTCCCCGTGACCACGGCTGCTGTAAAGCATCCGAAACGTCGGACCGAAGTTAAAAATCATTTTCAAATAAGTTTAACTAATATGTCGCGTTTTAAACTTTTAAAGTGTTTTATTTAAATGTGTACTACTCGCGTAAACTATAGACAGTATTTTATTATACTTGTCATTATTGCTTGAGTAGAACGAAGTCAATTTTGTTAAACAGTTATAAAAATACTAAACTTGACATACATTATATTAAAAAAGGGATTACATTTGACATGAAACATTAATGATTGGAGGAGTATAAAAGTTTTTCTTTCATCTCAAATAGTAAAAGTGAAAAAAGTATTATTTACTGTCTCCAGGTGTTTCTGATGATGCAATCTTGGCTCAAGCAGTTATATTTCTCTTCGCGGGCTTTGAAACCACTGCCGCTGCTTTAAGTTTCGTTACTTACGAGCTGGCCTATCATCCGGAAGTGCAGGTAACATCATTCTCAATACCAGTACATAAGTACTTAATAAAACAATTCATACCATAGAAAAGAAAAAATCATTATTGTTGACGACAAAATACATAAACATTGTCTTTAGTTTACGCTAATACACATTAAATAGAACATTTTTGAACGGTGTAAAACACGAATCATTGTACACATTAAAAACACTAGACCTGATAACGAAACAGATGGCGTTAGCGTCACAAATTTGAGTTTAACATCCGGAACACCCTCAATCTTTAGTCTCCCTGTGACTACAATCCGTGCTAAGTATAAGGACGACGGGCATTAAACATAATTTAGCTAATATATTTCACGTTTCAAACGAACTTTTATGTGAACTATCAAGACATCAGCTCCAATTTATTTTCTTGTTATGTTAAAACCTTTTTTTTAAACTGGTGTGAATGCCTAATGCACGCCCACGTTGGGCAAGTGTGACGTGGGGAGTGTGGTAAATCACTAAACAAACACACCACTAGCCCTCTACGGTGCTTTGGGGAGCCCTGAGAAGACGTTTGTTATGTTCAAACCTGAATTTATTATAAGTAGCTTGTCTTTTCAGGAACGATTATATAAAGAACTTCGAGAATTGATGGACAAGAGTCCAAATGAGCAATATGACATGTCGGAACTCGCCGAATTGCCGTATCTTAACGCAGTTATGAAAGGTAACATCGATCCTTACCAGGTTCAACAATTTTCTTAGCAAATTTTTTTAAGCACATTAAACTTCATGGGAAATCTACTAAATGGGTAGGAATATCAATATTCAGTCCGTCACGAACCGAACGAACAGATGAAAAACCCTTGAAACCTGATTGATCATCTTTACCTTTTTGCAAGATGAAGACAGATAAGCATAGGGATCACTTGATGGAAGTCGAAATTTCCCGACCATATAACATCTAAATAAGCGCTGTAGTATACAGACAGCATAATAATATATTTCTTATGCTGTCTGTATACTACTTAGACAACTTTTGATGCTTGTTTTTTTTTTGGTGACGACGAGAGATAAAGATGACGTAACAAGGGCTTGGGTTTGCCTCAACTACGCTTAACAGGATCTTATCACTAAAATGTTTGTGTATTTTGAATAAAACGTAGTTTCAGGTAGTTTTCCTACACCAGACAATGCTGACACCGCTATAGATAAATTAACCGCATACTAAACTTGTTTCAGAAACTCTAAGAAAGTTCGCTCCAATGGCCTGGTTAGACCGAGTTGCTCTCGAGGAGTACAAAATTGATGATCACCTAACGATTCCCGCGGGAACTCCTGTCTACGTCAACTCTATCGGGATGCAATACGACAGCAAATACTTCCCGGATCCAAAACAATTTGATCCTGACAGATTTATGCCCGAAAACGAGGCAAATTTGACACCATTTACGTGTATGCCCTTCGGAGAAGGACCTCGGGGGTGTTTAGGTAATCATCTTATTTTTAACTTACATCTTGATGTAGATGGACTTTGTCATGGTAACTTAAATACTGAGACAGACTAGGTCATATAAAGTTACATAAATGTTAATAGAAACAAGAAAAATGTGACTATGAATGATATGCAAGTATTATGTATGAAAATTTTGCAAATGATGCCATTATATAATTTAATATAATAAATCAAAATAAATGTATCAATAATTAGAAAAAATCTACGATGAGGTGTAAGACTGTCGGTAGCTCAATTGGTAGAGGAACAGCACGGAACGCTGGCGATGCCGGTTCAAGTCCTGCCCAAGTCAAACATTTTTTCAATTTATTTTCGATTTTTAAAGTATTATGTAGTATTGTGTAATTTAATTTTGGCAACATTAGGTACAAATACCATTTAATATGATTATTAACGGCGAAAGTGTGACGATAAAAAACCGTTAAAGCTTTTATAAAAAAATAATAATTGTACTAGAAACCTATTGTACTAGAACTTTTTATTTAGCTTTATTTAAAATCATCATCTTTTTGTTAACATTAGATTTATTTTTGCAGGGAAGAGATTTGGCCAAATGTCATTGCGATATGGACTATCGTATTTGGTGTTAAACTACAAAATCGTCCCTTTGCCAGGCGCGCCCAAACCAGACGAAGTGGAAATCGAAAAACGTGGGCTATCTTTAGTTCCCGGGGAAAAAATTTTCGTCGATTTCGTATCCAGAATGTAATGGAACATAAGAAAACAAGATACAAACAACGAACAAGACAACACAAACCGTTGAATTTGTAAATTTAAAGTATTTTATTTAAATATGTTGTAATTTCTTGTTTCTACTGGTGGACACTATCAATTTAAGTTAATATAATATTATAATTACGTTATTTGTACTTGTTAAGCAGCGCAGTGAAAACATCAAACACATAATATGACGTTCAAGTAGATAAACGTAAAGTTAATCCAATTTCACCAAGAAACAGTTAATTTTTAATTAACCCTCCCTCCTCTAAACTGCATATATTTTTTGTGTCAAATGAAACATTTCTTGATCAATGTAATTATCACTCGGTGATTGGTGTTATGGCAAAGGCAAAATTGTGGCTAAAATTGTATAAGGCGTGAAATTTTTGATATATAAATATTAAGTTCCGTCTGTGGTTTACGCGAGTAGTGCACACTTAAATATTGTTAACGGTTAAACGAAATATAGCATTCCAATTACCACGGCTGCTGCTAAGCATCCGAGAAGTCGGACCACAATTAAATTAAATGAAAACCTAATATATTTAGCGTTTGAAAACTTTATTATCTTTTACATGTTATTGCACATGAAGGTACTAAGTATATAATTTAAAAATCGAAAATAAATTGAAAAATTTTCGACTCGGGCAGGACTTGAACTAGCGTCGTATTCTTTATTTATATTATATATTTAGCGTTATAAATAAAATCTCTTATAAATTAAATTCGTATATTCCCGTTGTATACCATTAAAAGTGTTTTATTTATATGTACACAAATATTATATATATTTTAATAACAATAAATAAAGGCGCTAGAAACGCGCTATTACTTCGCTTAGCTGTGTCAGCGACTTCGGCCGCCAAGAAAAATATTTGTTTCTGTAAACCTCCTCCTCAAATTTATAAATTTAAACTATTACCCACGACATCGGTCGCGTCCCGCCGGTTTTGCAAGTAAATCTTACAAGATAGACATATAGCGTCGCCGACATTTTTTGAGAAATTATTCTTTAATACGTATTTTTTAGGTATCCCACCCATAAACCCACAAAGATAAAGAATTCAACCCATTTCCCCATATGTCCCGCTGTTTCTTTGTTCCTATTGTCACAACGCGATCAATAAATGCTCTAACCATCACAAAAAGATTTTTTCAATTGGAACCAGTGTTCATGCGATTAGCTCGTTTAAACTAACAAACTATTCAGCTTTATATATTAGTATAGATTTCTTCGTTGTTTCGCAATATTGCGCATTGGTTATTAATGAGTGTAAATTCAAATTATAAATATATATTTAAAACTCAAATTTGACCATCAAACTTCCGCTACCTTCAATCGCCTGTAGCCTGATAGATAACAAGACGAGTTATAAAAATGATTATTTAATAACGCTAGAGTAGATAAGATAAGTGAAGGTGGCAAAGGCCGAGTAGATTCGTTTTTTCGCACGGGTTATATAAAATTATTTCTATTTAACTACATTTAAATAAGTATTACTTCGAAGTTCGAACTACTTTTGTTAATAATTGATATATTTTCTTTTAAATAAAATACTTTCCGAAAATCCGAAACGTGCGTCTGAGCATAGTTTAAATAAATTGAATATGTTAACAAATATATTTCTCGTTTTCAACTGTTAAAAGTGTTTTATTTAAATTCGCGAAAACAACAGATATGACTTGATATGTGCTCGTAATAATGTTTATCTAAACATTTTATTAAAGTCATAACAATGATAGAAAAAATGAATAATTTTTTTGAACCCTAAAAGTCGTTACGTATTTTGTATTCTGCCCATGCATCTAAAGTACTGGTGTGACAAAATGTCTGGCATTGTCGAACTTGTGTGTTCCTGATTCGGTGGTCTTTAGACACGACATAAGTGTTCAGGTAGATCCTATTTTAAATGTTTACTGTGTATATTGTTGTTATAATTTTTATAGCTTTCGAGTGTTATATTAGAAATATCAGTGAAAGTAATTATTACATTTCAATTTAAGTGTATTTTATTGTGCTTAGCAGTATTATTACACTAGTTATAAATTAAACATGTATTGTAGATTTTTGACGACACAGTCAAGACTTGAACCAGCACTTACAGTGTTCCGTACTCCTGATCCAAACTAAATGAAATTTTCATTTATATAACGCCACCACCTGTGAGAACATGTGAAAAATATTAATGTTTTTAAACCAAAATCCTGTAAGTTCGTTAAGCCTAAATACCATTTGAAACATAGCCTTTGCGCTATCTGAAAATTAGTGACCCAGTTGTGGGGCATTTTTGCGTCCGTTTAACCGATAGCTATTATTCACAAGCTAGTAGTTAATAGGACTTCTATGCTTTTACAATTTCCAGGCGATTATGCCCTCTATAGTGAACTTCTTCCATTAAATAATAAGGTGACAAAAATGCTACTCTCCTAACGGTATTAAGATATTCTATAACACATCTTTTAATTATGCTTACGTGGTACAAATATTATGTATAGTACAGAAGTTTTTGGAAGAATATATTATAGAAAGAAGACAGTTGATTTCTTAGTGCAGTTGACTATGTAGTACGTAAAAATTTAATCCCGATTTTCTTAGTGGGGTAAAGTGCGAACATTTTTCTGTGTCCGTCTTACCGATCGGTTTATTTAAAATCAAATTTAGCGGACTTCTGTGTCTTGCCTGACCCAAACAATGTCTTGTTACCCAGGACCTCTCGGGCTTAACGCAATGCTAGGCAAGACGTTTTATCAACACAGGCGGTCTAAGTATTTCACAAAATTATTAAGATATTTTAATTTACTTTACGTAATTAATCAATTATGCTTTACAATTATTTAGGCCTTTGCAGTGAAATATTAGATTAGCTAAATATATATTTATCTAATCTAAGCGTATAAAGGCGTATCAAACAATATTGAACGATTTCTTTAATGACAAAAATGCCTGGCAGTGAATTGCTCCTTAGTTTAATGAATTCACAAAAGTATTCAGTTTATAAGACATGTTGGGAGAAGCCGGCCTGAGTTTCTTGGGTGTTCTTCTCGGTCATGTTCCTCTTAGGAATTGGTTACTCTGAAACTTTCTTTTGACGAATCTAAATTATTTCTAAAATTTTAAAGAGCAAAAAAAACTGTTTCTAAACGATTTTGTAACTTTCCTAATCATATTAGACCTCTTGAAATATCTGGATATAAAACACGCACTCCTAGCGTGTCGATCTTTAAGCCTAGATGGATGTGGTAGAAATCGCGTAAGATATATTTTTTAAAACACATATAAGTTAACTAAGCGGACATTAGACATTATCAATTGTAATTTAAAATAAAAATCCAGTACCGACCCAAGATAGATCGACAGCAAATCTTGTTTATTTATATGGCTGTGATATTTTACCTTCCATTAAGCCATAAGTGCGGCTGTTTCTCTCTTTCATAATAAAATACCACATTCATAACACCAATAAAAACCACCCGAAATATCAGGTCGCAAATTATTTTATTTACTAAATTATAATTTGCGTTTCATCCCGTCTAAATTGGTCGTATTTATTACAGCTTAGATTACAAGATATAAATATAATTTTAAATAGAAGGATCGTAATTGCAAAAATTGCTTTAAATTTATTCCATGTCATGTTGTACATAACAAGCCTTATAATACGTTAATTAAAATAATTATATTATTTTCTGATGAAATAAAAAAATATATAAAATTTTGTCATTGCTATGATTTTGCTTATTTAAGTATTTTTATTATACATTATTAATATTCGCTATAATTAACGCTTTTACGTACTCATATTATCAAGTTAAACAAACATTAAAGGATATTTTTTAAATTGAGGATCAAGCGATAGACATTTATTATAATTTCTTTATAAAAGTAAATTCCTACTTTATCTATATTCTTTTGTTGATAATAAGAACCCTTTAAATTAAAGCAAAAAAAAAACAAACATTCGAATAAGTGATTCAGGTTAATTATAACTTTTTTCAGTTATATGATACCTTATCAGTAAAGTGTAAGTGTTTAAAAGGTATTTAATGTATTCATCTTATTTTCATTCCCCCCGTGACCACGGCTGCTGCAAAGGATCAAAAACAACTGCTTCTGGCCATATTTAAATAAGTTAACCAATGTAATGAGCATTATAAACCGTTAAAGATGTCTTATTTTAATATATATAGTATACTTGCGTAAACTACAGACTGCACCGAATATGTCATTTTTGAATGTTGTACTTTGTTTATTACAAAAACGTAAATTTTTACAATATACTACAAATGTCAGTCATAGAGAAAGAAGGTTCCGTTTGTTTTTTTATTTATTTAGTTAATATCATTTCAAAAAAAGATAATGCGAAAATTTAACTTTGTAGCTATCTCGTTTCTTGAGATATAGCGTGTTGAACATACAATTACCTTGTGACATAATATAAAGCTACAAAATACTGTGTTTAACATGAAAAAATCTAAACTTGATTATTGTGTCTGACAAAAAATTGGTTGTTTAACATAATATATTTCTATTATATAACTCTTTTATTTCTCTGACACAAAGTGGAATATAGCTATTATGTAATGTTAACAAGTTACTACTTGTTGAAGACATTCTTAAATGTCTGTTGAAGTTAATATAAAAATAACTAGTTTCGCAGAGGTTGAAACAGTTGAAGTTAATATAAAAATAACGAATTTCGCAGAGGTTTTAAGATGTTCGCGTACTTACTTGCCGTGGTTCTGGTATCCTTATTATCATGGGTTTACATTCGCTGGCAAAATCTGAAGCAGTTCTGGGCGAAACGTGGTGTACCTTATCTACCGCCCCATCCAATCATGGGCAGTCTTACCTTTTTGCAAAAGAAGAATCCTGTAAGTAGATATAAATAACCTTTATTTTTTTGTTTATATTTTTGGTAAAATGAGAAAATATCGTAAAAATAGTAGTAGGCCTGGACGATTTCTGAAGCATTTTGTTTCTAAATAAAA